AACCCCAAACCCAACCCCAAACCCAACCCCAAACCCAAACCCAAACCCAACCCCAAACCCAAACCCAAACCCAAACCCAAACCCAAACCCAAACCTTGAGTAGAGCTCTGGAAATCATACGTCAGGTAGTTTAGGCCATGATTATAGGTCAATAAGATGGATGTTCGTTGGGACAGTTGCTTGATTTTCCTCCAATGTGTCCAAACTTCCTTCGGAATCTCTACTTTAAAAGTCTAATTTAAAAGAATAAATCAAAAAATAATGGGTTCTATAAAATATCTATATTGCCTTGTCTGAATAAGGAGCTGATGTTGTACTCAAGCCTATGGATTCACAGTGGAGGGAGCATTTGGATATAGGTTTAAGGGATGTATCCATTTATTTTTGGTTGAAAAAAAAAACGAGTTAGCGTTTAAGGTGAGGGACCAAATGGAAGTACAGATACTCAGTTTTATTTTTTGTGGATTATTTTTGATATGATATTTTTTTTTGCAGAATGAGTTTATTTAATCAGTTCCTTAATTAAAAAATTAATACGAGTAGTGTTGGTATATTTAGCTTATTTTATTTAAAAAAAAATTTTGATTCTTTAAATTTTTATAAATATTAATTCATTGAGATAGTTAGGATTTACCTTCATTTCATGTAAAAGTATCAAATTTAAGTTTATTATTTAAAATAGATTTCACGCCAAAAAATTTTCCAATCAAGAGTTAGTAAATAAGTTTCTATTTTAAGATTTTATGTTTATTTGTAAATGTAAGCCATTTGAATATAATCTTGGATACTTAATATTATCTAATAAATTTAGGTTAATAATAACGATTAATTAAAACTAATACAGTTTATGAAAGACTTTAACTATCTTTTTTAAAGATGAAATACCAATGTTAATTAATATTGATTTTAAGTTTGTTAACAAAAATATATAAATAATGATTGATTTATTTTTCACTTATAGAATGATTAAGTTCATAAAAGTAAATATGTTAATTTGCGAAGAAGTTGGATTGTTTAAAGAAAAACCATTTTACTCTTCGAAATAATTAATTAATAATGATTTATGGGAATGATTGATATTGGTTAAATACTCATTATGCCAAGAATATTAAGAAAATGAATCCAAGGATAAAAATGCTCGATTGTGAGCAGGAATCGCATGAACCTTCAGTGTCATCCTTCTTTGACCATCTATATGTTCTGGCAGAATTTGTAAAGCAGTCACTGGGTTATAAATCAGAAGATGTAGCATTTTGGCAAGTAGTAGCATTCCAAAAACACATTTAGATTTGGAAATTGAAATTGACATACTAATCATAATAAGTACAATCTGATTCAGTTGTGATCATGGAACAAGATAAGGAATTGCAAGTGTTAGTTTGAAGACTCCAGTAGCAAGCATAATTGTTAATACCACAAAGAGCCATTTCATTAATTTAAGAGCATTCTGATAACGCATAGCATTTTTAAGTTTATGAATTCCATCTACAAACACCATCAGCAGCGACAGTTAAATAGCAATTAGTGTAATCAGCGATAGATGAGCATTTTTGTTTGTTGTTTGCATAAGAGAGTTCCTTACAAAACTAGCCATCAGTTTATGTACATCTTTATGAATAGAGCAGACACATATAGGAATTAGATCCAGGTAATTTGTCACAGGAAGTGAAAGGTAAACATTGCATAACATTTTGATATTAGATCCAATGGCAATTATAATTTTCGACACAAAGATTTCTAGTTTTCAACATTGAACAATCTAATACTACACACTACGATTTTTCTGGATTCCATAGACAACTATCATAAGCAGTGGCACAATCTTTTTAGTAAATCAATTAATCACATGAACACCATTTGCGTTTATTAGGAATAATGACAGCAGCACATTAAGTACAAACTCCTACTTTCTAGTCTTGACTACTCCATCTATATTTTCCTTAAGTACTAGTATAACATTATGAAAAATCTAATTCATATGGTTTTTCTTCTCCACAATAGGCTTCGTCAGAATTCCAATAACAATATTTATAGGATCCACTGTAATAATCAAAATAGAAGGTACAATCAGAGGCATTTTTGAAATATGAACAATAGACAGGATAACACTAATACCCAGAATAATAACATGCATGCTTTAGTTTTAAACAATCTTACATGCCAAAACCATAACACGAGGACGAGTATTAGCATTGATTTGCAAAGCTATTCCAATAACATTATCCTTATCCAATTAATGCATTACCGCAATAATATGGAGTACCTTATTGTTTACAGAATACAGAATTATCAATAGGAAGTGCAGTGCAATATTATCCGTTACTACTTGGACATTAAAATGATTGTGCAATACACTAGAATTGATTACTACCTTTAATATCTGAGCATTTGGTGAATGGAAAGCAACCTTTACCAAATTGATACGCACATCCAGGTGATTAAGCACACAATGACTATTAATCATTGAATAAATTGCAATCGCTGGATATACACTTATTCGATTGCCATGTACAGATTTTGGCAGAAATGCAATCCATTTAAGCCACCAATTATTCACATAAGCAGAGTTCTTATTTTCTAACTAGTCTATAAGAACATGGGAAACAGAGGCCTTGTATTGATTATTTGTTTTCAGCTATCCAATGATATGTACCTATGGTATTAGAAAAACAAGTTTCTTTAGTCAAATTGGATGTATTGGATGCATTTCCACAAGTTTTAGAATAGGCATTCCATGAACACAAATAATATTAATCCTGATTAAAAACTGTTTAAACAAACTTACAATTTGATTCGGTTGTAATATCACTACAAGTCATTTGAACACATACTCCACTGTTATTGATATGGCAATATTGTCCTTAAGAATATATTGATTCATATGGTTTATAATTATTGCACATATTTAAAGGAATTTATTGACAATTTTGGAAATAACTACAGACATTTGATGTTGTCCATTAACAGCTGCCTTCCTTACCAATTGTGCATTATTGTTAAGTTTAGTATGTATCGCAATTAGGTAACTAATCAATTGTAGTACAAAGTCCACTTGTTCCATAACACAATTAATTCTATTATTGACAAGTGAGACCCGGTTGTGCTTCTAATTAACTACAATTCACATCAGTACGGGAAGATAAACAATAATTCCCATTCCAAATACAATTTCTTACAAGTACACAATCTGCAGAGGATAGAGTAAAGCAATTAATAACTTCACAGGATCCGACATTTTGTTAATTCACCTACCAACTGCAATAAGGATAGAGCAAATTGCATTCTGTATCTACTGCAATTTAGGTACATGAACAGGAATTTTTGAATGATAGCACAACTTAGGATTTTGACAGCTAAAGTAGAATCAGCAAGCCTATGATTTAGATTTTCATAATTATTATAATTATTATTAATATTAGAAAGAAGAATACCCGGCATTAAACATCTTATCTTTTTATTGCCCATAAGTTAATATATATCATTTTATGAATCGATAATTCCACATTATTATATAAATTTTATACCTTAACCTACTTTTCAACCCAAGGACGATTCAAATTCAAATTATTCTATGATTACTATATACTTTCAATTTATCTAATAGTTTGGCAAATTCAAAATAGAGGGAAATAATGAATTTAAAAAGAAAAGAGTCTAAATTTGCATTTTCTACATAATTCCATATCTATAAAACTCTACTACTTTTAAAGCAAATTAAATGATTTATAAGGGAATCAAAAGAATTTTTGGAAGATAAATAAAATAATTAGATGAAAATTTTTTGGGCAATAATCGTCGTATTGCCAATCGTATTTAGTCAAACAATTATGGTGTCTCCATCGACAGCATGCACATGCAAATAATTTTAAGATGAAAGCGGATGTAACAATAATACACTTGGATAATGCTATTGGAATCAAAAAAATCAAATATGCCAACAAGCATCTTGCGGAAATATTAAATTATAAAGCGAGTGTTTGATATCTAAAAAAAATTGTTATTGGAATGGCCAAAGCTGTGTTGCTTTTACATCCTGCTCAAAATTAACTTCTCAGATTGGATTGATTTGTCCCTAATAAAATGCCTCATGTTATGGCTCAAATACTAATTAATGTTCAAGTATTCTATAACTACCAAAATGTTAAACTTATAAATTAGGAACTTGTGGTTAATAGGGAGGCTATGGTGGATATGATGGATTGTGTGCTTGGAATACTGCTCTTCAATAATGTGTTGTGGCCACTAGTTGCAGTTAATTATTAGATTAATAGGTTTGTAATACTTACATTTAAAATGCCTGTACTTGGGATTATCTAAATGGAGTGTGTACTTAAGCTACATGCACATAGTTACCAACTCAATAAAGTTGTAAATTCGTTGTTGCCAACTTGGATCCATAACAAATATATCCATGTTTTTATTCTGGTAATTAATGTTAGGATGCTTCGCTTTAATTGTTCTAGGATTAAAACTAATGCCAGACTAATACACTATTAAATTACAGATGGATTGGAACTAAGACTGAAGGTGTTTGTGTGAGTTGTGCTCAATAAATATTTGAACCTGCAAATAAGTGTGTTTGTGAGCAATTTATCCTCCAATCAGCTTGCAATTCATCCTAATATTGTGTATGGAATGAAAATAGTTGTTAAGACATTCCATGCTCCAATATTACTAATTAATTATAATGTAGTACCAATAAAAAATGCTATTGGAGTTTATAACTATAAAGTTGCTAGGTCTTTTATTCTTGCTACTAAATATAAGCATTAAATTCTTTGGCTTGTTTGGCTTAGTCAATTAACTGTCCAAATGAACAGTTATCAAGCTGCAATCCCTCTTATGAAATATGCTAAAATATTCCTTAATAATTCTGTGATGGATATGTTACAAGTGGGGGAGTTTGCTATTTGGATGAAGCTACTTCGACTTGCAAAACTTTGCAATCTTGCTCAAATATAGTTGATGAGAAGATATGTAATTAACTGACAAGACTCTGCTAATATTCCATAATACTCGATAAGTGTTAACAACTGACTTGCTCGAATATTAGATCCTAGAAATAATGTACTTTTGTGTTCACATCCTTAAATGGAACAGATATATAGGTATGTGAATGGACAAACAATTCTTGTGCAAATGCTAAAAATATTTTAACTCTTAATGAGGCTCAATGCAGTGCTAACTCTCAGTATACCTATTTGTATACAGGATCTAAATGTGTAAAATGTATTTAAGGATCTCTCATATTGCCTGAATAATGTTCTTGTTCATAATTATATTTGGCCCAAGATTGTTTGGCTAATCCATTATGTAGTTGGAATGGTTCGATTTGTTAGTAGTCAAATTGTTTATCCATACCTAATCAAGAGATATGTGTTCAAAATACCAATTGTTAATGGACAGAATATGGTTGTTCCGAATTTTAAACATGCTTTTTGTTAGTTGGATCGAATCCAAAAGAATGTATATCTTAATCAATCAATTGCCCTTATAGTGATGGGGCCAAATGCTAAAATAAATTCTATTATTCTCCATGCCAAAGTTATACGCAACCGGCATTTTGTACAAATTAATTGGGAACAGATGGTCTTTGTATTTGGAATTCAAAAAGTAGCAGTTGTTAAGTCTTATCAAAATGCTACTAAATCTTAAATTCTACTTATTGTGGAATATATTAATACGTCTGCAATTGGTCGAATGATTCCTGTAATTAATCAACTTGCAGCACCTATACAACTCCAGAATTATGTAAATATTATTATCAATCCCTGAATTCATTTACTCCAATAGGATGCAGATGGAATATAACTACTAGTACTTGTGAACAAGTAGGTTCTATTTTGACATCTTATAATAGTGGTAATTGTTATACAAATACTGCAAAAACAGCCAGATGGAGTTAAATATCAAATTAAAGCGGTGTTTGTATCAGTTGTGGAGTTAAATATTTACCTAATCCTTTATAATGCAGTTGTCAATAACTTATCTCACAATAGAATTGCATTTAGAACCAACTATGCTATTGGAATCAACTCTCAATGTCTTGTTCAGAGTATGAATGTTAAGTGTTGCCTGAAAACCTATGCGTTACTAGCATGAAATGCATGTGGTCTAACAAAGGTTGCATAACATTCACTTCATGTAATCAAATCAAAGGAGATTCAATTGATGAATGCTTATCATATTCACTATACTGTCCATATAGTCCTGCATTGTAGAGTTGTTCAGCTCTAAAGGACATGCCGAAATGCGGAGACCATTTAACGTAAGGTGTTTGTAATTCAATGAGACGTCAAGGCAGGTAAATCTGCTTCTGGAACAACCAAGTTTAAAAATGCACAGTATTAAACAGTTGCAGAGGATTATCTCAAACAAGTTGCGAATATTATTCATTATACTGTGCATGGATTTTCAATCCTTATAATTATGGTAATTGTGAAGAGAGAAAATGCTTGAATTATAAATCTAAGTATTCTTGTACGTATGTACTGAGCATAACTGATCCAAATTTAGTATAACCTTGTCAATGGCTGAATGGAAATTGTCAAGCAATGATTATCCAAGAAGCCAAGGATGCTACCACTTGTTACACTCATTCAAATGGTACTAGTCGCTGGACCTCAAATGAAATAAATTCAGGATTTTGTGTGCCTTGCAATTTGCCATCATATGCTGTCCAGTATTAAAATAAGTGCTCATGTTCATAAATACTTAATCAAAGTGAATGTCAGTACCCTTATTGTACATGGTCAGACAATTAATGTATTGAAAACTCTTGTTCAAGAATTTATAATTAACTTGAGTGTTCTCAATAAAGATAATGCTATTGGAAACTCAGTTATAATGAATGTTATACTATATCAGTGTCTGTAAATTTCTGCACAACATTAAAAGGAAATTCATCTCTGGAATGTTTTGCTTAAAGTATTAATTGTCCAGGCACTTTGAATGGAATTTGTCAAGATAGTGCAAGTTTATAGACCTGTAGCAGTATAACCACCCAAGCAGCATGTGCCAATAGTATTGGATAAGAAGGATATTGTAAATATGAGAGTTAGGGATGTAGTGTGATTTCTTCATGTTTAGACATTAAAACTTACATTTATTGTGTTGCTATGCAAAAATTCTGTGTTTGGAATACAGAAACCAATTTATGCTTTACCACTGCATGTTCTAATATAACTGACAAATCAGATTGCACTTACATTTATGAAAGCATGAATAGTTCTTCAATTTAATTATGTGAATGGAATGAGACTACTAGTTAGTGTCAAAATGCCTCATCACTCACTTTGGCTAATAAAAACATAGAAAACTGTCATATAGAAACTGGAGGCACTTATCACTGGTCTAATGCTAAATCTAACGGATATTGTATCTCATGTTCCTTGGATCTTATCAAGCTACCTAACACTTGTTCATGTGATTAATTAACTAACGTTGAATGTTTAAGTGCAAAACCAAAATGCAAATTGATTGATTCAACTAGTTGTGTAAATACTGAATGCATTGATATCTTTGATTAAGGTAACTGCTCTACTCTACCATAATGTATGTGGTATAATTAGGCTTGCGCATAATTTACTTCTTGTTCCATTCTTTCAGGAACAACAGCTTTGGATTGTCTGGCTTAATCTACAAATTGTCCAGCCATTTCAAATGGCAATTGCAAAGATAAAAAATCTTTAGGTTCTTGCAGTTCTTATCAATCAGCAGCTGAATGTACCTTAGGTACTCCATCATCTAATGGATTTTGCTACTGGCTTAAAAGTAGTGGATGTTAGGAGTTGGTTAATTGTGCTGATATATCCTAAATAACACAATGCAATGCTCTTTATAGAATATGTTCATGGAGCGATGCATTTAATAAATGCGTCCCCTTCAAATGTCAGAATTATAAGAATTAGGATTAATGCACATTTGTAATTGTTAACTTCAAAAATTCCTATGTTGAATTATGTGAATGGTAGAATAAGGTGTGCTAATAATATAGTAGTAAATACTATAGATTTGATGAGCAAACATGCTATTAAAATTCTGGACATACCTATAGGTGGGTTGCAGACGAGGAACGTGGTTCAAGATGTTAAGAATGTTATTCATTATTAATAACAATTACAATGGTAATATATTTAATTGCATTTTGAGATTAATATCTATATTATTATTAAGAGATTTAGTTATAAAAAATATATAATAATGCTATATTAATATAGAATACTCAAAATTATTCACAAGTCTGCATCATATGAATATTAAACCTCCACAGGCTGAACAAATTTATCAATTCTTCTAACTCTCGACTCTTTTAATCCTTGGAGTTGGAAATCTTAGAAAAACTTGAACTCTTCCTTAATTTAAGCAAACAATTCATTTGCATACTTTTATGCTAATACAAATTTATTCCATTAGTTGCCAAGCAAAATCAACTAGTTTTCAGATTCTCTAAATAATATAGGAATTTACATTCATCAACCAATAATTTTACATCCAACTCTTATTTAGTACTTGTATTCTCCTTACTTTAAAAAGCAAATGCTTTCTCCACTAAATACAATATTCTGATTATATTCGAACCCTTCAATCCCAATATTCTTTACTTGATATTGAAGTCTTTCTAAAACGTATCTACATCAATTTCAAAGATTGATATATATTTGTAGTCCTTTTCTAAATTGTCGAATAAATCTGGAGTCTTCCTAAAAATTAATGCTTCTTACCTTCTGTATAGTCAATCCTTCTTCGGTCAAACTTCTATGATTGAATTGATAAATGTGATGAACTGAAGAATCCTCAAAACATAGTTGCACTTTAAGAGTATGGATCTGATTGGTTCCAAATCTACCAGGCAATTCGATTGGAGTATTATTAAGTAGTTTGACTGCAATCCAACATTCAACAATACTCCTCATTAATATATAAGCTATTTTATCCTTATTGATAACTTTAAGGATCTCGTATAATTGAATAATTAATTACTTATCCAAAATGCTAAAAGATTGTTTCAATATCTATTGTGTCCACTGGATAATAACTTGGAGGATCCAAAGTTAATGCAACCAAAGGCAAATAATAGAAGTCTTTTAAGTCTTTGTTTATATTGTGCGCTTTAATAAGAAAATCATTCTATAAATTGGGATCAGAAACTAACTTCTCTATCTTATCTCTGCAATCTATATTTGAAGATAAAACTTCCTCAAATGTCATCTCTTGGTTTTAATTAATCTCATTACTAATCAATAACATAATACTTTTCATCTTATTGTCTATTCAGTTTCTTTAAGAATCTCTTCTCTCCATACAAGAAGGAAGCATCTAATCATGATCAAATTTAAGTATTACCTAACATTTTGGGTAACATTCGAATTAATTTATATATTTTATAAATAAATACACACAAAAAAATTACACCATCTTTTGCTTCAAGGATAGAGCGTTACTGCTCTTCTTAATTATATATCTATATTTTAAGCCCACATTTCCATTTAAAGATAAACTTCAATAAGATCTTGGTTTATATAAGCACAATAATCACAACTGGTAAATTAAAAATAACCCAATTAACAATTATTGAAATTTGTTTGCATCCCTCTTTTGATTAGTACATAATTATCTGTAAAAGTATTTACCAATTATAGACCTCTAAATGAGAATACTATTGCTTTGTTTAACTTTTATCTAATTTTGATCATTCACTTTTAGAAAATGCTCTATGGGTTGGTCTGTCAAACATAAGTACTTTTAACTACTAAGTCTTTTTCAGATTATTATATTAAAAGAATTCATGATGAAACAATTATTCTTTAATTTAAGATGTTATGCTAATATCTCAACAAAAATGCATATTATTTGTAACCAATTTCAATATTTTAGTGGTTTATTGGAAGGATGCTTAAATTTGTAACAGAATCCTATTCTAAATTCAAAATATTAGATATGAAACATGTCAAAAGTGAAATATGTAAGTGGGTAATTTCCAATATTAACTTATGAATTATTTTATTTCTAAACTTTATGTTTATTGTATAGAATAAATTATTCAAAGTCTAAGTAGAATAGATAATTCCAAGCATAAATGTAATCAGCATTTAATTAATTGTAAAAAAAAAAATATTTAATTAATTATCCATTAATAATTAACTTACTCATAGAATCTTAAATGAATATATGATAATTTATGTATATTTGATTAGTAATTTAAGTAAAATCAAATCTTTAAGGGAATATGTAAAAAAAACAATTTTATCTGTGATTTATAAATAATATATTGAAAGCTTTGTGATAGTGTTATAATTTCATTATTTGATTAAAGTATCTAAAACTTATTGAGCAGATGGTCTTTTTTATGGGTTTTTATTGATCATTTTTAGTATTAATTCTGCCTCAACAGTATGATCTTTAAATAAATCAATAGGTAGGATAGAATCTTTTGTAAGAGCTGCTATCAATCTAAATTTAATGTTAATTGATTACCTTGTTTTTTCATAATGGGTTTTTATCTTCCACATCATTTCAAATAATATTATTCCTAAAGAGTAGATGTCAGCTGCCTAACCATATAGATCATCTTTGACTTCTGGAGCCATATACATAGGAGTTCCAACATTATTAGTGTATTCGCCAGAATTAGAAGTGAGTTCATCATCTATTTTAATGATTAAAGAATTGCATAGTCCAAGATCTCCAATTTTGACTTCATTCTTGGAATTAATAAATATATTCTAAGGTCTAATGTTTAAATTACATATTTACTTTAAATCTCTATGAATATATTGATTATTGTGCATGTATATGATTCCTTCCAATATTTAGATAAATATAGATTTAATTAGAAGATAATCCTTTTTCCTATCAACCTTATCAATGAAATCTTTCAATGTATAATCACATAATTCCATCTAATTTATTAAAATTAATAATTACTTCAATGTATAAAGTGAACAATTAGAATTACTCATCTTTTAAATTTGGATTAAAGTGATACCTACGCATTTTAGATTGAATCTAACTACTGTAATCTGAGAAATGAAAACTCTGCACAGTTTTGGATTATTTAGTAATTGTTTAAATTTATTATTCATTTTCTGCATCATTCCCTCCTAAAAATTAAACATAATCATTCATAGAAGACATGTCATCCATTATTTGAGGATATTATGAATTCTATGACTCATTCTATTTTGCTTGTTATTGCTCGGCTACAATTTAATTTAATTTTGCAATTTCTGCTATATTTTCGTTCGTTAACTCCTAAATCCAACTAGTATAATATCTAACTATATTTTTGTGATTGATTTCTTAGAGTGATCCAATTTCTCTAAAGATTGGATGATCTCTTAATGTTTTTTCATTTTTCACTTTAAAATAAATTCTTTTAACTGCATATTCTTTAAGATCTATGATTTTTTGGCATTTGTAAACTTCTCCGAAAGTCCCTTTGCCTATAAGATTGGGAAAGGTGTACATTTTCTGGAACTTTCCATTTTCACAATATCTACTCCAATCTGTTAGAATGTGTAATATTTTTTATGATTGTCCAGTTCCAGTTTCCTACTCTATCATTTGCACTCCTTTAGCATTTTTCTAATTAAAATCTACGAACTAAGAAGTCACAAATTATAATTGCTCATCACTAACCTTCATTTTCACAGTTTTTGTTTCTGTCTATGTTATCAAAACATCCTCTTGATTTCTTTCCCACTCAATCACTTGTTCTTTGGTTTCAGATATTTAAAGTCCAACTAGTTTGAAATTGTTATCAGGCAAAGCAAGCACATTATCCTCAGGTTCATTTTAAATGTATCTAGGTGAGGAATCCGTACTGGATGTTTAGTCCTTCTTTTGCTTTTCATTATGCTCAGTACCAAGAGGAATCGAACTACATGTTTAGCATACACGTATTACTTTTATAATTCATCACTAGTTACGCTCTCTTTTCTAACATGTACAATTATTTTATTATTTTTCTTGGCAAATATCTTGTACATGAAGAAAAATGTCACGCAATACACCAGAGCCATTAGTATAACGAAGCATTCGAAATTATCCATAATAATTTATTTCCAGGTGTTTTATTGGGGCACAACGAAAACTTCATGTTTTTAAAACCAAGCATATTCTACAATCTAAGTTCCCGTCTTAATAACCTATTAGATTTAACTCGTTTGTCGCTTTATCATTATATATAAATAATAATTATTTTTAAATGGATGATAAACTAAAACCATCATCATAATATTTATATATACCACATATATAATTAGAAATAAATTTTTGCAGAATTTAACATACCCTTATGTGTCAATTCTCAACATTTACTCATATATTTGAATTTATGATAAGAAAATTTAGTTGATAAATAATCTCAATGTTAAAAAAAGGCCTTTGGATATTAAAAAATCAGCTAAAAGTATATATTAGGAAAATAAGAATTTAGCAAAATAATTCTAAAATTTTCTTCTTAATTTTCCTAAAAATATTTATTTTATAAGATTAAAATATATGCTTCTATAGAATAGATTCTAGGCTTTAACTCTTAGAGTATATTATTTTTGGTTCTAAATTCTAGAACTCAATGATATCTTGATTGTATAAGCGAGAACTTAACTATATATATTTTAGGAGAGGGTTATAAAAATTTAAATAATAAGTATTTAGTAATTAAGATACATACTTAATATATTTGTATGTTCAATAATCAGGCTGTTTCTTATAAAAATGAAGCTTATTGGAGGGGTTTTAATTATAAACTGAATTAATTGAAACAGTTGAATGTTCAAAGTATTTATTAAACTTGAATAGATATGAATTTACATTATATTTTTAAAAGCATAGTTACGTTGAAGAATACTGTAATAAAAGGTTTAATAAGTAAATTAAAATTCTTATTCAATAATAGTTTAATGCATTGAGGATTTTTTAAAGTTAAAATTATTTTTACAGTATATTTTAATCTCAATCAAGATGTTAAAATTAACATCCAAAATCTTGATAAGAGTTTTATCCTATGATTATTCATAGTATTAATACCCTAGTGATAATAAATTATGTTAAGAATTTTAGGATTAAAAGTATAAGAGATTCATTCTACTTAATTTTTGTTTTGATTATGAACTCTCAAGTAATAATAAGTATTAGTTTTAAATATAGCATAAAAATACATCTAATTACTTAAGTTTCTTAAATGAGAAGATGCTGATGGATAATAGTAAAAGATAAGATGGAAGGATTTGGAAAAGTTATGTTCCGATGCTTAACTTTATTTTATTGGTAGTTAGAATCCACACATAAATAATAAGATCATAAGAATTAATTTGATTTTATGAATGCCAACTTAAAGAAAGAATGAATAATGGACTTAAAACTTATAATCAGTAACTTTACTTTAATTGAAAATACATAAAAATTATGTTAAGTTAAATAGTAGTTTAAAGTTTTAATATTCATCAACTAAATGGAAATATCAAATTACATAATAGATATGGATATCAAGATGGATGTAATATTTGATATATAAAATATAATTAGATAAATATATATCTATTGAATATTCTTCAATCTTATAATACAAATTCATTATATAAGTTTTCCACATACTGGAATGTCTCATTAAGAACTTAAACATAGATTTTGGATCCACTTAAAGACCATGAAACAGATGTTGGGATCTATTCTAGAAGTATGTGTTATTTTAAGATGTTCCTCTCAAAAATGCTTATAGAATTATCACTAACAGCTAATAATCGATCTGTGAAGCTGTATGCTAATTATTAGACAGGCAAATTAACTCTGTGTACTAATTTGAAATTTTCATAAACTAAAAATTAGAGGGAATTAATACAGTCTAAGCAGTTTCCTCCTGCAGCAATAGTAGATTTATTTTGAGCAAATGCAATTACTGAATATTTTTCCTAATTTAATGGTATTGGTTAATCCCAAGTATCCTATTTTTTGGAATGAATTAATGCTAATCCAGTTTGATCGATTGATGCAAAAGTGACATCATATGGTGCCCATGATATATGGATGATTGGGTACTGATGGGATGAAAATGCGATGGCTTATTACCAATCATTCGGTTTTCTTTCAGTCCATAATTGAACAGTGTTTGCAATTCCAAGTGCAACAATAACTTATTTATGAAATGACCAAGCATAGACTTTAGCCTCAGGCAATTTAAACCTTTGATTGGACAAAGTATCAATTACTTGACCATCTAATAGTACTTTTTACCCTATTAAATTCATAATTTTAATTAATATGGGAGCATGTTGTAATACTCAATAAACAATTCAAAGTCTAATGCCTAGTTTTGAATTTTCATTTTTGTCTGTTTATACAAAAAATGCAGTAATAATCTAGAGAGCATACAGATGTATACAATTTCTTATAAAAATAGAGTATTAAAAAAGGAAGCGAAGATCGATAATACCTATCTCAATGACCAACGAAAGTCAAAGAAGCCATTAAGAACATATTGAAAATACAATAATCCCTGCATAACCTCCTTAGGAAAGTGCTAAAATAGAGTAAATAGAGGAAGTGCCTGCTACAGTTGATCATTCTCCTGCGAATGGATTGAAATTAGATAGAAAATAAAGTGATTATCCTGCTAGTATACATTAAATCATTTTTCGGATTGGGAATTTTAATTATAAGGAGTTTTTAAAACAAGAGAGTTAGTATTATGATGAAGAAGATTTAAATGTCCCCTTCTTGGATCCATATCAATTACCTGATGAGTCTATTTATATAGGGTAATGGAAATTAGGTAAGAGACATGGCAAAGGGAGGGCGATATTTAAGGATAAAAGCGTGTATGAAGGATTTTGGAAGGATGATCAAATGAATGGTTAGGGCAGACTGATATTTGAAAATGGCGACTATTATTAGGGAGAATTCAAGGGGAACAAGGCGAATGGGTATGGAAAATAAATTACTTCCAAAGGATACTAATATGAGGGCAATTGGATTAATGATAAATAATAGGGGGAGGGCAATGAGAGATTCCCTGATGGTACAAACTTTAAGGGAAGATTTATTGACGGGATTAAGACAGGATTTGGCGAATTCAATTTCTCAGATGGATCCAAGTATTAGTTCAGCTAAAACAAGGTATAAAGGATCAATTGCTAATAATAAATTTAATGGGAAAGGAACGTTTTATTTTTCTGATGGCCGTAAATACGATGGGCAATGGAAAGAAAACTTGATGGATGGCTATGGAACATTCACTTGGCCTGATGGTAGATCTTACGATGGATATGTAAATTATATAATAATAATGATAAAGTATGTCAAAGACAAAAAGCATGGTTTTGGTGATTTCACATATTCAGATGGGTCAATGTATAAAGGAAATTGGGTGGATGGCAAAGAACATGGATAAGGGACATTTCACTCTAAGAGTGGTTTATTTAGAGAAGGTGAATGGGAGAATGGAAAAAGAATTAAATGGACGTCACCTTACTAAACTTAATGATTATAGATACTTAATTTGATTTTAAATTGAATTATATATTATTTCAATATTGAATGTCTGAATATTTATTTTTAGTAATTTTAATTAATCATATTGGAGACTTAAACATCCAACAAGCTTGTATTCTTTGTCTCTTTGTATTATTTCATGCAATTTATTACAATTCTAAGAATAAATAATTAGTTTATAGTTATTGAACATAATATCACTCATTTAATAAAATTAGTTGTGCATTCATATACATAATGATGTATTTGCATTTAAAATAAGACTCTATGATTCCATTAGGAGGAGATTCATTAGAACAATGGGAAAAATGCAGAATCACATTTTAAAGAGTGTATGATACACTAATGTGGGTGATTTTAAAGTGTAAAATATTAAAATGTGGAATATTAATATTTATTTAAAAATGAACAAATTGATTCTTGCTATTGCATTGATCTCCATCACTTATGCTCAATTAACTTTCAATGCTAATAATAAATGCACTTGTGGTGATTTAACAACATAATAGGATTGTGCACAATCATAACCAATTTGCACTTGGGACTCAAAAGGCAGTTCATGTTCAACTGTATCTTGTTCATCCATTAGTGATCAAACAAATTGTGCCAACAATTTGAAATGTATGTGGAATGGCAAAGCATGTGTTGATTTTACACTTTGCAATTAATTAACCGGAGCCAATTAAGGTGACTGCTTAGCAAAATCAAAAAACTGTCCATAATCAGATGGTAAGAACTGTGCCAGCACTGAAGCCTTAAAATCTTGTTCATCCTATTCAAATTAAACTAGCTGTGATTTAACAATTTCTTCCAATGGAATTTGCTATTGGAGCAATAGTGGATGTTCAGAAGTCACCAGTTGTGGACAATTGAATTCAAACTCCTGCTCAAGTGCTGGAAATGCATGCTAATGGAATGCTACCATCAATAATTGCACTTAAGCTAGTTGTGCTTAGTTTGGAAATAACAATACATGCACATACTATCAAACCTAACTCAACAAATTTATCTATTAATTGTGCTAATGGAATGCTGCAAATAGCACTTGCATTTCTGCTATTGACACATCTGCACTCAACCAAAATACTTGTTACAATCAAACCAAATACACTTACAGATGGTCAAGCAGTTCAAACAAATGCGATGTTTGTGCAGGTAAAATAATTTATATGGTAATCATGGCCATTTTAATGATTATGATATGAAATATAGATAAACATTAGAAATATAATAAATATATATTTATTCAAATTAAGTATTCTTTTTAATTAAATTATTTTTTTTACAAAAATGGAATCCATGATGATGCCATACAAGAAAAGAATACTAAAAGCCACAACTCTATTCTTGACTTGCACTTTCATTCTCATTCTGGATATGTTTTTCAAAGAACCCTTATAAGCTTTTGAAGTCTCAGCACTCATAGCAATATAAGATGGAATGGGACTCAAAGGTCACATCATTGAATCTATACCATTTTTCTTGCTTGCAAATATCTAAGAACAATATGTATTTCTATTGATAACAATGCATGTGTTGAGTGCCATCTATTTTTTACATGATCGCTTTATTGCTATTAAATGCATGTTTGTCCTATATTTTGGATGGTACTTTTTAATGCTTTTACAAATGATTTATAATTTGCCATAGCCTTTTTGGGTTGATTCTGACATTGATACCTACTTTTGCGATTAAAAATATGGTGGCCCTGGAGATTCAATCTACTTACCTGCAATTTTCATATTTACACTACTCTATTATAATTAATGCTAACTAAAAGCTTACATTATTGCTTCAGCATCTCTATTGTTCTATTGTTTTGCTGTTTATATTTCAGCCTAGGTTTTTTTAATGGATTTGGTTTTAGGCTTTGTTTATTTTATGCTTTTTTATGCTTTTGTTATAAATTATGATAAGAAAATTACAACCCTCATAAAATCGAAGGACACTGATAAGCTCTTTGGAATGAAGGTTCTGGGAGTAGTTTCCTTTCTATTTATCATAGCACTTATTTACTATACATTAAAAGACTACACTGATAGCATTCAATGGATTACAAATTATTTTACTTGTTATATGAGACAATTCACTGTTGGAGATTGTAAATTTATATTTATATTTAGATTAACATTATAGATTTAACACAATCTTAGGGTTGGAACCTACCTTTTGTTAAATAACGATCCTTATTTGTTTAGTGGTCATGGGTTTCATTCATTTGCCTAAGAACAAAGCTACGTAGAAATAGTTTATTATTATTCAATTGGCCTTCATTCCAGGATGGCTAATAATGTTTTTATAAGGTTTTGTGACTGAAATTGATGTATTGCATAGAATGGGGTTGAGTCAATTAATCATAGAATCTTTGATATTCGGATTGATGCATTGGTGGATCTTTGGGTTCGTTGGAGTTAAGGCAACAAAATCAATTGTTACTGATGAATATTTGTTATTAGAGTGATAATTTGTTAATTAATTAATTTATTAAGTTTTTCTATCTATATTTGATAATAATTATTGTGCATATTCTTTTTTTTCATTAATTTATACAATTAAAAATTCTCTATTTAAATGACTCAAGAATTTTCTTTCCAAAGAATATCTACTTCGTAAATGTAAACAGTTGAATTGAAAAAAAAGTATATTCTCCAAAAGATTTTAGGCTATGGTCAATATGGGTATGTTTTTATTCTTATTCTCAGAACTGTATATAAAGGTGTAAATTAACGCACCCAAGAAACAGTTGCTATCAAAGAATTGCGCCATAGCTATAAGGATTAAGGGGTTTGCTATATTATTTAATTCAAGATTAATGTACAGGCCTTAAGAGAAATTGAAATACTTAAATCCATCTAATGCCAACAGATTGTCTCCTTTAAAGATTTAGCTTGTGGAGAGAATAGAACTTTTATAATTATGGAATATATGGAAGAGGACTTACTTACAGCCTTAAAAAGAGATACCTTCTCCGAACAATAGGCCAAAATGATCATGTTATAAGTGCTTCAAGGTTTGGCCTACCTACACAACAAAGGAATCATCCATAGAGATATCAAACGTATGATCTTATTTAACATTTTCAGCTAACAATATTTTAAATAAAAATTTGGAAATCAAAATTTGTGATTTGGGAATGGCTCAGAATTTAAAAAAACTCAAGCCACAAACACCCCGAATTCAAAATCATTCCTACAGGGCTCCAGAAGTGTTCCTTGGTTTATTAAATGACTAATATTAGGTTAAAAATATTGCTCTAAGGTTGATGTTTGGTCTGCAGGTGTGCTATTTATTTAATTGCTCTTTAAAAGCAATCCTTTCTAAGGGTCATCTGAACACTCATGCTTTCAATAAATCCTTAAATACTGTGGAACTCCCTAGGAAGGTATTTTTCTTAAAGATAACATAGAAAATTGGAACGGAGTGACTTCGCTCATAAATTACTCTACTCTCATAAAAGAAGATCCACAACCAAGAATACTTTAAACCTTACTTGAGAAAAAAATGTCTCCATTACTAATCAATCTTATTGATTCCATGCTTACTCTTGATCCTTCTTAAAGAATAACTGCTTAGGATGCTCTTTAGCATCCTTATTTTTGTGGAATGAATATTGAAAGGTATTTTATCTTAATTAATCCTTATTACACAGATGCCTTAATAAAATAAATGCTAGCCGAAAAAAAGGCAAAGCTGAATAATAAACTAAAACAGATGTCCTTAACTATCCTAATGGAAACAAAATCATTGTAGTTTCGTAAATCTTCCAAAAAAGCTAAAATTGCTTTTGATTACTCATTAATTTTGTTTTCTCTTAACTCTGTTTATTAAATTATTATAAGTTTTCCATAAGTTTTTCATAATTTATAATAACAAAAATAGAATTTGTCTACAACATCAAGAAATCAGATTTAAAGACTCTATGTAATTGATTTAAATCATAAAATTGATATAAAAGAGTACAATCTAGAATAATCGATAGTATTGGCATTTCTTGAGAATTTATCGACTCTAAATTGTTAATATTGCATCTTCCATTAATGAGCACTATAACATATGCGAATAAATTTATTCAAAGACATCATAGTTTTTTTATGTATTATTTTGAATATAAAAAAAAATATATATAAAAAATAAATATATATTATAAAATCTCAATATAAAAGTTAATATAAAATATAAATCTAATACTTATTTGATATTAATTTTTTAATAAGTACAAAAATTATAAATAATTCACATGTTTTTAAAAATGGTGTAAAGAATTATGATGAGAGATTTTAAAAACCAAAAATATACTCTAGAACTTCTTAAATAGACTTGAATTATACGAATAACTCGATAAACAATTTATAGAATTTGTTCGTTTTTTTTCCTTAAATATTCATAGATAATTCGTTTGTAATTTTAAATTTGATTTATCTTGATTTAAATTTAATTAAATCAATATGATAATTATAGCAATCCCATTTATATTAAAATTAGTATGAAAAAATATAAATTTTTGATTTTCTAAACTAACTGAAAGCAAATTTGTAATCTAAAGGAATTGGCTCCTCATTTAATATGATTATTGTAAGTCATAACAATGTTGATAATTTATTATATATTTTATTTCAAGCAGGTTTCTTAAGGGAAAGATATAATAAGTTAGTTCAACATATTTTTTAGAAAAAGTTCTCTGAATTGTGTTTATGTTTAGCAATCGTAATTCAAAAAAGTGAGAGAAGACTCCATTATACATTATCAAACTCATCGAATGAGAAAGAAATGTAAATACACCATTATGCAACTATAATTTTGAAATATTTGGATAAAATGTATTACTCGATGTATTATATTATAAATATATATTTTGATCAATTATTGTCTGAAGGGAAGCTTGCATGAATATCACTAAATGTTTAGGATAGATTGCCAATAAAATTTGACAACAAGTCTTCTGCTTCTGGAAAAAGTTTAAGTTAGATTAGTTCATCAAACATAAACGGAGAGGATTCTTGGGCCATGATTGGAATCAATTCTTCGGATGATGGGTTCAGGTGTTAATATTAACTAAGAAATGATAAAAAAATTGTTATACTTTCCAAGAACTTGATCCCATTTAAATCTTAATGATTTATAATATCTATTTTTTAGCATGTTAGTTGTTTTCCCTGGGAAGTATCTTGCGAACTTGTGGAACTTAGGTCCCTTCCTTAGAATATAGTTCAACAATCTTTAATCTTCTTCCAATGTAAATTGTTTTCCTCTATTCTTTTACTTTTTCCTTTTCATATCCTTCTCTCTCTTCACAGTATAGCGTATTAATCTGTTTTTTGAATCATCAGAGGCTTTGGTTATCGATTTATAATTATTATTCATCAATTTATGCGAATAAACGCTGTCCAAATTTTCAGTTATATCACCAATCGCTAGATAACAAACAAAATCGTACAATTATTGTCTAAACGACTCAAGTTGGATGACTAGTTATCATAAACTTAGTTTTCAAAATTTGAATTCAGTTAAAGTGATTAATAGGGATACTATTAAATTCTTCCTTATTCTCTATTACTTTCATTCTCATCCATTAGAGAGCATATGTTGAATCTTTTTGATTTTCTGATTAGCTTAACTGTCATATTCATTGATGTTAATTAAGATATTAATAAATCTGATTTATTAATCTCAAACATCTCAAACATAAATTGTAATAAATCTTATTTTTTTAATGTTTCCACATAACCAAATCAAAGAGAAGTTACTTCAAATAATCGATTAACATTCAATGACTATACCACATGTGTTAGTATTCCTTAAAGAAATAATTCTCTGTAGATTCTGACATTAAAAATTTTGATAAGAGAAATTCCTCAAATTTACTTCTTTCAATTTATATCTGCTTATTTAATGATCCATTATATTTAAGTTACGCCTTTTCCTATAATTAGAAATCATAAAAACGAAGAGACTTTTTAACATTAAATCAATGCAAATATTAATTAAAGGGTTTATTACAATTATTATTATACATTATAATATTAAATTGAAATGAATTGAAAATATCTTTTAATTAAAATCAGATAGTACAATAACAAGTACTTTTGTTTTGTTAGCAGTCCTCAATATTATAAAGCTTTATCTAATAAATGATGGCTGACAACCTATAAACAGAGATTACAATTTTCACTAATTATATTCATATTAAATTGTAACTTATTCTAAAGAAAAAGCAATATCGCCTATTTTCACAATTGAGTAGAGAAAAAATATATAAAAAAGTAAAAACGAAAATATCTTTTAAATATTATTTAGGGTATTTTGTTGGTATTTTAATTATATTTATTGAACCAAAGTAGTGGTTTTATCAAACAGAATTTATTACTTTATTGTAGTGTTCTAAAGCAGGCCATAATGATCTTATTAGACCTGTATTAATTACACTTTTTTATTGAATGGGTACTTTCTAATAGTCAAAGAGAGGGACAAATTATTCCATCTTTTTTTTATATATTTATATATTTCTTAAGTCAACATTACAGAATGAGAAATGTAATACTTATATTCAAAGAACAGATAATAAGGAGTTAAAGATTCTTAGAGTAACCATTAAAACAGGAGACATATTGTAATAATATTCAAATATAAAACTATAAAACATTTATACAATTATTGAATTTACATGAAACCTAATGAATACTCAATCAAAGAGTCCTCCCATATCAACATCTTCTTCTGGTTCTTCAGCCTTCTTTGGTGGTTCAACTTTTGCTGCTGGAGCTGTTTAGGCAGTGTTTGTAGCTTATGGTGCAGGAGCAGAGCTTTATGCTTAAGATTTATAAATTAAAATTACATGCTCCTCCTCCTACTGACAAACTTGTTAATTGTTTTGACCCATCTTTAATAACATCGTTCAAATTTTTCCCTTTTAATGCGGTGACAACATTCTTAACATCTGCAGCAACTGGTTCAACTCCAGCTTCTTTAAGTAATTTTGTCACATCCTCCTCAGCTAAATATTTGTGATAATCAATACTTGGGGCATTGTTTCCTCCTAAAACGAGTAAAGCATAAGCAGCAATGTACTTCATTAATACAATTATTTAAAAATTATTTTTAAATAAGATGCCAAAAGATTATTCTTTATTTATAATATCATCTAAATATCAATAAAAAGGATAGCAATTATTAATATACATTTATTTTTGCCTTCTAGCTACAGATTTTGAAATTTTGCTATGAAATCAGACTTTATTGAATTCAGAACAATAACCAATACAGTTCTTTGAAGAAAAGAGTGTCTTCTTGGGACTATAGTTATTGGTTCTTTAATTTAATTGCTTCTTATTTCAAAATAATTAGTCTTTTGAAAATAATATAATAAAAATCAATTAGTTATTCTATGGAAAAATTAAAAAAAGTTCTCCTTTAAATGAGAATCTTATATATTATGAAGATAAAATTATTAATGATGTTATTTAAACTACTATGATAATTTTAGGTCCAATTACATCAATGTTATTATACATAACTGTTTAGATTTCAAATGTGACTTTGTATGAGAAATAAATATCAATATTGATATCAAGAGTCTCATACAAAGCGGCAGAAAAAGCTATCGATAAACTATTAGACATTAAGTCTGTCCTATCTGAACCAACTTAATTGGTTTGGAAAAAAGTTAATTATTTTGATCTTATTTATGAAAGTAAAGAGAACAATAGTGAACAAAATAAAGAAATAGTAGCCAAGAGTATAAGACAACTCCAGCAACGCGATCTAATTATTAAGTACAAAATCTAAATCAAAATCGAAAAGAAATTATCAAAGCAACTCACATGCCCAAAGAATCTATGATCTAAATTTGATTAATAAAGTTAACTATTTTTATGTGATAGGGGCATGGTTCTTACTTTGCATATTTGCGATTGGTTCTATACTTGTAACCGTGAATTAAGTATCGGATATTAAACCAACACTCAATTTAAATTTTTAACTGATCAGATTTAAATTTAGATTTGATTCATTAGTTGCTTACAGTGAAATCATTAAAAGTGAACAAATGATAGAATAATACTTATAAAGTTAATATCAAAATTTAGATATGTAAATAGATATTATAATTGAACTATTCAATTAATTATATAATGGATTCTAAGATAGTGTGAAATAAATCTATGATTCTTTGATTGAGAATTCAGGATTAATGTAAGCATAAAAAACAGAATTGCTCATGTATTTTGAATAAGGTTTGTGCAATTTCATGAGTTCAGAAATTCCTTTTTGCAATATCTAAATACATAGTGATGATAATTTTACTGTTCCTTAAACCTTTATCAACTAATATGGTTTACCTGCAGCAGAAGATAATAATTATGAATATATTTCTGGTAGAATCATCAATATGGTTTAAGAATTCAGTAAGAAATTGTAGATGTACTATTCTACTGAATTGGTGAGTAGAGTATGAGCAATGATAGTCCTTAAGAAATTAGACAATACTTAAAATCCAAGATTCACATAACCTAATAAGTTGAATACTTCTGGATACTGGAAAATTATTAAGCACTGTTGGGTACAATTTGTATGAGCAAAACTAATCAAAATTAAATTAAGCAATCACTGTCACTCAAATATACGTCTACATTACTGGATTTAGTGTTTTTCTAATTTTTATTTTGATGTCTTTTTATTGGATGAAAAGAAAAACTTCGAGACTATAATTAATGAGATTGAGCTTAACACTTATTCCATATGATATTTTATTAGAACCTAAGACTTTAAGTTCACTAAAATAATTGTGATTTGATTATATTAACTACAATATTTAATACAACTTATTTTAACATTTATTAATCTTAACAAATAAACGTTTCTTCAACCAATTGTTATTCCTTTTCCTGTAAAGGCAGAGTTTTTAATCGCAGGGGTCTATTGGTTTCTTTCATTTTATTGTAGTGGCCTACCTTTATGTATATTAATCCATACTTTCGGGTTCTTCGACTGTGTAGTCCTTCTCAATTTCCAAAGCCATGAATTCTCTATAGGCTAGAAAGACTACATATTGAGCAACCATATAGAAAAACAACGTTGTCAAATGCAAAATTGATAAAATCTTTTCTCTTCCAGTTTCCCCCAATATGGGCAATTCATTCTAAAAACGAGTAGCAAAATATAGCCCTTTTAATAAAATCTTGAGTAATTATGATGCATACGTAATACAAAGTTATAGCAATGTAGATGAGGCATTAACAACTTCCTAAAGAAGACCAAGCTGACCACAATAAGATTATAAAGAAAATTTCAAACAATTCTCCTAATTAGAATAAGGCCACTTATCTGGCAAATAATAAAGCCAATTATATAAAAGCAATCAATTACAATTGAAAAACTGATCTCTTTCCTTAAAAAGTATTTGGTTTTTTATTGTCAAATGGTAAGCACATATGAATATTGTTAATAAATATTTAATAATAAAATAAATTCAATTTCCAATTCTATTGGCATTAACTCCAAATAATGCATACTATTGCAGGTCGTTTTAATTGGAACCACCATTATATTGAGGTGCTTCTTACTCTGCGATTTAGTCATTTTAAAGTAAGTCCTAAATTAAATGAATACAATACAATATCCTTTGCTTTTCTCATTTAAAAGTATGTTTTTTTCATCTCTTGTAAGTCTCCCTTCATTCTATCAATTTCGAATTTCAGCATGTCAACCTTTTGATAAGTTACACTATTACATAATCTTAACTCTGCTTTAATTAACTTAAAGTCGTCTTCATTTTAGCTGCATTTTCTTTCAAAGATTCCTTATATTGAGCAAGTTATTGATGAATTTCCACACCTGGTTATCTTGATAATATATTTTTGAGTTCCATAAACAATTTTTCCTTTTCTTTGATTAAATTTTCCTTTTCATTTACCTCTTCCGTTTTTGCTATCAATCTTCTTTATAATGTTTAAATCTTTAGAATTCTCTCAAAATTTTCTTAGTCAGTTGCTTCAAGTTTTCTCCATCTGTGTACATTCATTGGATTTTCCAATTCATCTGATAAGGCTTTTACCTTGTTCTTTTCGTTTAATAATTCTTTTTCGATATTATTAATCTCCTTTCTCAGCTCATCAATGCAAGCAGTTTGATCTTAGGTAGACTTATATTAAATAAAGTGTTTTTACTTTTAATTCATTTCTTAAATTAGTTAATTCATCTTTTAAGCTTTTCAACTCAATTTCTCTCTCTCTGAAATTTATCTCCCCCTTACTTAAGCTTGATTAATTTAATTTGATCTTCTCATAAAGAACCTACAATTCTTAATTCCTTTTAATCAATTAGGTTCCTAAAATGTCTCTTTCATTCACTACCATTTCATAATCCTTCTGCTATCGTTATTTTTCAGTCTAAGCTCCTTATATAATGTTTTTTAATCTTGAAATATGACTTTCTTAATTTTTGATTAAATCTTCATCAGCTTTAATGTTTTTTTCAACCTTAGCCTTATCTTATTCAATTTTAGCATTTTCTTCTTCTACTTTATGAAATTCAAGATCCTCCTTTACTAATTACTAATCCTTTGTTTTAATTTCTTCTTTTAATTAATCCACCTAATGCTTCATTCTAGTATATTTCTTTGTTAGTTCTTAAATTTCATTATGACTCTCTAATAAATTTTTGGAATATAGATTTCTATCACTCCTAACGGTTTCATACAACTATTATTAATGTTTCAATCTAGCCTCGGCCTCAGCAATTTACTTCTATTATTCAGCTATTTAATTATTTTTTATTTTAACTTCCTCTACTGTCTAATAAAACTTAGCATGCGCTTAGGAAGCCTCAATACCATACTTTTCTTATTCTCTTTATAATTATAAGATCATTTTATTAATTCTTTCATTACTAGCTTCGTATCCCATGACTTAATTTTCCACTTTCTTTAATTTATTAACTTTATTCACTATCTCTTCATCAGTCTAATGTTAAACATCTTCTTGTTTCTTTAAAGTCTTCTGTTATTATGTTCTTGATTTAATCCTTTGACTATTCATCTCATTTATTTTATCCAATACATCCTTCTTCTACTGCAATTCAATCTTCTCAGTTTCAATTAACATTTCTTTTGTATCTTTTTCAATTAGTTATTCTTCCTTTTCCTTTATAATTCTATTTTTTTCTTTAGCTGTAATTTCCTATTCTTTATGTGTTTTCTTAACTTCCTTCTTTTCTTTTTAGATTTCTATTTGTAATTTCTCTAACTATTCCAATTATATTTTTATTTGTTCTTTATAGCTTTTTAATTATTCCTCTTGATTTTATCTATCCTTTAAGGCAGCCGCATTATTATCTTCAGCTTCCTTTTATTTTGTATGTTAACTCTCTTTTTCTTTGATTTTAATTAATATAGTATTGTTTGTAGCAACTATTTATTTTTTAACATCGTGAATTCTGGATTGCTTCTCTTCAATTTCCTTTTTTGCTAAGTCAATGTTTTATTTGATCTCTGCCATTTTTACTTCTTTTTTCTTCTTTCTCTTTTCTTATTCTTTTGAATCTGCATCAATTTTAGCAATTTTATCTTCCAAATCACTAATCTTTTAAAGTTAATCTGAATATTGTTTCTCTTCATTGTCTAGATCATGTTTTAAATTTTTATTCTGTTATTCTAAATATTCAAATTTTGATTTAGCACTCTAGAAATCTAAAATATTTTATATAGAACATACTCTTCTTGATTTCATCAATTAATCGTTTTTTATCATTTAATTGTATTTAACTCTGCTCTTCAATATCCTCGACTACTCTATCGCATTATTTTTTTAACTAAGTAATTATTCAATTAATTTACATTTTCTACTTCAATTTTTGCTTAAACTATTCTCTCTTTAAGTTCCTTCTCTTTAATTTTTAGATCTTCAATTTTTCTCCACTTCTCTTCCAATTCTTTTTAAAACCCTTCTGCTTGTTGATTATCATCATTAATCAATTTTAATAACGTTTGAATTCGAGTAGAGTATGCATTTATTTCAGAATTATGCTCTTTACATCTAAAATATTTCCCTCAATATACTTCTTAGTCCATCTCACTTCATTTTCATAACTCTCTTTGAGTGAATTATAAAGAGTTTCATATTTTATCTTAAATAATTCTAAGTCGGGATCCGTACTAAAATCTCTTATTACATCTTGAAAATGCTTTTCAATTTATTGGATAATTTGTGGATCAGTTGAATATTGATCTATTTCTTTATTCAAAGTTATCAAACTCACTCCTTCTTCTGGAGCCTTTGCCATTTTAATTATATAAATAATTAATATATTCTAATAAAAAGATTTATTTTCTATCGATTGAAATTATGATGAAGGGGTAAAACATGAACCAAAAACTAAATTCATATTCGCTCAACTTAATTTTTTAATTTCTCATTTTATATTTTGAATATCAAACCTGATATTTCTTTTGTTAAAAAGTTGTCTGCCTCAAAAGTCTTAAAACTATTCTCAGCCTATAATTTAATACAACTAACTTACATCAATAAATTCAGTGATTCCTGACAAATCAAATGCCATATTATTTTGTAAGACTTCATCTAAAATTATTTTAGCATCATTTTCAGAATACTAACTTTTTGGACAGTCAAAAATAGAATTATCTCCCACATCTACTAAATAATTCTTAAAAAATGGAATCAAACTGGATATTTAACCTGTATTAAATTAATCCATTTGTTTCCATAATTCAGGTTTCATCATGGCTAATCCTTAAATAATTAATTTCATTTCCATAATATTAAATGCAGATTCTTCAATGAAGACCTTCAAGATCTTCAGGATCTGTTAATAAAAGGAAATCTTAATTAATCCTAAATTATAAAAATAGAGACCCTTTATTGGATGTTTGATCTTACCAAACCACTCAACAATTAAATCTTCGGCATCGCTTAAAGCTAATGTAGCATTTCCATTTTGATTAAGCCAGATATAGTTTTATGCCAATAAAAGTTTCAACTCACTCATCTAGTGTTTATTTATTTTAGTTTTATCTTTACACTAATTTGAGTAGCCTGACAATGCTTTTTCAGCGGCTTAACAAGAGAACAGTATAAATATCTTTTGGCTTGAATTTTCATCTAATTTGTAAAAGTTCATCTAAAAAACGATAAGATTAATTTGATAATCAAATTCTTCAAATTCCTACTAAGTAATTTCTCGTAATAAAACTTTAGCATTTCTTCTCTTTTTATTCAATCTTCTAATTTCCTTCAATTCTTATAGTCTATCTTTTTTGTTATCTTGAATTTGTGATAATGTTTCTGCAATTAAGTTCTCAGTAGCAATTCTATATAAAACATAAGCTATGACTTTCCAAAAATAGATTCTATGTCTTTGATTTTATAATTTCAATTAGAATTAAAATAAGATGGTTAGAGTGGGCATTTTGAATTGACTTCTTGATAGGATCTCTAAATGATTTAAAATACATTCTATCACAAAAAAGTCATCGTTAACATTATCAAACAAAGCATCTTCAATTGACTCAGTGATAGGGATGGTTTTAGGCTGACAGATCTATTTGATAATGTTCTTTTCTGACTAAAAGCATACCTATATGTAAATTATGAAAATATACAAAATGGTTTTTGAATCCATTTTTGTTCTCCTTTATGTAGAAACCCTGCTGTGAATCAAGTTAATATAAATATGACAACATTAATAGTGAATATTCGTAAGCATTCTCCATATCTACAATGGATATGTAATATCTGCACAAAAAATGACAATGGAAGGCCCAAGTCAAACTACCTTCTAAAAATTTATATTCACTTACTCTACCAATATTCATATATATATAATTACATCTTTAATAGTGTTAAGATTTCTTCATCCCCACATTCAGCCTTGATTGAACAAAAGGCAGTCTTCAAAATTTATTATAATGGCAAAGTCAACTTAAAAAGACTAACAGCTATGAAATCCTCCATTATTGATTGTGAAAATTGTATGTTAAAATAATAGGGTAAATTAAAAAGGAAGTATCTTGCATTTAATGTCTCATCTTCAAAATATTCTATTAAATCATTTCTATGATAGAGTCTATTAAAGGGAGGTTTAATCAACTATTATCGTTTCTATTTTAAAACAGCTTCTATTATTTGTATATCCTTTATGAATCCTTCATGAGAATCATTAAAGATAAGTGCATTATTATCTAATAATTTCTTAGTAAAATTCACTATCAAATTAGCCATGTCCATTTCTTCGAATTCATAGTATATTTGTATTAAACCCAAAATGAAAATTGAGTTTATAAAATATTCATTCACATATTGCGCAAAGCATTTATAAATATCTGAAAGTTTCTTCTTTTATAATAGCATGATTCTAGTTTGTGTTAAAAAATATTAATGATATCCAAAGTAGTCAGATTAAGTATTAATTAGCATACTTTCAACTGGTTACTAAAGAATTTAATAATTTTTAGCTTTTGAAAATGTTGAGTCACCTTGTATCATCAAATTAGAGATTTAAGTAAATATTTCCTCTTAATAATTAATATAAGTGGCAATATTTTCAAAGTGCCTCTTTGAAAAACTATAACAATAGGACTAATAGATAAAGATTCTTAATTATATCAATCCTTAATGAAAGATCCATGAAGCAGTCTCATTATTTATGTTAGAAAAATAATCTATCTTTACTCCTAACGTAAATATCTTATGTAGTTATTGTAATTATAGAATTTTTGATGTGCTGTCTAGATTTAATTAGCCTAATTAGTCTTTATTTAATATATTGACTGTTTACTTCAAATTAATGGGACAATAATCATACAACTTTAAGAGGAAATGAATAATTCTGATGTTCAAAAGGATTTTCATTTGCTCATTAGTTGAAGTTTATTTGAGAATGTAAAGTAAAACTGTTTTGTTCTATAAACTACACTTTAAATTGTTATAAGATAATATTTATCTCCAATTAAACTCCATTTAAGTTGATTCCTCTAATTCCGACTGAATATATTGCTTGTTTTCCATGTTAGTTTTTAGCCATAAAATGGTATATCTACCTAATTCACATTAAGACTCCTATTTAAAAAATTGTTCATTTTTTTCTGTGAATTTAAAGTTAAATTAGAGTGAAGAGATTAATTGTTGGAAATAAGTATATGCTGGAATATCTTTAAAGTTGTAATTAAGAAATTCTTTTTGCTTCATTTGATACAATTCGTTTTTACAATCATGTAGTATTATTACTTACAAGTAGAGATAATAAATATACTGAATTGCATATAGAGGGTTCGTTTTGATTTCTGAATTTATATTAAAGACCCAGACTTCCTCTTTAGCTATTTCTTATTCTTCCCTCTCCATACCAGGACTTAATTAATCGAAGTTAAATTAACTTGGACTTAATTCTAAGGCCTCACTCAAAATTTCAGGAAGCTTTTATTTGTGCATGATTCTTTATTAGGTTTCAATTATTGTAGATATTGCTAATTTGGCAAATTCATAATGCCCACTAAAATATTATTATAAGGCAAATAAAGCATAAAATTAGTTGAGGAATCGATTTACTTATTATTCAAAAACTAAGATGTTGTCTATGAGTTTAAGGTTTTTTCTTAATTAAGCAAGCAAGAATTATCTTTGCTTTGATAATAATTAAGAAGATTGTTCTTAATCATTCTAAATCGTTTTTAGTATAATACATTGCTCAGTTTAATTTAAATTAGCGACATTGATATTTGAAATCAATTACTTTATTATCAGTCTTAATTCAAATGTGAGTTTCTTTAAGATGTCAATAAAATAATTCAATTATCGTGTTACGTCATATTTTATTTGAAATTTCGCTGCAATCTAATAATAGTAAATTAGAATGATATCAAGGTTCTTTTTTAATGAATGCGATGATAGCAAATAGGAATTTAAATCTTCTAATAATTGTATGCAAAAATAGGGAAAAGTGCTTTCATTGATTTAATATACTTCTTTCTTGACATAATCTTCATATTCTTATGTTAAATGTAAGGCATCTTGAAATTATTTCATTCTGAAATTCAAATTGATTTTATGTAGCATTGACCAAGTAAATGCTTAGTAAGATACTGCATGGTAGTATTATTACTTCTATTGATGTTCAATTTCAAACTTAATATCAGTAAAGCAATATTACTTTTGAATGAAGTCTTATAGTTTTTGAAGATTATCTTCTAAAAATAATAATTCATTAATTAGCCATTTTAAGGGATGCTATAATTTATCGAAATATTATTTTATCTCCTCTATTTCTTCTAAATATAACATTTCTAAAACAATTTTCCCCAATTCAAACAAAGAATTAAACTTTGTCATTGAATTCAGAATGTGATACTCTCCTCTGATTAAGAAAATGTTTCTACTAGATATACTTTTAAAGTCAGCAAGTTTCAATAGATTAAAGGCAGCATGAAGAAATTATTTGATTTCAGCCTCGGTATAAGGTATTCCATAAGTTTTTCTGTATTTTAACACTTATAAAAAACTTTTGGGCTCAAAAGCTTCATAAATGCATAGACAATAACCCTTGATATAAAAGTCATCTATCTGATCGACAGTGTTGACAATTCTAAAATAATTCATACTTTCAGCATACAATATTCCTTCATGATTATCTGCATACTTTTAAAGTTATATCTATTCTCCATGTTTTATTTAGAAGAATTACAATAAGTAAATTGTCTCCTATTATCCCATTTTGACTATCCAAATGTTATCATGCATATGCTTTATGAATTTGATCTAAGGAATAGGAAATTGTTCAATTTGGAAATATGAAAGTATGATTTCTTCAAGTACAGTTGTGGTTTTTTGAAAGATGGAAGAATCCTTGCATTAATCAACAATATTTTTGAATTCAATTGATTTTATATCTTCTATGAAATAATTTGACGAATTATTTCTTTGAGAACTGAGAGGCAAAAACCATTCAACTTTTTATCTTAAATTAATATTTATAAAATTACTTTGGTTCAATATTATTGAAAATATCCATAAAATCTGAAAATTGTATTTTTTCTAACATAGAATAATCAATTTAAGAGTCCAATTCTGGTTATAAAGGATTTTCTGGTTCGAGATTTTCTATAATTTGAGTAATTTTATAAAACTCTTAAATTAATTATAGTGATGGTTTCTTAACAACTTATTTTCTAAATCCTTTAAAAGTCAGTGCCTTTATTTTTAGGAGAATAACCTTTCTTGTATTCAACCATGCGTGCTTCTCAACGTACCTTTGATATTTCTTAACCAAATTTGTATATTCGATATTTTCTTCTCCATTATCATCTTCCTATTATCCAATCAATTGGAAATCTTTTCTAAATCTTTATTGAGCTTTCTCATCATAATAAACTCTCATTTAATTCAGTTTTGAGGATATTATCAAATATCTTCTATAATCTAAATTTCTTAATTAAATTATTTTCCTTCTCATGTGAACAAATCTTTGTGATACTCTCCTATCAGTCCAAAGTTATCTATATTTTGTTAAGACTTATGACTTATATAATAGAGTATAAATTTTTAATAGTAGTCTAAGCTTTTATTTTTCCTTTTAATTTTTAAAAACACATTTGAAAGCCCAATTCTGATCTCTTTAACTAAAGTATTCCAGAATTTTAGTAAATTAGAATTCACCTAAATATTGCTTGTCTAAATTTTTAGTGTATTATTCAACTTTGATAACATTCAATTTTTATTTGATCTCTGGTATTTCATAGTGATCATGTAATTCATCATCAGAACTGACTGTTTCAAATTTTCCAGATTCAGCAGAGTTTAAAGTCCCATAAACTTTTAAAATTGGAAATCTTTTTAAAGCATCCTTGTTCTCCTGAGATTTGCCCTCTTTAATTTTATTTTAAATAGTCGCTTTTATTAAATATTTATGTCTTTTCATTAAATCACTCAAAGCATCTGGTATTTGACCAAATATTGCTCCGATGAAAAACTTTCCAAAGCAATTAAATATTAAAACACTCAAAAATACCATAATGAGTTCATATCCAAATTATTTATTATATTGTATTGTTACTACTCCAGTATTGGTTAGTAAACAGAGCAAACTGATGATCTCAAGAAAAAAATTCCAAATTCCTAAAGAACTTTCATTTTTAGGCCATGGTCTTTATAGACAGTACAAAAAAGTGTTTTTCTTGACCTAAATTTACATTATATTAGAAATCCATAAAATAAAAAAACTAAATGGAAATGTATATCCAAAAATACTTAAAAAGGATATCAGTACGAATAATTCCATATAATCTTGCATTGTGCCATATCTCTCAAAATCTTAAGAGTATGGTTATCTTGATGATTAGTCTTCAACAAACTCCATAATGTCAATTTCATTGTAATCATAACTTTTTATTTTAATTTTAGTTAGTTTAAATAAAAATATACAGAAATTTACAATTTACTTAAATAGAATTAAAATAACAATAGCAGAAAAATAATATTTAACATGTCTTTCACAGTTAGTGCGTGCACAATATAAATTGAGTGGTTGATTCAAATAATCTAAAAATAAAAGAGGAGCAATGTAAGAGAAAAATTGAAAAATGAACTTCTTTAATACAAAGCTTGTTTCATATGATTCAACGGTTTTGTAGTTCTCGTACTCAGTTAGTTAACAGGCAATTTTGTCAAAGATATTGTCTGCAATTAATTAAGCAATGAAATTCATAGCTGCAGCTGAAGTGACTTCAATAGTAGCTATATCAAAGTATTTCAGTTCCTACTAATACTTGTTGTGCAATTAAACAGTGAAAACAAATAAGGATACTATAATACCAATATAAAATAATATAAAGAAAAACAGCAACATTGAGCTCACCAAAGTTCTTTTCAAATATTCATGATACAACACTTCAATAGAGTTTAATTAGTCATTTACTAAGGATCGTATGTGTTTGCCTTTAAATTTGGATCTTTAAACTTATTATTGATCTTAGTCATTTTGTCCGTATTTCAGATTGAAATAGATTTGTTTTTGTTTCCACAAATCAGTAAATACATTGCTCCAATGAATTTGGACAAAGGCAAATATAATAGTAACCAAAATGTAGAAGTCACTCTCATTATCCCAAATTATCCATTAAATCAAACTACAAGCAAGACCAGAAAAGGCTAAGGGAGTCGTCATTTCAGTAAAGTAACTCATGAAGTAAAAATAGAGACCAATCTTTTCTCCATAATATCCACAAATTAAATCGCAAGGACTAATCCAGGGTCTCAAATAATCTAGTTTCCATTCATCAATCAATTAAAATGGTTTCTTCTTAAAAAACCTTGTGTCCAAAGTTATCTAAGCCTAAACATTGCTACATTATCCAAATAATTCATAATGATCGTTAAGACAGAATATTTATTTAATGATACCCAATTAATGCATAATACTGAGATCTAATTCTTGTGACACTTTCTGATAGACCAATTTCAATCTCTCTTGAGATGAGAATAACGATATCTAATTGTTCTCATTCTTAACATATTTTCTCCAACTTAATTCCTGTTTTGCTTACTGTGTTTTCGTATTTTCTTTATTAGGCATTTAATAAGGATGATACATATCAAAAGGAGGTATTTCTGATCGTTCCCATAAATTATATAGCTTTATTTATTCTCCATTTGCAACTCTCAGAGCCTCTTAAAAGGAATAGAGATAATTCAAAGAAACTGATTCTTTTTTTAATAATTTTAATGCCTTTACTGGAGGAATTTATAACGAAAATTAAAAATTCGAGAACTCATCCATAACTCTATCAGCTTACATCTATATTTAGTTTATCATTTCTAAATGCTCATAATTTCTAGGTTCTTACAAATTTTAATAGTTCAGATTTTGAATCTCTTTATTTGATGCATTTCTTTATTAATAAATTTAAAGAGAGGTTACTTATTTATTTAACAAGCATGCTAGTTCATTATCGATTAATTAACTCTGTCTGAATTACCTAACACACTTTTCTAGGTGAGTCAAGTATTTATGGTATGCTATCCATTCTTCATCTGTAGGTCCATCATCTTTCTCACTAAAATCCAATTTGCCATATTCAAATAATTGTGAATTTATTGAACTTTGATTTGTTTCTCGAGCTATGCGTTTGAAATTAATCTGTTGAATTAATCTGATCATTTGTGGTTTTAAATATAAGAACAAGTCTGAAACTTCAAAATCAGAAGATTTCCAAATTCTGTTATTGATTCTTAGAGGCCTAAATGACTTGTCTACAGGTTCTAAGGAAAACAAATCTGTAAACCAAAAATTTAATTACTTTAACACATGACCTTGATCAGCTACTATCTTCAGATTAGAATCTTGCATATTAAGCATAACAAAGATCTCGTTGCCTTCTCCAGATAAGAACGATTGAATATTGAAGCCTCCCTTGTTTAATTTAATTATTAGAGCATTTCTTATTAATGTAGAGACATCCTGGGTAGGAGTACCAGATCTAATCCACATATCTTCTTAGTTTTCCAAATATTGACCTCCTCTCCATTTTTTAAGCAAAGTCTATTTTAATTCTTTATAGTTTAAGGTTAAACAGTCCATTATATTTGCATGTATATCTTTTTATAGTAAATTATGAAACTATTTTTCTAATTAAGATACATAATTCTTAATTATTTCTATTTAATTATGTTTAAGTACCATTTTTATCAATGTTATGATACCTTATGTCTGATTTTTCGTATAATAAATTTTGTTATTGCAAATCCTTCTCCCTTATGTGTTTTTAATCTTGGTTTTCTTCGGTTAATAGAATGGTGGGATCCTTTTTTTGGTGATAGCACGCATCATAAAAAGGCAAATTAAAATATATTGACTCAATCGCTTTCAATAATAAAAGATCGTCTAGAGATTTCTAATTGATCCTCAATCCTGATTGAAGTAATTCAAACAGTTCGATGCTCGAATTAACCATGCATTAGTCATGATTCTCGTTCTTGTATTTATAGTCTGGGTTTATTAAACTAATTAAAATAATCAATCGTATGGAAACCTAAACACGCAGTCAGGAAATATTTCTACATCTTCACTCAGATCTTTCTTGAAATTCTTCAGAATGCAATTATAATTGAAGTCTTCCTCCTATTCTAACTCAAATCCTAATAATGTTTTTATATAGGCCTAATATATTCCTAAAGGTTTCTACAAAACTTCGCATTTTTTTTCTAATCTTGATTTCTTAGGTATAGTGTTCGATGGTTTTTTGACTAGGTTGTCTCTCCTTTAGTTAGTATCAAGGGATGACATTATAATAAAAAAAGTTGTATTAAAATATTAATTTTTCTTATTAAGACCATATCAATTTTAGATAAGGTTGGAAGTATAATGGTATCCATATTGACAGTTATTTTATATATTATTTAATATTTAATTCCATCAATTTAAATAAACAGAATGGTTTTGTTAAAAGAAAGTATTTAAACATATTTACTTTTATTCAATACAAATAGAATTTAATGGGAATGTAATTTAGTAGAATCACGATCTTACTAAAAATTTTAATAATACTTATTTTACTTTATAATTCATAGAGTAATTTGATTAGTATTGAAATTATAACCATATAAAACTTTAATAATTACGCTTATAAATAATTATAGTTCCAAAATTCTTAAATGATCATTATTTAGAATAGCTATTTCAAAGGTAGAAATTTATTTTTATTAAACAATATTATCTCTTTTTCCTCTTATGATAAAACTTTTAATAAAATAATAAGTAAGTAGATATTGAAATGTATTGATCCTACTTATATATTAATATTATTTTAGACAAATTAATAATAAGCAGACTTTGAATGTCGCTATATTAAATCTTACTTTAAATTAAAATATCATTTGATGAAATTAGAAATTACTCATTTCATTACAAACGTAATTTTTTCGATCTCATCCAAACAAAATTACGATGTTAAAGATTCATTTGCGAGAAATTATGATTTCTCAATATATCTTTAATGAAAAAAAATACTTAAAGATATGATATCGTTCTTTTAGAACATTTCAAATAATATTTTCTATAAAAATTTCATCTAAACATATTTTTATTCTCACATTTAACATTTTTGAAAGAAAGTGGTTCTGATATATTCATACATTTTACTTCTATGAAGGTTAATTATATGATAATTATCAGTGTGTTAAAGAAAAACTCTTGTGTTCATTTTTATTATTATTTTCCAATACCAATTTTACTAATTTCTAAATCTAGTACCAAGAATAAGGATTTATTAATTTCTAACTTTTAATTTGAGTTTTCAATTTCAATTATCATTATCTTAATCAAAAACTCTACCTTGTTTCTCTGTAAGAAAGAAGGAGGGTGAGTAATTTGAAAAATATAATTACTGAATAAATTTGATGCGTTATTTAAATAAAAGAGTTTATTCAGTTAATAAAAGAAAAAAATATTTTTTTATAATTCCAAAAGTGGAGGAGTCTGACAAACATATAATTTAAAATTTTTATGTCATTAGGCAAATAATAAGTTTATAAAAAGATTTATAAAAAAAAACCGACCATAGCCATTTTGTTATTTTGAGATAATATTTATTTAATAGCAGTATGGAATTCGATCAATTTAATATTTAAAATATCTTAGAAAAATACTTATTATGCAAAATATCAAATAGTAATTTGATGATGGGGAGTTGGAAAGAAGAGAAAATTCAATTTTATACTAAAATTAATTTGATAATCAATAGTCCTTTGATGGTATAATTATTAATGTACTTAGCTTTTTACAACTTAAGTACATAAAGTGAATAGTTAAGTGGCTTTAATTATTTGAATGAAGTTGAGATTTAACAAAAGGATAAGATAAATCTATAACAAAAAAAAGGACAGGAGTCTAAAAACAAAAAGAAAAAGAAGCTGAGATACAAGATCAGCAACAAGAGAAAGGCAAAAAAGATAAAAGGATTTCAAATAGATGAAGACATAAGACTGTTAGAATCAGTATTAAAATATGGAAGATAGTTTTCAAGGTTGGTTAAATTATTTCCAAAAAGGACTGTCAGTATGTTAAAGAATCGATATTATAAGAATCTTAGATATAGATGGGAGGAATTATTAGGAATGTAATTTTTTCTATTTTTAATTTTAGAGTCTATGATGAAGAATATGAGGAAAATTTTATAGATGATGGCTCAGTAAATTAATCTATTGAGTAGATTGATCATAGAAGTTTGATTAAGATGTTGCCTGAGTCATACAGTTGTCCAAAAATAAGAGATATGTTAGAATGTTTGATCACAAGGGTGAATGTCATTTTGAATGTGTGAATTTTGATGAAAGTTATTTATATCTATAATTTTATTTTAATGAATAAAAACTAATGCAAAAAAGTAACTAAAAACTGGGATTGAAAAAGAGAGGATGTGATTAAAAGAATATATTTTAATATGATGGACTTTATAAATTGAATATCTCAAAACATGTAACTTAAGATGATGAAAAGAACGCTGATTATTTAGCTATAGCATACTTCACAGGTTCCATTATTATCTCCTGCTTTCCATCTGGCGGTTCCTCCAGTTGAAGCATAGCAATTTGATGAAGTTAAACTTTCTAGATTAGGGGCTTCAGTACATGCTCCATTTGTTAAGTAGCAATATTTTACATTGTAATTTTAGTTGGGATTGGATAAATAGAAATTGCAACTTTTAGTCTAAGTGTACAGACTTGTGCAAGTGTATGTAGAACAAGTTCCATTGCCAGTATTATCCCAATAGCATGTATTAAGTACTAATTCGCATTAGGCTTAGGTGTTAATCATGTTGCAAGTGCTGATACCTACACATTTGGATGAGGTTTGATTCCATTAGCAGATTCCATCAGTACCAACTGAACCAAAACATTAATAGAATGTACTGAAATCACCACAAGAATTGGGGGAAGATGAGCATTTGCCACCACTGATTCCTGCACAAATGATAGATTGGCTTAAACATTCTTGTTAAGTGTTTGCACTCAATTAAGAACATGTGACAGTGGATGAGCCTGTTGCTTGACAACCGAGGGAATTGCTCCAATAGCAATATTTGCTTAGAATACATTAGGTTTAACTTGTTAATTAGGAGCACTTTTAATTTTAGCATGCGGAAGTACCAGCATTCCAAAAGCATTTAGGAGCAGACAAGGCACAATCAGTATAATTAGTTAAGTCAGAGCAAGAACAATTGCTTTTGACATTCAAGACACTAGAATAATGGCAAGGTAAACACAATCCCTTTTGAGCATTGGATGGTTCACTCCAATGGTGAGTTCTCCCTGTTGAACTAAAACATGAATTGACATCATAACTGAAAGAATTATCAAAGGAACTACACTTTTTAGTGTCAGGATTCCAAGTACAAATATTTAGGATATTATTATTGATATTGTTTTAAATGTAAGTGCAACTTGATTAAGTCAAATATTCTGAACAAGTTTTAACTTAACATGAAGCAGCACCACCTGTTTTCCAAATGCAAGAATTACTAAATTAATCACACAACTATCTTGTCAATAATTATGAACATGATGTAATATTAACACAAGCTTTGTTTGCAGGTTCATAAGTACAATATCCGTCTTTGCCAATTGAATTATAGCAGACATTTGGTTGCAAAGGAGTGGTAATTTATGAACATGTTTGCAATGACAATTATGATAAACAAGTAGTTCCATTGGATCCTGGACAAAAGATTGATAATGCTACGCAAGCTTAGCCATTCTTTCCTTATATTTCAGTACAATTTGAGTAAGCTGTACATTGAGGAGTTCCAGCTGCATTCCAATAACATCCTTTAACTTATGCACATTATTATTAGACTAAATAATCAGCACATGCCAAAGCTTAACATGCGTATGTTGTTCCGGTAGTAACCGCCCATTTGCAATTTTAAGAACTTTAGCATTCAGCTTATTATAACAATTGTTAACATTCACACTAATTACGATAAACATACTTGTATGGATTGCATTATGCACAAATTCCTCCGGATTCTATAGGAACCCATCTGTAATGACTATTAGTATTAGAAGAACAAGTGCTCTATGTTAAAGTTCCAATTGTGGCTTCAACACAATTGTTTCCCACCAAATTGCATGGCAATATACCAGCACCAGTCAATGGGGATTGTAGAACAAATTTGCAATTTTCTTGAGATAATTACCCACAAGTTGTAGGACTGCATTTTGTACCTGTCCAATAACAAGCAAATTAAAATTATCTCAATTCACATTAGTCTTTAGCGGTGATATCTCCACATTAAGTTACTACTTTGCAACTGCCATTCCAATAGCATAGACCTTCATCTGCCAATGTCTAACCTTTGGCTGGTTAACATTATTCTATTGTTGTTAAATTTTTGCATGATAATCCTGCTGCTACACATTGAGGTTTTGGTATATTTGAAGGCACACAGGAAGGATTGCTTGATTAGCATGTTGCACCAGCTGCTAATTATATGTCCTCACATTTAGCTAGTGTGAAACAAACAATAGCTGCCTACTATGTTGATTCTTAATAATAGCATCTAGAGCTTTCTTTTAGACATTAAGTTTAATTTAATTCTCCGCAAGCCACTTATTAACAATATCCTGTTGCTTTGGACGTTGCTGTTGCTGGACTTACAACAGTCCATTAGCAATTCCAATTATTGCACTCTTATTCCGTAATTATCTATTAGCATGCGCACTAAACATTTGGAACGAAGTACGCATTTCCAACTGTGCAGATTGCTACTAACAAAAGCATAATTGAGATCTTCATCTAGATTTTTGATTTATTTAATATTAATCTGCAAATCATTTCATTCCCCTTTTTGAATTGCAAAACACAATTGTATCATTTGTATAATAATTTAAATCAAGACTATTCTATGTTATGTATGTTTTTATATAAACTCCATCAAAATATCATAACAAACAAAGAAATGATGTCATTCTATATTAAAGTTTTTAGACATTTTTAATTTATAGAAAACACTCTCTTAAATTTGTAATGAAGTTTATACTACTACTAACATAAGAATACACTTATAATGATTTATCTATTATTACTAAAAATAATAGGTATCAATTTAATCCTATGATCCTTAAAAATAATTCGATAAATCCATATATTTTACAATAATATTTATTTTTATAGAAATTTATTAATACTCTGATTTCAAAGCAAAATCAGTTCTGAACTCTAGTTCCGCACAAAAGTGTAGAGTAATAAGGCCATTTATCACTTATATTCTAGAAAATAAATTCTATATTGCTTATTCATAGTTAAATTAATTATATTTTTTATTAGTACATTAATTAATATTATATAATAAAAATAAATTATTTATATGAATCAATCGTTCTACAAGTATCAATTAATCAATAAAATTAAGTTTAAGAAATTGAATATAAAATCTATTTGCAGTAAGATAATATTCAAGAACACTAATGGTTTGTAATTTTGGAGTTAAAATAAAAATAAATTTAGCAAATTTGTTGGATTTTGCGAATCGCTCCTATAAAAATTAAAAAACTGATTCAATAAGTAAATGAATAAGTTTGAATTGCTTCTCTTTACTTTGAATAGTTTCATCAATAAATTGCAAAATTTGATCTGCTACTAAATCTTACTCCTGAACAAAATATCAATTACTTACATTTTAAATATTTTGGGGATTATTGAAATAGTTTTACTATTATTTTGTAACAAAGAATTTTGTCTATTCAAATTTCCTATTAAAAGTTTCTCTCTATTTTTATTTCATAGAATATTGAATTCTTACATCAAAAACAATTTTAAAGCCTCACTTATAGGGACACTACTTTTTTTGAGACAAATATAAATTTTTTTTTAAGCAGAATTATAAATTTAATCCCTAAAGAATTTATTATATTGGAAGAAATAATTGTCATATGCTTGCTAACCTATATAAAAGATTAGAAATTCTCGAAAATATGAGAGAACATTTTATTGAAATATATTTAGATTGTTTATCGGAAAAATAAAAGTAGGAACTAATAGAAATATTTATTATTTTGCAAAAATTTCTTACAAAAAATTATTTTTAAATGGGAGATTTCTTTCGAGATTTCTTAATAGGTGGTATTTCAGCTGCGGTTTTAAAGACTGTTTTTGCCCCATTTCACATAATCAAATTGCATACCTCACATGATTACAACAAAGTCGGAAAGAGGTACAAAGGTATTATTGATTGCTTCATCTCATTTCTTAGAGAGGAGGTACAATATATATTTTGAATAGTTATAGGGCTTTGCTATGTGGAGAGGCAATTTGGCGAATGTCATCAGAATTTTTCCAGTTCAAGCTCTGAATTTTGCTTTTAAAGATGCATATAGGAAGTTTTTCTCCCCCTTTGGTATATAATGTTTATTAACCAGACTCAAAGAACGAGAAGTTGCTCTTCTTCTTAGGAAATATGGCTTCGGGCAGTGCTGCCGGTGCTGCTTCATTGATCACATTTCATCCTCTTGATTTTGGAAGAACAAGATTGGATGCAGATTTTGGGATGAAGCATAAGAAAAAATTCACTGATTTAACAAATTGTTTGAGCAAAGTTTATAAGTCTGATGGCTTCATTGGATTATACAGATATTTTGGAGTCTCAGTTTTACAAGTGAGTTTATTTAGAGGTCTCAAATTTGGCACTTATGATACAGCAAAGGAAACTATATTCTAAAAGAAATTGATGAGTAACATTTTTGCAAAATGCATTGCTTATTTCATCACTCACATAGTTGATTTCATCTCAAGGCCACTTGATACAATTAGAAGAATGATGATGTAGTTAAGTAATTTTTAATAAATATTATTTAATTAGAAAGAGCTGATATTCTCTATAAAAACACCCTAGATTGTGCAGTCAATATTGCTAGGAAGGAAGGAACATAAGCATTTTTTAAGGGACCAATTTACTACAAAGAATATTATTCATTCGTTTTAGTTCTTTATGATGAAAGCAATCAATTAATTGCTCAAAGATCTAAATCTGCATGAGATGAATGAGACAATTTGATTTGCATTTCAAAAATATAATTAATAAGTCTTTTGAATATAAAATAATAATTTAAGTCGCATAGTTAAAGTTCACATTAAATTGATTGTCCATTATTAAAAGTATAAGCATTTGAATGTATCATAATTTTATAAAAATATTAGAATAAGGGAAAGAAGATTCCAAAGTTATTGAGTAACTTCAAAAAATATGATTACTTTGAACGTAGTTCTGAATTTGGTTAGATTTTGGCCCTTTTTGTAATACATAAATCAGCTATATCCACCTCGATCATACATCCTTAAAAATAAAAAAATGTATCAAAATCAATTATCCTAGTAGATTTATGCAATATTCCTTAGCAGACATAAAAGTAATTTTAACCTGTCTTTATTATCACTTTCTTTAAGGTCAAAATTGTTTTGCTCATAATATCATTTCTTTATTTATTGAAATTTTTCTTCTTCTCTCTTGTAAGCTCTCCACATGCACTATTATGAATAAGTTAATCCTAATGATTCTACTAATCAATTCAAATAAGGAAATATACTTTAAACTATGCTCATAATACACTACAATAAATACACGAGATATGTAAATTAAAATAATCGTAGTTTTTAGCATAAATACTTTATTAAATAATACTTAATTTTATTATTATTAGAGATGAAAAAAATTAAATCTTATGATGAAATTTCTTTTTCTCGATTTTAGGAAGAAATTGGCGAAACTTCCTATGAAAATCAACCAATTCTCATACATTTAGATGATCCATTGCCATCTTAAACAGATAGTTTGGAATTGGTTTTATAGAGTGTTCCAAAAAAATCAAAAAAAGTAGCTAGAAAAAAAAAATGCGATTTTCACACAAAGAAAAGAAAAAAGGTGAGCAAAAAAAAAAATCTATGTTTTGAAAATCATACTCCATTCACTTTTTAAGAAGATGAAAAAATCCTCAATCTCGTAAAAGAGCATGGTCCAAGATTTTAAGTCATTTCTAAGTATTTTTTAGATAGAAGTTAAAATGCCGTAAAAAATCGATATTATAAGTTTTTACGCTACAATTGGAACTTAATCTTTGGAGAGTAAGCATTCTTATTAATGTCTAGTCAATAACAGCATTCTAATAATATGTTTGAGGAGGAAGGAGCATAATAAGAATTGCTAACAAATTTTTTTGATAACATGAATTTTAATCCGAATTTTACAACAACTATGTTTAACCACCTTACTTAAGTTGACTATTATTCATGATGAAATATGAGTTGATATATATGTTTTTATCACGTGTTGAATCAATTTTTAAGACTGAAATTTATTCAATAAAAACATAAAATGTAAAGAAACGCATTCAGAATAATTTGCAGTATCGTTATATATTATAAAATTTCGTTTTATTGATATGAAAACATTTCTTCTTCAAAATAGAAGTGGTATGAATACTTCAAATTTTGTGTTTTTTGAATTTAGCACATCTGATCTTACAATAAAGCTCTCATAATATACTTAAATAATATTAAAACTAATATATTTATTTAAATGAAGAATTTCTTTGATCTTTGTTGTTTTTATATATGTTATACTAAATTTAATCCAAGGTAATGAAAACTGTATTGATATACAAATAACATTAATATTAAATATTAATATTTTAAATTATTAAAAATATTATCTTGCAATAATGAAATAAAAACATAATTCAAAATTTGTGTAACTTAATAGATAGTGTAAAATTAAATAAAAATCATTACTCTTTTTTAAGCTGAATCCTTAAGTTCGGAGTTCTGGGGGAAACGATAGATGATATGCAAGCAGGCTATCCATTGAGTTAAGGCAAATTTTCATACCCTAAGAATTATTCTAAGATTTTAAGTCATCTTTACATTAAACTTATTCAGAATGGAGAATAGATTAATCTTCAAGGGAGTCAAGTTGATTAGACTTTAGATAATTTTCCAATTTTCCATCAGGGATAAAGGGAGAAGTAATCAGTTTCTTTTCATAATCTGCCCACTTGATATCTTTGAACCAAGGATGGCTTTTAACTTCATCTGGCCCATTACACCCCAATCTCAATTAAGGCTTCCTTTACATCAAAGCATTCGCAAAAGCTATGGCCGCAGTACTCCAACCTTAAGGAACATCAGCAATAGCAGCCTATTTAGCAATAATTTGATCTCGAATTTCTTGTCTACTCTTTCCATTATATGGGCGTTTGCCGAGCTAAAATAGAAACATTAGTGTACAATACACTCATGCATAATAATGCCCAAAGCAAAGTAATCTACAGCAACTCCATGATTTTGTCTGCACATCACTTCCGGAGCCATGTAACCAGGAGTGCCACTTGTTTCATGACTGTTCTGTGGTTTCCATATTCTAGCGATTCCAAAATCAGTAATTCTTAAATAGCCTTGGCTGTCAAATACTAAGTTTTCAGGCTTGATATCTCTATGGATTATGCCATTTGAATGTATATAATCTAGTCCTATAATTATGCAAATCACAATATGCTGTGTGATTGCTTCAGAGAATTTTCGATATTTGCATAAATGAAATCTCAAATCTCCTCCAGCCAAGAAATCCATAGCTAAATACAAGGAACAACGATCTTAAAAGGCACTGATAATATTGATGATAAATCTAGAATTATCCACGTATAATTACTCATGTCTTAGGGTTGATAAAATCTATAATTCATTCATCACTGAACTCACGCTTTTTTTCTGTATCACTCTTTAAATATAATTTAGTTATGTACTTAACTTTGGACATGACTTTAAGTGCTACAACTATATTGCGAGTTTTGTTAAGTCTTGCCTTATATACTTTTCCAAATCCTCCTTATCCAACAACTGATATTAATTCAAAATTCTATAATGTCATTTCTAAATATATTCTTGTCTTACATGAATCATCACTTGAACCCCTAAATTTAAACTCGCAGCCTCCCATTAAGTAAACCTCAATATTTTATATATTATTATAAATAATAACAATCAAGAATTATATATATTTTTAAAATCCCTTCCTTTTTTTTAAATCATCAAAGCATAGCATGCGTATTTATAATTCTTGGATTTTATTGTTTATACTTAGTAATCATGTATTCCATATTAGGAGTGGACAAAAGTAATTTTTTTAAATTTATTTTTAACCTATTTTTAAGTTAGTAGAAAATTCTATGCTCTTAGTAATCCAATCAAATTGCTCTGGTCATTACTTATTATAATTCAAATAAGTGTTCTAAATAAATGTAAAATGATGTTAATGAATATATTTGCATGGGAAAATCAAAAAATCAGCGTTGAATCATTTATGAAATATAGAATGCAATATGACTAAATGACAAATGTAGGAATTCCTTAAGAAGAACGAAAATTTAAAACAAAATATTTTATAACAGCAAAAGCATCCGATTAATGCTATAAACTTGAGATTTAAAAACAAAAATTTGTTATGATATTTTTTAATAGAAATAATTTAATAAAGCAAAATCACAATATAGTGGAACTATGCTGAGAAAGGTTACAAAGAAGAATGAAAGGTCAAGTAAAGAATCAGACTCAGACATGGAAGGAGAAAGAGAAATAGATTATGCTTTAGAGGATATCTCCTTAAATTAGGTCAAAGTGACTTTATTAGAACCAATAATCATTGATAAGCATTTTTTAGAGAAGGATATTGTAGCAGTGTTAGGAAACTTTGTTGTAGAATTAACAGACTTCACATTATTCGAATATAATTCTAGTTTACCAATTGAATAGGATTGCATTGTTAATCAAAGTTTTATTACAAAATTAAGAGAAGAACTAGGAAGAAGAATAAACAACAGAAATTTTGGAATATTTTTAAAATTTAATGCTTCTATCAAAAATCAAAGTAAATTAAAGAAATATCTTAAAATCGGGAACGACATTATAAAATTGGTAAAAGAATTTATTAATATACAATCATTTTCGTCTACGACTAATCTATTAGATTAATTTATAAAAGAATTAAAAAATATTAAAAAAAAAATGGGATAGTGAAATAAGTTTATTTTTATTTGAATGATAAATAGAAATTTATATAATTTTTCATTTGCCAGGAGGAAAAGGATTAGGCTTTGATTAGGTATAGTCATCTGCAAAATAATGGTTTACATCTTTGTGATGTTCTTCATCCTTTCTTATTGCTTTAACGACATCCAATAGAGTGGCATTTTCATCTAATCCCCAATATTCAATCGAGTTTTAATTGGCTTTGCGAGTGGTCCATGAATGAATTGGACTGCCTTCTCTTTCTATTTCATGAATCATATGAGTGTAAGTTTTAACTGCTTCTTCTTCTAAGTATCCCACAATCCTATGACAGACTCTAGGCCAGAATATATATGCCACTCCAAATAGTGCAACATACCAAGCTTAAGCTAAAACCACTCCAGTTCTGAAGATTAAGGAGGGTTTTTTGATGTTTAAAAAAGTCAACAAATGAATTCTCTCATTCTCTGCCTCTTCTAGTAGGGTGTGAATCCATCCTTAATCTCTTTTCATTCCTCTCAATGATCTTAAATGTCTATGCATACCGGCAACAAATCCTGGAACTCCAGCCACAGTCTCCAAAAATAGAACTCGATTTATCCATTTCTTTTCAGACACCAATTCTGATTAGAATGGTAGAGTCTTTTTATATCCACTCATAACATCAAATCCAAGTCTCATTGATTGAATGAAGTAGTAGGCAAAATGATCTCCAAAGGTAATTGCAGTTTTATGTTCCAAGCTAACTTATTCTAATTCTGGTTTATTCCAGATCGGATGTGGCATAGTATAGTTTTAATTTGGTTTAGTTGACAAAGAGAACGATCTTTTAAGGAGTTTACTTAAGTGTCTATTCATTTAATTTTTAATTCAGGTTTAAGAAAAGCTTTTAGTTAAGAATTTTAATTTAATTCGTATTATAAATGATGTAATTATCATTTAATGATGCAATTCGCATAAAATTAATTGTTTGTATATTATAATAATGAATATTTTGATAAAAATATGCTAAATATGTTATACCAATTTTATAAAATGAATAATTATATAAACCACAAATAATATATTAAAATTTTATAATAGAAATAGAAAAAAAACTAAGTATAAATTTATATGTTTTGTGTTCAATATTGAATAATGAATAATTCATTCAAATAAGGGCCACCAAGACAATCAATGACATGATTGATAGAATCCAATTGGAAGAGCATTATTGACAAGTATTCGTCACCCAATGATAGGAACCAAAGGTAACATCATTGCAAGTTTGTTCATTTAAATGAGTAGCGTCAGTTGCAGTTGCACACTTATTATCGGCACCCCATTTGCATAAGATGGATTTATTGCTGTCAATCTTTGGTAAAGATGTGCATTAGGCTTAAGTGGTAATGTCAGCACATGATCTATTCACACACATTTATCCATCTTTCTTGCAGTATTTAGGATCGCACATTTGATTGAATCCATCAGCATCTCTGCATGTTTTTAATTCAAAGGCATAACATTTACCGTCACTTTTCCATTAACATTTGGCAGTTGCAGTTGCATCTCCTTTGCATGTTGCTTCAGTCACAAATTTGGAACAATCAACATACACCTTGTTTTCACATTAAAATCCAGCGGCAACAGCTAAATGTTTGTAGAATAATGTAGTCACACTAACTCCTTTAGCTTAGCATCTCTCTCCATTTTCACCCTACAAGACAGAGCATCTTTCGGCCTTTGTCACAGTGAAATCTGAACATTGAGTAAATTCAATGCATTTGTTATCTTTCCAACCACATTCAGCCATATTTGAACAGCTTTCTTCATTTGGCATATCTTCACATTCTTTCTTCTCATCAATGCATTTTCCACCTTTCCATTGGCATTCTCCAGTACATTTGTCTTCTGTTGTGTAATCTTTGCATTCCTTCTCTAAACAAGATGTTTCATTCCATTTGCAATCATACCATTTATCACACTCTGACTTGATAAATGAGGAACATTCGCATCTCTTTGATTTATAGATAGTTATGTCTGCAGCTGCAAACCCAAAAAGGGCAATTAATAATACCAATTGGATATTTTTCATTAAATAAAATAGAAGATATTTGTCTTTATCATTACGCATTTAATTGATAAAATTTCATAATAATACGTAAATATAATTTAATAGAAACTGCTCTTGTTTTTAATTATCAAGTCTGAGTATTACCAAATTTTGATTAATATTTTCATTTTTCATTTTGTTTAATCACTCTAATCTAACTGTAGCCTTCTAAGTTTCATCTTACATACTTTTGTATATTCAAATTTTTTAGATGTAACAATCAGTTGTTTCAATTAAATTTATATATTTTAATATTTTATGAAGGCTCTTACACCTAAAGTGATTCAAGAAAGCTATTGTATTCTATTTATATTATTTTAGATACGAAGTACTCTTTATTGTCTGAAGAATGCAATAACAAACCAGAAAAATTGAGAGCTCTTTTAAAATAATTGAATGATGAAGTTGGAATTTACTTATCAAAAAAGAAACCAGTTAAAAGTACTTTTTAAACTCATATAGAACAAATTCAGTTTCCTAATAAGGATGTCTTATAAAAAGAATAAATGAATAATGTTGAAATTTTGAAAAGATTAAAATTTCAGATCCATTAACAATAGAAAAGACTAACCCTCTTAGAATAAAAAACTATGAAAATAGATTTAGAAAATAAAATTTCTTAATGCGAAGATAATATAAAAACATTAGCCTAATCAATAGAAACCTAAAAGAAAATCACGTAACGATAAGGAAAGGAAATCACTCAAATTGAGGAACAAAATGGTGTTTCTGCACTCTAAAATGAAATGTAATCATAATTAAATTATTTAGCAATAAAGCCGATAAATCGAAAAATCCATATAAGAATATCAATTAAAAAACTACTAGTTATATGAATTGATTGAAAATGAACAGAAAAAATTTCAATAGTTTTCAGAATATCAGTCTAAAGTAAGAGACAAGGTCATCTTTAAAGAATAATAAAGTGCTGCCATTTTAGAGTAAGACCCATAAATAGAATAACAATATTTAAAAATCTAACTTCAAATCTAAAATCAGGAAAGGCATAAGAAAATAATTGATGAGAAATATTAGGCTGATCTTAAATTATTCAAATAGGATATCAACCATAAATCAAAATAATTGGTCGAACTCGAAAATTGTATTAGTAAAATCCATTTGGAAATAATTTAAATTAATGAATAATGCTAAAGATTCAAAGAGTTCTAAATAAAAAGATCCTCTTAAATTCGCCAAAGAATTAAAAAATCATAATATTTAAATCAGTAATCATATTAAGGTCAGGAAGATGATTAATCAGAACATAATTTATAAATATTATCTAAAAGTTTCACTAGTCCTTAATAAATTGATAATTCAGTTTAGCTTAATCAGGAAACAGACTGTGAATAAAAAAATTAAAAAAAATTTTCTACTATATTAGAAGATTTAAACGATGGAAAATTAGACCAAAATCAACCAAATAAAGAAAATTCAAATGAAGATACCAACTAATTAAAGGATGAAACCAAAAATGAGGAAACAAATAACTAGGTTTAGACTTAAGATCAAGAAATCCTTGATAAATAATAAGAATCTCAAAAAATAGAATAACAATCATAATCTGGATGAATAATATCAAATTTTATATCATTATATTACATATTCTTACTTTTTGTTCTTAATTTCTTATACTATTTCACCTCTCTTCATTCACTATTAGAATTCACATCAATTTTATTATTTATAGATTAGTTTGCTATCTATTTAATAAAATATTAATCGACTCATTTAAAATATATATTTTTCAGTATATAAAAATTAAAATTCATTGTATTATTACTTAATTTTTACTTTTAGATCACTTCCAAATTATATACATATATTGTTTATTGACTTTTTATCAAAAAAGAAAAAGAATTAATTGAATAAAACAAATAGGACCGTCCTTCTCTTTACGTTAAGATAAAGACAATTTAAACTTCTGGAATGACTTTTAACACTTCTTTAAATATTAAGATTTGAAAAAAAGGAAAATTCTTAAATAATAAACATCAAATTGTTTCCATTCCCAACATTTAACCTTAATTGGGCTATTGCTCTAATATTTTGATCCATGTTTAGCTCATTCTTACAATTATTAAAACTGATAATTTTTTATAAATTTATTGAGTTTCCCTTATAATTTATCGATACAAATGTAACAATAAGAAACACTTAAATATTAATCGTTGCCGCATAGAAGATAATTTATTTCAATTAATAACAACAATAAATCTTTATGATTAATTCCAGTGTTTTTTTTATCGAATTATAATCAATATGTTTATATTATGAAATTAGCAATCCTTAGAACAACATATCTTCGAAAGAAGCCAATAGAAGATTTGAGTTAATTAAATAATATTTATAAATGGGTTAAATTTGCAAATCTGTTAAATTAGATTAGTAGCTAAGTTAAATCGAAACAATTCAATGTTCTGTGCCAAATGATGAGGGTGAATTTTGCAAGCCTGATAATCTCCATAAATTTAATAAATTCTTAGAACAAAGACATAGGAATTCTAATTCTACCATTGATCCTCTAATCAATGGTAACATTAGTGATTTTACTATTGATCAAGAGAATAAATAATTTCGAATAGAAGAATAAGTTATATTAAATGAAAAAAAAGAGTATCGATATCAAATTCCTGAAAATAGCAAGTCATGTATTAAGAGTAATAATAAAGATTTGAAATCAAATTTAAAAAGTAAAAAAAAAGTATCGTTTAATGACTTCGAATTCTATAATTTTTCGATCAATCCAAAATTTAGCTCTTCATCTTAAGAGATGATTTGATAAAAAATTGATTATATTATGATTTTTCCTTATAATTTATTACCTAGCATTATAAGTATAAATTTTATTAAGGCTTATTAAATGTATTATGGTCTAACTTTATTTAAATTATTTCCAGTTATTTACACAAAATATAATATGTTATATTTGTTTGCAAATTATATATAACGAAGAATGTATGTAGTTTAATTATATCACCATTTAAATAAGATGTAAGAAGGAGTAGCAATTAATTATTAATTTTTAAACACATATTTTATTTTATTAACTCCTAATTTCATTAAAAATGGATTTTATTAATATAATCTAAAAGCTATAAAAAATATATGTATGAATAATATTTAATTAATAATATTCTCATTTAAGAGCATCCCCTAACTTGGAGCCTCCAGGGATGGACACAAAACTCTGTGGGGAGAATTAAAAAAAGCAGTTTGGATCAAAATTTTATGGAACTTCTTGAAAAACATACATCATTTCAACTTGATATTGTTCTTTATTTGAATTCTATTAACCTTCTTAAGGTTATTGTTGAAGTGCTCTCACAGGCATAAATTACGGATAAAAGTAATGATTACCAATGTAAGGATGATGTGGCGAAAATGCTACATGCTGTTAGGATTATTAAATAGCTTAGTCCTATTAAGGGTAATTTTAAATTTGAATTGGAATCATTTAAGAAAATTAAGGATTATTATCTAGATTATTTAAATCTTTGCTTTAATTTTTTAACTCTTGTTAATTTTAATATTACCCTTCAGGGAATTGTACTTACTAATAGCAATCCTTAAGGCCAAAGAATTAATTTCCTTAAAGTTATTTCATAAAGTATTATTATTACTAGATTGGATCAAGCATTGGCACTTAATATGGATGAGGGATATAAGAGGGAAGATTTAAATCTAATTATTATTAGTTCTGATATTCTGCCATTTGTTCACCAGATTACTTTTTAATATGAGGAACTTGTCCTTAGGACTTTTGGCTTTAATTATTTTAGTGTCTTAATTTCTATGGTTCTTTGTTATTGGTTTTATTTTATTGTTAACTTAATTCCTATAGTGATCTAAGCTCTCTATTTTTAGTTCTATTTCTTTCTTTTCTATCATGTTCATTACAAAACTGTAATCGCTTTTCTTTTAGCTTCTCTCTTAACTTTTCTTTTTCTTTCTACTATTCCAATTTTTTTTATCTCTAAATTTCTTGTTATTTATCTCTCTCTATCTATTTTAGCCTCTCCTTTTCTAGCTCTATTTATATTTCTTTTTCTATTTCTAATTCTCTTTACCTTTCCATTTCTATTTTATTCTATTTTTGAATTTGTTTTAACTATTATAATTTTTATTTAGTTTTTTTATTATCATTTTCTACTTAATCATCAACTTCTAACTTTTATTAAAACTATTAGTTTATCTCATCTTTATTAGGCTTCTCTTATTCTTTTTAAACATCTTTAGGTATTTCAATTACTTGACTTTCTTACCAGCTCTAAGATCTATTTTTTGACTTAATCAAACTATTTGATTGATTAATTTGCTGTTATTCAAATTGATTATGATTAATATCAGTAATTTGAATTTAATTAGGGTTTTAATTTGTTTATTCTAAATTATCCAGTGTAATTAATTGTTGATCAACACTATTATTAATTCTATTAGATTGGATCTATGTTTTCTGTTGTTTTTCTGGAGACAATTAAAGTTCCTATACATTTTAAGTATTGATTGGTTAGATAATCTATTATTAAATTTATTTATCTTTTTTTTATTATTCATCCTTCTAATTCTACTATTTTTACTCAATTTGAAGCATATCATCTTTGTGAGGTGGCTTGAAATTAATTAAGATTCTTTGGTATTTTTCTTTTGGTTAAAATAACTTTGGTTCTATTAACAACCTTTTATTTTATTTGTCTTCTAATTGTATAAAACAAATTAATTCCTTAAAAACAATTTACTTGGCCTTATTAATCAATGAAGGTTCGTCTTCTAAATTCTCAACCTTTATTTCTTGTGGGTTACGTAGTTTAACTACAATTTTATCTTTTTAAATCTTCTATTAATTAATTTATTCGTTTCCTTCTTCGACTACACTTTCTAAGTTCTCTGTTTTAATTTCATCCCTCTCTTATCTCTAATCTTCTGTATTGTTGAGATTCAATAATAAATCGGTATTTATAAAAATTTTTATTTCGATTTGATTCTCATCATCCAATTTAAATTAAACAATTTATGTTTCTAGTGTGATGATTTGATTATTAAGGTTGGAAAGTTTCTCTAATTATTTAATTTGCCTTTTCATTTTGTTTTTTAGGGCAAACTCTTTCAGTTTATCTTGACTCATTTCCTTTTTGGTTCTTCTGATTCTTTTGCTTTCCTTAATTATTATGGTTTGGAAAGGATTATGATTATTATGATAGCCTTTGAGTTGAGTAAGGTTTCTGGTTGGTATTAATTGGAGTATTTCCTAAAATAGTTCTTTGGTTTGGTTTGATAGACATTCTTTCTAATGATTTTAGCAAATTTATAAATAAATTTCTTTTTCCTACTATGTCCATGGTCCTCTTTACAGTAAGGTCTTTCCATCAGGTCCAAATTCAAAAGGATAAGCCTTTTTAATGTATCGTTTCTTTTCTTTTGCTTATTTGGATCTTTTGAGTTTTCGTTCATGGCAAATATAGGTTTGCCAGAGCTCTTGAATTTTATTTTTTTCCATTGAGATATTTAAATTAACAAATTAAATAAAATTATTATACTACATTTCGAAAGTATATATTAGTTGTTCTTCACTTCTTCTAATAGAATACATCGAAGAACAATTGGTTGTTTTTTAATGAATAATAATCTAATCATAGATGGTTCTTCTGCGCAGTTTAAATAGGTGAGAACAATTCCTAATTTAAACTACTTAAATGTATATATGAATTATTTTATATATGCCAATATATAATTCTGATCATAAAATGGTAATATTTCCATTGTTCAGACCATTGTGTTCTCCGACAATGTGAGTGTCTGAGTAAGGAACAATTGGTTCCTTGAAATTTGGGTTCTTTTGAATAGCCTATTTGGTTAGATTCTTCCACTAATAAAATTAATCATTTCAAAATATACCTTCTCTTCAATCTTTTATCTGTCTTTTTTTTGATTCTTGGCATCCTAAATGATGTATAAATACTTGGGATCCTTGTTATTCAAGGCTTTGTCAAATGCCTAATAATCAATCTCTTTGAGAATGGTCTTGAGTGCATTCAAAGACTCCTACAAGACCTTATGCCAATGTGTATCTGCTATCTAAGCTATTACTGGGACCAATAGAGGGAAGGTGAATGGTTTATAGCTCTTGAGAATGGTTAAGAAGTAATCATTCTCAAAGAAACACATTGCTCTATCAGCCACCTGTAGATGAGGTCCTGCGATGCACTTAATTAATCTTTTGAATAACTTTGGAATCAAGGGCTCTAACTTAGAGATCTCACAAACTTCCAAGACTTCCAATAGTTCATTAAGGAACATCACTTCCTTGGCTGAATTGGCAAATGGCCAATATCTCAATAATCCTTCAACTAAAAACGTTGCCAAGGTTGGATCTTTGGATAAGAAGAGCATGGAGCATCTTAATAATTATTCATGATAAAATTAACAGGTCTAAACCTTATGTAGGGGGATGATAACAGTTTTGAAAAATATTACATGTTCTTCTCTCAAGGGAACTGCAAATCCACTAATGATGCTTGCCAATATATCCAATAACTCGGCTGCTCCGTTGAATTTGTATGTTTCATGAATGAGAGTGTAAAAACAATCGTTAATTGCCTTTCTTATCATCTTTCTTCTCGGAACCAATTTGGCGTATAATCTATGGAGGATGTTCTTCAGATATTCCCTTTCACGAGGCTCTTCAGAGTCAAATAACTCCAAGAATTCTTATATGAATGAATGAGTGATAAAAATCTTAAAGTATTTATAAAAGAAATACTTTGAGTGATTTGACATCTGGTTATTCGTTAACGATTAATTATAAGAAATATTCATAAACTGGTTGCAAATGAGTCCAAGCTGGATCAATCAATTACTAATTTTATTTAATTATTGTTCTTACATCATCATCTTCCATTCCAATTTCACCATTTGTTGCTGTCTTTTTTAAAATTGGCAATGGTCTGAATATATTCTTCTCAATCATTTCTATAATTAGATCTAAATGGGGAACAACCAAATTCACTACAAAGTTGGGCTCCTTTAATAAATCAAATAATTCTTGTAAATATTAAGATCGTTCTTATTTTTCCTTTACATTTTTAGTATCATCATTAAAATCGTATGGTTAAGAACAAAAGTGGATTTTCTTTAAAAACTGATCTCTAATTTCTTTAGGCACATGCTTGGGATCGGTAACCCTAGCCATATTTTGAATGATAGGTTGAGGAGTCTATCATTTAAAAAAATTAATACCCTATTTTAGGAAGTAGTTGTTGTAGCTTAAGGTTGTTAACGCACAGCTGGAGTTTATTTCGAGCTAGCTGCCTTATTATTCATTATTTATATTTATTTTTTCTAAAAGATGTATTTAAATATTTATATTTAGATTTATTAATATTTTTATTTATCTGCACTACAATATTCATCAAATTGATTATCTATTCATTACACATGCAATAGTCCTATCTATTACAATAATAAATAATAAAAAGAACCCAAATTTCATAGTCCATAATAACAATGGTATGATCAGAGTACCTTAATCGGATAAAAATGGGAGATTAATTTAACATGAAACACAATATTTGTCTCAGATCTAAATTTAATCAAAATATTATCATATAATATTATTTATCACCCAATTAAATTATATTTATTATAATTATACGTATTATTAATTATAATTAGAACAACAGAATTTTCCCAAAATTCATTGTTTCCTATAATTCGACCTGTTTAATCCAACTATGTGATGTTAAACAGCCTCAATATTGTTATTAAGCATGATAGTAATGATCTACGCTATCATGCTTAAGTATTTTTGATAATTCATTCAATTACAGGATTTTCACTTACATCTAATTTTGATGCTAAATTTGATTGAAACCACTTTATATATTTAAATAAATCTCACATATACCACTTAATTGTCTTGGAGTTAAGTAAATCAAAAGGGTTCACTAATTGGTCTTATAATAGATAACTTCCAACAAAAATTCTTCTTCTTATTTTTAAGAGGTTCTAATACTATATATGTTTGAAGATAGTTAGTAATGATCAAATTTCTAATAAAAAAGTTATTTTCAGCATTTGATAGTTATATGTATATATAATTATGGAACATATTTATTCTTTAACTAGGGATTTGACTTTCTAAGTGTTTCTTTTAATACTTAAAGAGTGCATTAAATGAGATTTAGAAATAAAAAAAAAATCAATTTTTAGTATTCTATAAAGGTTAAATAGTCAAAAATACGTTTAATTTTAATTTTTAAATATTTGATAAATAAAATACATTGTGATTTACCTGTAGGTATTCAAATCCGGATTTAAATAGAATTCAAAAATTATAATAATAAAATGGCTCACTCAACACTCTTTATACTTGGAATGATTTTAGTCACTTTGAATGGATTCAGTGTAGACATCTCAGGAACTGATTGTACTTGTGATACTTTCACAACCCAATTGGATTGTAATGCTGCATCTACTTGTGAATGGACAAACTCAGAATGTGTAGATGTTGATTGCTCTACTAAAACTACTATAGTGTAATGCAATGTTGCCAATTCAATTTGTGCATTCACTCCATCTAGTCAATGTGCAGCTTTTACATCTTGTTCTGACTATAAATATGCTGACGAAGCCACTTGTTTGACCATCGGATGCTTAGCAGATACAAAAGGATCTGATGGATTATATCCATGCAAAGCCATCGCTTCAATTAAGAAGTGCTCAGAAATCACTACAGAAACTGAGTGCACAACCCATTAATGCTTTTGGAATAGTTCAGCTGCATGTGTAGCACCCACATGTGCATAACAGACTACAGCCCTAGATTGTACCGCCATAAGATCCGATGTTGTTACTACATGGTAAATATGTTCATGGACAGCTGGAACAAGTACATGTGCTGATGCTACAGGATTAACTCAATCAAATTGTGCAGTTCTTACAAGAGGATCATATTATTGGAACACTGATTCAAGTGCATGTGAAGTTTGTTAAGGCTCATCAAGTTATGCTTAATTAATTTCCTTGGGATTAGCATTGCTTATGCTCATTGTTTGAGTTTTATATCATATCAATAAATAATCAGATTTTATCTAAATAGAAATTCCATTTGTCTCTTATTTTAATTCCATCTTTACTCTAAGCAATAAGCACAAGCTATTTATTTTAGATAACTAAATATTATTCACTCTTACTCTAAATTCATACATATATAAATTGCTGAAAATACTGAAATTTTCTATATTTATTAGCGACTCAAGGAGAATTCAATAAAGTAAATACGCAATTTATAATAGAGTATACTATTAAAATGAGAGATTCTGGGTTCAAGGAGGAGAGAGAGACAATTTTTAGAAGGGATTAGAAGGGCAGAATATTATAGTGATTTGATTTAAATAAGGATATTAAAATAATAAATCTTTTATTTGATAAATGAGCGGATTAGAGGATATTCCTGAATTTTATGATGATCCATAACAACCTACAAAATAGGAAATATAGTAAGAGCAATTATTGAGAATCGTAGAAAGTATGACAATTACAATGTCTCATAATTCAAAAACTTTGGGCTAAAAGAGGAGCTCTTACGAGCCGTAAAAGAAGCCGGGTTTGAGCATCCTACAAGAGGTAATTAGTATTGATCTATATTTCCATAGTCCAAGCTGAATCGTTGACAAATGCACTATAAGGAGAACAATTGATTTGCCAAGCAAAAGCAGGAACAGGAAAGACAGCTGTGTTTGTTCTGACTGTATTGAATACGATCAACACTGAAAGCAACAAAGTGGAATGTCTTGTAATTACTCACACAAGAGAGTTGGCCCAATAAGTAAGAGATGTGTAAATATAATAGGCTCGGGATGAATTTTTAAGATTGGGAAAGTTTATGAAAAATATCAAAGTTGAGTGCTTTTATGGAGGAGGAGAACCAGTCACTGTAAATATCTCAACAATTGAAACAGTCAAGCCTTAGATTATAGTTGGGTAAACATAGAATCTAATTTGTAGTACTCCAGGACGTCTTAAGGATTTGATTTGCGAGAGAAAAGCATTGAAAGTAGATAGATTGAAGTACTTCATATTGGATGAAGCCGATACAATGATAGAAGATTTAAACATGAGGTGCTGATTTTTGGAAATAATTATTTTTAGAAAGGACATTCAAGACATCTTCTTACGTTCACCACAAGAGAAATAATTTATGGCATTCAGTGCAACCTTTACAGAATCAAGCAGAACATCACTCAAAAAGTTTATAGCCGATAACAAACATGTACATTATCATGGTATTTCAAGATTTATGAAATTACAATCAAACCAGAACAACTCTTCTTAGATAAATTGAAGTAATACTATATGAAAGTACCTGAAACTCTTAAATTCCATTATTTGAGATAAATCTTAAATACATGCAAATTAAATCAATGCATCATTTTTGTTAAGAGCTCAGAAAAGGCTGATGCATTAGTCGCTGAACTCAAAAAGAAGGGAGAGGATTCAGTCAGATAACTCTACGGTGGCAACAGATTGGGACCAGATCACCAAAAAATGAGACAGAAGACCTATGAATAATTCAGAAATGGACATTTCAGATTACTGGTTGCAACCAACTTAATGGGAAGAGGTATTGATATTGATAAGGTCAATTATGTCATCAATTTTGATATGCCTGATTCCTTGGAGACCTATTTACATAGAGTACTCATATTATTTAGGTTGTTAGGTTGGAAGAGCTGGTAGATAAGAGACTAATGGAGTCGCTATCTCCTTTGTTAAGTTTGAAGAAGAAGCTTCAGATGTTAAGAAACATACAGATGATGAAGTATTTAGTCCTCTTATTTATTTAATTAGGTTTTATAATAGATTCTTAAATAATATCCAGACAAATTACAATAGTTACCCTAAGATTTATCAACATTAGACAAGTTTTGAATATGATAATATTACATAAAATAAAATAACAATATATAATATTATGCAAAAACCCATCTAAACTAAGATAGTCACTTTAGGGGATTATGCTGTGGGCAAAAGTAGTTTGATTTAAAGATTTACTAAAAATGACTTTACTGATACAAGAACTTAGACTGTGGGTGCTGAGTTTTCTCCTAAATAACTTTTCAGAGATGGTAGATTAATAGAATTATAGATTTGGGATACTGCAGGCTAAGAAGTTTATAGAAGCATAGCTAACCTTTATTATAAGGGTATTTCATAATTGCTATAAAAAAGATGCACATATTGCTATTATTGTATATGATGTAACAAAACCAAAATCTTTTGAAGTCCTTAAATTTTGGATGGAAAAGTTAAGTGAAGAAGGATTGGCAGACATAAGTATTTTTGATTAGATATTCATTTTTAGCCAAATTCATTATAGCAAATAAAATTGATTTAGAATCATAAGTACCCATAGAGGAAGTTAGACAATATGCTAATTCGTTTGATCCGAAAATTGAGATATTTGAAACTAGTTGCAAGCAGAATATTGGTGTTTTCGTAATATTTCTATTTACTTTTAGGAATTATTCAATCATATAGCCGATTTAGTTAATGAAAAAGAAAAATTATAATAACTAAATAAAAGAGAGGAGAAATCAAATATCAAAATTGGAGGTTCTGAAAATAAGAGTGATATTGTAAATTCATGCTGTTGATAATTTTATTTCTTTTATTATAGTTATAATTTCAATAAATTTTACTATTAAATTAAATACTAAAATTAACTTAAAAGTGTGTATTCTCATTTGAAATACAAATCATTGATTATAAAGAAGTGATATTTCTATTTTACAAGACAACAACAAAGAAATTCAATTACTCACAAACTGATTTATTAATTTGATCCTTGTTCTTAAATAATTTATAGGGAATTCTTAATAAGAATTTGAAAGTCATAATAAACAGTATATATTTGAAGACTTTAATAAGTTTCTTTTATGATATTTATATCTCAATTTCATTCAAGGTCCTTATCACCAGCAGCAATTCTTAAAGCAATGTATTCTTTAAGATCTCTCATGTTAGTGTTCAAGATACCAATCAAGTCACTGACAGTCTATCTATCTTTGTCTCTGGCAGCTCTTCTTTATTAATAATCATAAGCAGCTTCTTGGCATTCACCTCTTCTGTCATCTCTTTATTAGGTCTTGGCTTAGATTCTTTAAAGGACATCGTTTTAACTTGCTGTGGTAGCATCGATTCTGTCTTAGAGTGATTAGATTTCAGCTGTCAAATTAGCAATTGATGAATTGTATTTGTTCATGTCTTTATTGAGTAATCCAATATATGCTTAGAATGCTCTGGCTCTATCATCTTCAGCTTTTCTGGCTAAATCGAAGGCTTGGCTCAATTGGTTTTGGAGATCATCGATCAATTTGATGACTCTTCCTGTTAATTCTTAGTTGGCGAATTATTAAGTTCTGTTGGCAAGATTGGCTAACAATTTGATGGCTTTTCCAAAGGTTCTGACGTGTTTCATTGTGCTGGCTTTGTGAGCACCTTGACTCATGTGACTAGCAACTTAGGCCATGATTTATGGAGTGACGTGAACCTTTTCTTCACCCTTTTATAAGAAAGAGGGAGCTTAGAGGTTGTCTGTGAAGAGTCTTCTTGCTTCAGCTAATACTGATGAAACAAAGGTGTATTCTTATCTTTAAGCTTCAAAATCATCAGCTTATTCTTATCTCTTGGCTGTTGTCTCATCGATGACCTTTTATAATTCAGCCTTTTGGAGTTCCTTAGCTTTCTTTTATCCGATCTTCTAGTCTCTGATTGGTACGAGGTCATCAAGAACAGCTTGTAATTCTGTATTTCTTTATTCAAGATTGGCAAGTTCTTGGTTCAAGCCAGCCAAATCTGCATCACATACTTATTAGAAGGCTTGGTTATTGGCATCATCCTCCTTTTAGTCAGCGATGTATCTGTCTTCCAAATCATAAAGGGTTTAGAAAATTCTTTCCAATGGCTCACCAGTTGTCATTTAAATAGCAATTGTGTTCAAAAGGGTTCTACCTAAATCGCTACTTTCGATTCTGTCGAACATGGCTGTATTTGTGGCAAAAGCACAAGCAACTAATACCAGAAGCAATGTGGTTTTCATTAATTTAATTTATGAAGAAATACAATTAAAAAACGGTATATGTTAATAAATTATATTGCTGTATTTTGAATTTAATATCGATTAATAAACTTCAACAAAATGAATCTTCCCATGTATTTGATCCTGCTCCACTAAACATATCTATCTTCCAATATGTAAACAATCCAAAAGAGTCAGCCCACCAAAGAGTCACAAACATTGGCAAGAATTATCTGCTGGCATAATTTCTCAACATCCCTGGGAAGTAATTATTGAGATTTCTGGCATACCTGAATTTGCAATATAAAATCTAATTACCAAATATGAGTAGCTGCCTTTCTATAATTGCCATCATAAGGACATACGCCGTTAGGTTTTGGCCACAAATCGACCATTTCTCTTGTCACTTAAGATAGGGAGTAACTTGTCAAGATTGCCAAATATGTAGACAAGAAACAATTTAAAACCTTTACTGGAAAATATGGGATTTCAGCTACTCTTGTAAAAACAGATAACTATTAATCTATAAGTTGTAAATAATTACCTTATCCTTCATCCAATCGAAAGAGTATAATAGAGTTAGTGTTTAGAAGAAGTTTCTAGCAAATAGTGGGAATGAATATTTAAAGAAATAGTATGGTCCCTCTTCGAATGGAATTCTCCAAAGAGCATTGAAAAATGAGGTATATCCTTTTTACAATTCCTTGGGGAAGGTCTTGTCAGCATAATAAGCCATTCTAGCAACTTCAAAGGGAATTCCGATTGGAGCAGTAAGAAGAGAAATGAACATTGTGCCTGGCACCTTTCTCAAGAATCCATATTCGAATGTACCCCAAGTTCCTTTGTTTGATATACTCATATAATACTTTGCCACCCATGATTGACTGCTCTAAATGCTGCTAATCTCAATGCCCAATCAATGCCACCTGAAGCAAAGGCAAATTACATTCTAGTGCCCATTGATCTTTTGAAATTCTCAAGGTTGATTGTTGCTTTGCTGAAATTATACAATTCTTTCACAGTATTTGGTTATTCGTACTATCGTAACCTTAAACTTAAATAGATTGAATACAATAATTTCCAATTCTCGTAAAAATTATGCCATGCTTCACCTACAACACTACCTAGTAATCCTGATATTGCTCCTCTAGTATAATTCCATCTCAATGAACTAATTTATGTCAATAATCCTTTACTTTTCCGGAGCATCTGTCCATACACCAGCATTATAACAATCAAAATACAGGGAATGTCTTCTTCTGATGTCGTCCAACTCAAAAAACATGATAATTTAATTATTGAATTGGATATGTTATATATATTTATATTTTGTGTTTGCTATTTTTTCAGATGAACACTTTCTTGTGCATCGAATGAGCTACTTGGTATTTCTAATAGCAATTATACACTCTATTCCATTCCAATTCCTCTTTGATTCTCCATCCTAACCATGCAACTACACCTCCAGGAACAGCAGCCCAAAACAGTCTCTATTTTATCGGCAAGCCTTTTATTATGGGGAAGAAAAAGAATGAGAATGAATAGACTGCACCTCCAACTTATCCTAATCTTTCAAACCTCGATGCATCTCTAATGGATGGAATAAAATTAATACGCCTCTGCATGAAACACTTACTCAGTCAATTTTAAAGGAACATGTCTATCGTATTTCAAGAACTATTTGACTTCTTCTTTCTCTTTTGCTGTAAATGTTTTCTCGAACAGACCAAAATGTTCTGGTTGATCGTAAATCATAATAATATAATAATAATTAAAATCTTCCTATATTTATATCAAGTACATAATTATTCTAAAATTTTAAACATTTCTATGTGCTTTTTATCATTGAAAATATAACTCATTTTTTATAACTCCACCTTATTCTATTTCAGAATGTGTGACTTATATTTACTAAATTATAGAACTAAATCTCAGTCATAATTGTAATTGATAAATATAATATATCTACCAATTGAAAGATTAGATTTGTAAATAATATTCATAAATTCAACATAATAATTAATAAGTACTTTGTTTTAATCATTTTAAACTCAGAATTTATTTTTCCTTAATTAATAAAAAATAATAGCGTTGGCGACCCATTCAACAGAAGAATATATCAAAAATTCAAATTAATAACTAAACAATTTAATATCAATTTTTTACTTGTTTGTATTGTTTATAATAATGGCAGTCAAGAGCAAAGTAATTTATAAAGGGTTTTATAGTGTTATCAACCTTTTGTAATTCAAAATAAGAGCAGCATTAATTTCTTCGTTATATTTAAATGAAAAGTTAAATAAATTTGATTTTGCTAGTTTGCTTTTCAGAATACAGATTATTCTGAAATCCAAGAATTTAAATAACAAATCATTTAGATAAAAGTAATTTTACTTTTAAACATTGAGTTTATATTGGACATCTGTTAAAAGAGGAACTTCAATCTAAGCTTAAAAATGAAAACTTTAGAGTTAGCTAAACAAAAGTAAAATTAGGGTAAATGATGAAAATATGTATTACTCTTCAATAGTAAAAAATACTAATGAGAATATTCTAAATATAGGAATAGAAAATCCCAAAAGGATTGATGATGTTAAAAACATCTAAAAATTTTTATTTGCTAATTTATAAAGTATTAATGTGCAAAAACATCCTGCCTCTAGGTAATTAAGTATACCTAAATAATATTTATTTCTGATATTTTTATCTACTAGTTTATTCTTAGAATCATTAACTGAATTATTCTAAGAGGTAGTGTTTTATGAACTATTATTATTTTAATTAGGAGATGTTGTATTTGTATTATTTGTTATTATTATGTCTTTTTTAATACACAAATTGCTCTCTAAATAATAGCCATCTTAGCACTGTAAACATTATGAGAGATTATTTGATGAGCATGTTTAACAATAGTTTGTTGTCTCGCATTTCTTACAGCTTTCATTAATAATTATGTATCCTTCTGGACAATCATATAAGCACTTCCCAGATATTCTTAGATACCCTTATTAACACTATTAACAATACTCAGAATAACAAACTATGCAGTTTTCAAATTAACATTTAAAATAATTTGATTTAATGAAACTTTGTTAAAGCAGTTGATTGTTTTGATTGTATTAGGACAAGGTGTAATAATAGATTGAACTTATTGTATTAGGGTTAACGATAGATTGTATCATTAAACTTATATTTTAGTTCTTCTAAATTTAGAAAGAGAAATTTATTTTTATTTAGTTCTAATTTTAAAGGCATTAGACATTTTCAAGACACTGCATTGAATTTATATTAAAATCTGGATCAAAATCTAAAATAACAGTATCGTTTATATTAAAATTAATGTTAGATATAAATTGTAAGGTGTAAGCAGAATGAATTCCAATAAAATCATTTACAGGACTTATTTTAAAATCTTTGAACTAATCAATCTAAGTATGTAATGAAGTCTAATCTTCAAATATTAAATATCCAAGCTAATCCTTAACTTCAATTTTTGTTTCAGTTAATTATGTCTATTACACTGAGTTTTATTCCTACAGAATTTCAATTGAATCGATTTGATTAATGTCATACAAGTTTGTTAGAATAATTTTTGAATTACTGATTTAACAATCGTGATACTAACAGATGCAATTTGTGCAATTGATATTTGAGGGAAGGGAAATCATAATTGAGTCTGAATCTTTGAGAGGGATTAAAAATTGCATGTAAATTTTGAATGAATTTTATTTTGTATGTTTCATTACTTCAACAAAATAGTAAGATAGTTGATTAGGCTTTGATATACTTAAATTTGGAACATAAGGTAGAACGTCAATTAGAAATATTTGGTGAAAGGTTTTGATGTTTATATTATTGATTGGATTAAGAGATCGATTAGAGATAAAATTGTTGATTTTGATATTGATTGATGATTTTGGTATCAGCATGGTAGAAGTCTATATTTTAATTGAATTTTATAAAAGGGAACAGAATGCTTATTATTGATTAATTTCACATTTTATTTCGTTATTGTCACTTATAAGGTTATCAAAAAAGTAATTATTAACATCAAAATAAAAGTAAATTAAGTCATTTTCCAATAATCCAGTTTAAGTCTTAAAGGTTAAATTTATAGAGTTTTATTTTTGATTCGTTAATTCTTCAGATTATGTCATAGATTATAATTCCAAATAGCCATGCTATAGATTTATATATAATTTTTCATTGTTCAAGACTTATGGGAAATTATCAAACATTATCGTGAAGGTATAACTCTCATTTTCCATATCTATATAAGATGGATTGTAAATTCCATTAAGACAGAAGTATAGTTCTTTATCAAACTAAGAATTTGTGAAAATATTTTTTATTCTAACTTTTTAGCCCTCTCTTTCTAATTGTGCATTAGAATTAATATTTTATGAATCTGAAATGCTCAAAACAGAGTCAAAGGATATTTTAGAAAAGAACTAAATCTCAACATAAGAATTTGCATAAAAGTTCTTAAAAAATTCCATAGTATAACAATATTGTGTTAATTCTATTAGGTTTTTATTATAATTGTCCATTTTGAAAGATTTGAATGATAATGGTCTTAATAAAATACTTTAGGGTACAGATTCAGCAATACCATAATTTTACCACATCAACTTAACTTTCAAGCCACTATATATCTTTTATATAAAAGGATTCTGAATTTGCATAGACAAAGTCATTATTGATTACTTTCCTTCAGTCTTAATGAAATTGGATAATGTCATAGTTTAATCTACGAAATCTGAGATAAAATTGGAATTCATATTATCACTTAATGTAACAATTGGTTTATCAATTAAGAAATCAACTGGAAAGATAATAATCATGATTGAATCAAGATATAAAAAATCTTAATATTTTACTTAGAGTTAGAGTAAGTTTTAAGAATTAATGTGATTATCACTTTACATTTGAATTATAAAGATATCTTAGTTAATTGCATTAATTTAATAGTTTAAAACAGAATTCTCAAGTAGGTAGTATTTTGATGTTATAAATCTTTGTAACTCAAATTAAATATTTGTAATCTCTTTTACATTTTAAGAGTTTATAAAGCCATTAACAATAATGGTTAATAGGGATTAAGAGCTGATTTTGGTTATTTTAAGTTAATTCTAAAGGAAATAGCACATAATTGAGTCATCAACAATTCCGTCATACTGAACTCTACAGTCAGGTGTTTAATAGTTAAAGTATCCTTAGTTTGGAACTGTTGCATATTCATCTCTGAAAGGAAAAGTAAAAATAATTAAATCCTCTAAATCCAAATAGACTTTTGGTTAGTAAGTGATTTTTAAGTTGCATAATCTACTTGTAACTTAAGAATCAGTAATCAAATTTAAGTCTAATTTATGAATGAGATACTACTTGTATTCGAATATTAAATATAAGGAACTAATTATGTGTAAGCCTGTTATTTTGTAGTACTCTCAAAGAATGCTTTCACTAGAATATTCGCTTTCATATGAAGAGTTTTTATAGGTCCAATCTCAACCTCCATTTTATTTGGGCAGGAGTTATATTGATACGAATACATTCCAGGAAAAATTACATTTGTTTCAAGTCCCTAATAGCCCTATATGAAGTTTAATAAAAATCCATCTGCTTATTCAATCGGAAAATCCTCATCCTGCTCAAGCAAATTTATGCTCATGAAACAGAACCCAGTAATAGGCAAGTTTTCAATTAAAATATAGTATTGTTCTAAATCATTTCCTAAGCTTCTTAATTAGAAGGTCATTTAGGAGAAGGCAATTGACAACCATATACTTAAAGCGAATATTTTATTCATTTGTTAAAATAAATATGAAAGCCAAATTGAGGACTTTGTATTGCTAAAATGTTGTCAAATTTTGTCAAATTTCACTCTAAATTATTTTTATATCATATTACTAATATAAATATATAATTTTAATGAATAGTTGAAACAGAAATCTACCACTCCTTAGTTTCAGGAAAATATATGATTTCTTAAAAAACAATCATAAGATGTTATAGTAAGCAAAAAATAAATGATGGATTTGGGCTTTTAGTCATTTACTTATTAAATATACCTAAATGTATCCTCATTAAATATGATAAAATTTGAACATTATTATAAATTATATCATCAATCATTTAGTTGGGTTGTGAATGCAGCTCCATTAAGAATCCAATAATCAGGATTCTTCTTGGTAGGGCATTCGATAGCTCTTATGAAATTAGTTGAATGTCCTGTTGTTGATAATACTCCTGCTCGAAGACCTTAAAATTTAATATGAAAATGTACTTGTTTTATAAAGAGGCATTGAATATTCATTTGGATTAGGTTTGTAGTCTTAAGTTGGTATGAAATGTATTATGGGAGCCTAGAATATAGTTTAGCCTGGTAATTGATCTTCGAGTATTCCTTTGTTCAAATCAAATCTACAACCCTCAACGTATAAACCATAAATGTAGGCTCCATTTTCAGGGGTTGATGTAATCTAAATAGATTGTATTTATTACCATTTCACTATCTACATAATTGAAGAATTTGAAACTGAATCCAAGAACATCAATAGCAATTTAATTCTTCCTTGCAAATGTCTAGAGAACTGAAGTTAGAAAACCTTATGGGAAAAAGAATGCCGAGATCCAATAGCCCTTTGGATAGCCAAATTCTAAGTTAAACCAATCTCTGAAGAAATTGACTCTTTTTATCATATCGTCATAAAATGAGGCCAAAGGCTTTAAAGAAGGATAAGCTTTATTAGCCCAAATTTAAGGGACTTAATTATTGAGTAAGGAGCTGTACATTTTATCAAGTTCAGCCGACATAACAACTTCACCTTTGATAGCTGCTTGTAAATTCTTGATCGAATTTCCAATTACTGATAATAATTTATTAAATCTTTGAACTTCTTAATTCAAACAAACTTTGAGAGAATCAATTTCAGATGAATTGCTTTAAGGAGCATTTTATTTTTTCTTTTTTTCTTATTCCTTAATTTAAAATGGAAGCTTCTAGGAGAGAATATCACAAAGTTCCAACACATTTTCATCTGGAGTTTTTGCCTTTTGATCTGAGTCACTAGTTTGAGCACTCTCTCTTGGTTGAATACTTAAGATAGTAGATAAAGCCATTTTAGATTCAGTTAATTTAAAGGTAATGTTGGCATTTTCATTCATTCCAAAAACTTCAGGTTTTTCAAAATCTGGGAATTTATTTATTAAATTTCTATATCCATCAATATTCATTTCAGCAGGTTATTTATAAATGCCTGAATCTGAAAATGAGTATCCATCATTTAATGCATCTTCACTAAAATTAATCAAATATTAGTTTACTTAATAAATTTGGTTAAAATTGTAAGCAAACATCTTCTATCCCAATCATCTGTGACTCTTCCACCATATGTGATTTCTCCTATTACATATACAATGGCATCCCAGGGTATATCTTAAGGCAAATCAAGAAAATTTCTAAGTAGTGTGTACGAAGTTTCCAGATCAGAATCATTAAATCTAATTTAAGATAAAATTTTACTCATATCTAATGTTCCAACCCAAAGGTCCGAATTTACGACGTTCTTGTACAACAGCATGGAAAAATGCAAGAGAATAGAGTAATTTTTTCCATGGCTCCTTTTTTTCACAATTTTCAACTTATTCGGAAGATAAATCAGTATAACTCTTAAACATATTTGATTTCAATCCTTTAGGAGGTTCAGTAGTTAATTTAATACTATTCTATAAAACACTTACAGGGAAGTAATCACATGGCATACTAGTTAACATTAATCTAAATCCAGTGTTAAATGATGATTATAATTCAGGATCTTCAAACCATTCTAATCTTTTTTCAAGGGTTGGCATGAATGATTTACCAAGATGGCAATTTTATAGAATTACCCAATCACCACTCTTGACTCCACTTTCAATTGCTTTTTCAGCAATAATTCCTTGTCCTTAACCAAGTGATATAATTCTAAGTTTTTCAGATGATATTTTCTTTTGATTTGCTAATCTCATTAAACTAGACAATGGATCTGCACCTTAACTCAAAATAAATATAAATGGAGTCTTATGATCAGTATCATTAAAGATGTCTTCAATTGATGCCTGATTATTGGAAGTATATTTCTTTCCTAATATTGCATCCACATAATATGTCATTGCATACAAAGATTCTTCTTCTCTCAACACTTTCACAATCATTAATTTTTGGAAAGGAGTCAATTATTCACTTAATAAACTCCAAGGATTATCAGACTATATTAATTGTTCAGTCTCTTTAAAATTAGTTAATGTCTAGTTGTAAATTTGTATGAAATTTTAATGGACTGTTGTTAATTAATACAGTTCGTTCCAGATTTTAGGAGTTAATTTAACAGTATTTGGCATAGCTGGTGGTTAAACTGATAAACTTGCTCCTCTTACAAAAAGATTCCATTCTCCAAAAGTGATTTACTTAGCATTCAATTGTATTTTAACAGTCATTAGGAATGAGAAGATTCTCTTATGTTAATTAAATAGACCTCTACAAACGTTAGAGTAGATTGTTTCAGTAATACCATCTATTAATGTATTAATTCTTATTTTTATGTCATCATTCCCTTCAGAATTTCTGATCACATTTTAATATAGTCTCTTGAAGTAATTCAATGAAAACTAATACATAGGATCTACCAAAGTGAAATCTGCAATGACAAAATAAAGCAAACTACCTCTAGTAGCAACTGGTAGATATTGTTATCTAGCTGCTTCAATTTCAGCAGATTTCTATTCTTGAGTTACCAAACTTTCTTTAACTTAGATGGCATCCTATTTTGATATCTTTAAGTTTTCAATTAAATCAACATTATCCAAAATCATTCCTTTAGAATTTGCTAATAAATTTAAAATCTTCTCTTCATTCTTTCTTAAGTTCATGTTACCAGTAGATATTCTCTTAATTAAATCTTTCTTTTCTTCTTCCATCTCGGGTTTTTCAATCTATACAACATCTCCAAGTAATTATTCTTCCAAACCTTACTCTGTGACTGTAAAATTAATTACTGTTACTCTAATAAATATTTCTGGTAAAAATTAAGGATTTGCTAATTTTGTACTAAAGAATAACTTGAAATTTGGATCAAATTCAACTTCTCTATCCCCTATCTTTATCATTTTTCTTCTATTTATTACATTAAATTATTTCAATAATAGTGGTTCTAAAAAGTTATCCAATTATTCCTACACATCTTCTAAGAGCAATGGAATTCCTGTTTATACTGCATTTTCAATATGTTTAATAAGTCCCTCTTAAGTAATCTTTAAGACTTTCAAATTATGATCTCTATAACTATTTTTGATCCAAGTATTTGCTTACAATTAAGGATCAATAAACATAGGATAGGATCTACTATATTTTTGAATAATGCCATTAGACTTAGAAACTGTGTCATTAGGCAATCCATTTGCAGCCCATTATTAAATTTCAAGAGCATCTCCTAGGACTGATTCAAAGTTGTATTTCTCACTTAAGGGAATGGTTAATTCTGTGGCCTTTTCCATCCAATTCTGAATTAATTGATTTCTAAAGGTTCCAGTAAATGGACCCATATAGGCTACTGTTGAGCCTCCCAAAAATACATTACCCAAAAGTAATTATATTTCCTCAGCAAGGCTTTCGACTTTAATCTTCCATCTTTCTTATTCATCTGCCAAACCAACTGTAAGTTCTTCAGCTCTAATCAATCTTTATTCGGTTGTTTATATATCCTAATCAAGACGATCTTTTTCTTATTTATTTTAATTGAATTGTATTTCTAACTCTGTAACTTTCCTAACCACTTAAGCCAGTTCTGATTGCTTCTACAATAACACTTTATTGGCTTTCTCTAATTATTAATTCATGGCTTCTACTTGACTCTTCTTCTTCTCTACATCATTATTAACATCAGTAAACTCACTTACAGCCCTAACCCACTCACAAATAGACTTTGCAGCCACACTCACTTTTTAAACCAAATTTGGAATGAATTCTGGATTACTAGCTATTTTAGCTTTGATCTTATTTTAAGTTCCTGGCTTGATTTTACCTACTTCCAAACCTTTCATTTTTGATAAGAAATTAGGATCAGCCAATAGTTTTTTGATTGAATCCCAATCCAATTTTTCTTCAAATAAAATAGCAACACATTCTAAAGTAAAACGTACAATTGGTTATGGGTTGTTATTACTTTTGATTTCAGAAATATCATTTCTATTAAGAGTATTAAGTGCTTCTGTGGCAGCATTCAGAGTCGGAATAGCTTCATTTAGTATTTTATCAGCTTCAGCTTTGGTTTCCTTAATTCGAGATGCCTATTCATTAACTTATCTTTCCTCTTCTGAGACCAATTACTTAACTCTATTTGCCTCTGTTGAATCAATTTATAATTTTTAGAGTAGCTATTCTTAATCAATAGTTTTTTATTTTAGAATTGGTTGCATTTCTGTTAATTTGACCTTTAAATCACTAATGATGCTGTTTGCCTCATGCAATTTATGTAATCCTGAAGATAATTTCATCTTGTTTGATTATAACTCTTCTTTTTTCATCATCAATAAAGTCTTATAAGATTCTATTAAATCAAGATAGGACTTTGGTGTAACATAAACGTTTCTTTTGAGAGCAGCATAAAATTCATCGCATTTACGTTCAACACTCTGGTGAACATGAACACACATTTGATAAAGATTTTATCTCATATCCTTTGTCAGACCATCAAATTCTAGAGATTCCAAAAACATTTCTGCCACACTCATCAATGCCTCTTATGGCCATTTGTGTAGCCACTCTATTGTACAACAATTAACTAAACTTGGGAACATTCTCAATCTAACTCTTAACTATCCACCTATTGGCGATAATCCTAAAACAACATGTAGATTAGATCTAATCTTTTAAACAAAGTATGGGTATATATCATTGATTTTTAATTCTCTTGCTTCTGCTTATAATCCTTAATTAATAATCTCCAAATCATCTTTAGTCAACATATTAGGTACTTCACCTGAATTAAGTAGATTGTTCACATCTTCTAGAAAACCTTCTTGTAATATTTAAGTATCTGAAAACGAGAATGCTACTAATCTATTGTCAATTCCTACTGCACACATCATTCTAAACAAATCCTCTTTAAACTCTTTCTTACCATAGTTTTTCTTACTCTCAATGGTATCTATTTTGCATCCAGCCAAAACAGCTCCCAATTAGGTCAAAGATTTCTTACCAGAACCTCCAACTCCAACCAACATATAATGTCCTCTTTATTATCTTAACACTCTGCTGATTCTAGTCAAATGTTCAATAGCATCTTTGAATAACACTAAATTCATCTTTGTATATTCCATCATGTATTCGTTAATGACTTTTATAAGCTGATTGTAATCTCTCACTTCCTCATATATACGATCAGCCAACTCAGCTCTTTTCTAAAAATCTGCAAAAATAAGAGGTGGCTATGAATCAAACAATTCATTGACTTTATATTCAATCTTAAAGAACAAGAATATATTTTTAACTAAGTTCTCTTTGAACCAATCCTAATCTTGCGAGTTAATTAATCTATCCATTAAAACTCTGCATGTCTCATGTGCCCATAATCTAACCATTTATTCAGATTTCTAATAAATCATAGGCTTGGCTTATAAAATGCCTTAGAAGATCTTACTAACATCTCTGAGATTGAAAACATAATGAGATTTCTCTGGAGTTGGCAATAAAGCTTTTTGGATTTCAGAATACATTTGAAGAGTTGCATTAACAATAGAATAGTTTTCACTCAAATCCACGATTTCACTCTTGAAATGATTATTTTTTAAGAAAGCTTTCAAAATAGTGCTAAATATCCAAGATAAAGTTTCATCACTGGAATTAGGAACACTTAACAAAGCGAAATGACGAGTAAATCTAACTGTTATAGGAGATCTACCTCCGCCTGGGGGACCACAAGCACATATTAGTATTGTATTATCCACATCTTTCCAATTGAAGCTTTTTCTATCATAAACACCTCGATAATCAATGAATTATCTTAATAATTCAATAGGTGGTTATGCACCATATTATTCTAAGGCTGGCATATTAACATCATCCACAAAGACTACAAACTTCTTACCAGGAGGAGGCATCAAAATAGTTCTTCCTTTCTTACGTTGAGTCTATAGCTTTTATTCAACACTTAATTAGGTTGTAAAACTTGCTGTTTTAGCTGAGAAGGTAATTTGCATCAAAGCTATAAGTCCATCATCTCTTAATTTTTCAACAGTTGAATTAACCATAATTGTTTTACCGGTTCCTGTAACTCCAGTAATAAACATAGGACAATTTGTATTGACTGCTTATTCCAAAAACCATCCATGAGCCACTGTTTCCTTTGTCTAAACAACCATATCAAAATAACTCATTCCTTTTATATAGTCAAATTAAGGAATGATATCATTCCATTGGGTATAGTTGATATCTACTAATCCATCTGTTTTAGTTATTTTAACTAAGCAAGCAAATAGAGATCCTCTAGGCAGAACTTCGACTGGGAAAGTGTCAGCTACAATTCTTTCAAATTTTGGGTAATCATCAGAGATAAGTGTTGCACCAACAGCCCAAGCAAATACCCAAACGTAAATTTTTTCAATGTGTTTTTTTGATATTTCATCTCTCAAATTGCAATTAAATTATTAATTGTAGTATTAGATGACCATCCTCAATATTTTAATCAATCCAACAGCCATTTATGTTTCTTGTACTGGTATTAATTACTTACATGATTTAGTAATCTAATTAATTGATTTATTGAATGACACTTTTATTTAAACTAACAAATGATCTATGATGTCTCTACTTAGAATGTCAAGAAGAGTCAATGCTTCCGTGATTACTATAGGTTCATAACCCAATACTTTATCATCTAAGTAGACCATTCCACATCTACTAACTGTTGCAGGTGATGCCACTGCCAAATCTAAAACTTCAAAGATCATTCTCATTTAAGTCTTCAATTTAATACGCTCACCATTACTTAAACATAAAGTCATTGAGTCATCCAACACTGTGTTCATATTTTCAATCCACAAGGCATCCACTGGCCCATCAAATACAACCCATTTCTTTTCCAATGTCTCTGATGATGCATATCCTCTCATTATATTAGATGCTAAACCATCTGTCCATTATTAGGTCATCATATCAAATTAACCATATAATTCTTCCATAGATATGGCTTTTGGATTCAATATCTAATGTTCAACGTTCTAGTATATTGGATGATTCTTTATTCCTTTCGAAGAATATTGCTCAAATAATTTAATGTAAGATTCTCGAAGTACATTTTAAACTTAAGATTTGCCGCCCATTGTAACTCCTACCAACATTACTCCAAATCTCACCTTCAATGTTTCATGGAATTGAATTATCTTTTCAATGAAAGTGTCCTATTCTTATAATTTATTAAGCTCTATAACATTCTTTATTGCTGTTTCTAATTCCTTGTTTTACACTGTAGGAATTTGCATACCTGGAAATAGATCACTCACTATGGCATTAAACAAAGGAATATCATGAGATAAGAATTTTGGCAAATTACTTTCCCTCATAGCTCTAATCAATACAATATCTTCATTGATGTTTGGTTCTGCTCTCTTTAATGATCCAGCCATAACTAAAACGGATTTGACTGCTCTCATACCAAAATCATAGTGATCTTACTAACTCAACTGCTCTGAACTTAATTGATACAATTTAACCATCTTCCTTGACAAATCTTTGGCATTTGAAAATCCTTCAGCGAACAACATAATTTCAGCAATCAGTCTATAATCTGGAACCATCATAGCTACTGGTCTAAAAAGAACTTTCAGATTATCAGGCAATTCTGTTCTACCAGCATAACCAGGATTCATTGTAATAAATATTCCCAAATCAGGATTCAATTGTACATTTTTACCAAAGAAATAAAAATTCATTTTATACTCTAATAGAGCCTCTCTTATAGTTTAAACTTATTATGCTATGACTGATAATACTTCAATATAGATTCTATTAAATTCATCTAAACAAACCCAAGCTCCACAATAGGCCAAACCTGCAAATAATTTTTCCATCATTTTAGCAGTAATTTAATCAGAACAATTAAAGACAATACAATATCTTCCCAAAGCTTTGGCTAAATCTTTGCATGATTCAGTTTTTCCAGTACCAGCTGGTCCTTATGGTGCTGCTCCCAATTTGATTCCCAAAGCCCCTGTGATAGTCATCCAACATCTGTCAGTTAAAGGAGTAATAACTAATCTTGTGGTTGATCCCAAAAACTCATATCCATACATTAATTTGGCATTTACTTATTTAGCATGGACACTTTCCTCATCATGATAAAATCTCAATTATTATTACCATTTGAAATCCATGATACCTTCCACAGATTCATTTCTCATGTTATCCACAATATCTCTGAAGTGGACATCTTAAGTGACCAAAGCCACAAGAGTCCTTCTTTATAATTCAGTAAGATTTCCTCTGATTAATAATGTTAATTCATCAAGCATTGCTACATTAGCATCATACCAATCATCCAAATCTCCTTCTGCATCTGCTTATAAATAATTTTCTTCAGTTATTTTGGTCCAAAAAATAGAATCAATAGTAATAATAATTTAAAGTGGAAATTCGAATACCCAATCCTTTCTCTGTGTATCTTCTAATTAATATTTAATTAAAGACTATCTCATGACTCCACTAAGAGAAGATTTCATTTTATCTTCTAAAGCTTTTAACCAATCTTCCACTTCCCCTCTTGCTGAATATCCTTTGAGTACTGCAATTTCCCCTTCAGCAGATATCATTCCAATAGCATTCTCTTAGGAATCGAATTGAATTTTGACTAAATTTTCGAAACACTTTCTTAAATATGGTTAAATGGCCTAAATATTTTTTGCGTTTGACAATATTTCTAAAAGTTCATCATTTGATAAAAAGTAAAATCTCTAAAACACATCTCTTTTCTTTTCTAAGAATTCATCCAAAGCCTTTTAAATAAGATCAAAATTATTATTATTTTATCTCAGTTGATTAAAATATAATCTATTTTAATAATCATCTGCCCATCTCCTGGCAATACTACTATCTCTAGCATTTCTCATAAGTTTTTTCCATTGAGTGTCAGCTTATTAGAAGATCTTGGATTCCTTAGCCAAATTCTTAGCACTATATGGTGAATTCAGAATAGGTTCCAAATATAGCCAATTTCTTTGATGTAACATCCACTCATCAAATAACTCTTGGAAATATCTTAATAATGATTATTGTCTTTCTACTTCAGGTCTAATTCCTTCTACAAATCTTGAAGCTAATATATTATTGACAGTCAATAAAGTATCATCAATTTTAGAAATCAAATCTTCATTATTTCCGAGTATAAAAACATCTTTCGATTCTCTATAGGGTTACACTGTAATGACAGCTGATCTCCAAATAGACTCAACCTATTCTAACATTTTAACTAATTCTATTTCCTTTGCTGCTCTTAATGCTATTTCACTTAACTTGTCTTTTACCTAATCTAACCCAGCTTGAGTAATCCATAAAACGTTGTATTTAGGATCATTTATTGGTGTAAATGGTTCTAGAATGGGCTCCTTGAATAACTATTAATTTTCAAGTATCATTGCTCTTATCTGATTCCATTATTTCTCTGAAATTGCAGGATCTTTAAGTGCTTACAGAACCTAATAGACACCTCTGAATCCTTCAATATCTGATTTAAATACTCTAGCTACTTCATTCTTATCTAATTCTTTGGCACACAAATTAGCTGCCTTCTATAATTTTTCCATTAGATTGTTCATATCATCTAAATTGATATCAGTATAATGTTATTTTAACCAGACTGAATAATTTGAGATCCATTCATTTCTACCACACCAAAGTTTCTCTAATAAAGTGAATTCACTATTGAAAGTTTCCAATTTCTCAAATGGTGTATATTCCATATTTAATGCTATCTAATAATCATTCAACTTTTTTGCATGAACTTTTAATTCATCCACTTGTTTTCTGACTCCTTAAACAAATGTAACCATGTCACTCAAATCTGCTGCTAAGGAACTCAATGGCTATTCTGAAATTCTTTCATTTAAATCCTTAACTGTACTATCTACCTATGGGATCATTCTCTCCATATCTTTTCTAAATTTATTTAAGTTTTAATCATAATTAGCCATAGCATCATCCACCTTTTTACGAAGTTAACTAACTTATTGATTGCATTCTGCAAATTTTTATTTGTGTTTATCTTAAATTTTAATACGCAATTCATCCATAAGCAATGCCATAGCTGTTACTTCTTGTGATACATTGCTTAAATCTTCAAATTAATTATTGATGACATTCACTGCTTCCATATAGTTAACAAATTATTCCACTGTTATTGGAGAGATTGCTATGGTTGAATACAACTAAGTTGTTTTTTGTGTAAAGAGCACTGCTTTCTTGTACATATATTCAGGTATGAATTTCTATAGCTCTTAAATGCAATTCATAGCACTGGATTTAATCTTGGCTTTCAGTTTTTGATTATCAAATAATATCATACCAATCTCTTGTGTAGGTTCTATATCTTAAAATTATTGATCTTAATCCTTATATTAATTAATGGCATTTCTATATTCCTCAACTTCCTTATCAGCATACTATTTTTCAATATTGACGCCTGTGTTCTCAACATACCATTTCATGAATGGTTTCAATTTTTCAGCATATTACTCTAAATAATCAAATGCAATTTCCAATTCTTTCCTCATTTGACCACATAAAATTTGGAAATTCTCGCTTCCATTTATAATTGCCTTTACATCCACTTTTTCTGATTGTTAATTGCTTTCGTCTTGAATATACTATTACAACTCCGGCATAGATAACATTTCCCTATGTCTAGTTGTGATACGAATAACACTATTGGTGACAACACTTTCGAATATTCTGAATAATTATTCTCTAACAGGATTAAAAACTATATCTTCCTATTTCCCAACTGCCTCAATAATTATCCAACATTAAGGTTAACCTTTGCCATAATATCCTTTCCTTTTCACTCCTGAACTCTCCTTATATTGCTCGTTGAATTCACGAACCTATTTGACAATGTGTTCCACTGAATTCTGCATCATCTATAACTTAGCATCTATGATTATGTAATCAACATATTTCACAAATTTTCTTAATCTTTTATAATGTGTTCTTATTGTAGCTTCAGTTGTGTATGGCATGTCTTTGCCTGATTCATCTCCCACCAATAATGGGGCTCTCTCTTCATTATCATCTTCATGAAGAGGAATACGATGAATTTCCTTAAAATTGACTAAGGATTTCTAACAACATTCTACTATTATTTATTTAATCTATTATTCATATGCGTCAAATTTGATATCCATGATAGACATTAAATGTTTATCTTACAACTATTTAAAGTTTTCATGAGTCTAAGGAACTGTAGTTGAAGTATCTAAGAATCTTATGTCTTAAGCCATTTATTAACATATCCTACGAACTTCTAATAAGGTGATTCTTAATTGTTTGTCAGTTGAAAACATGTTAGAAATCATCAAATCCTGATTTTTGGCAAGAATGTTCTTCCTCATTAATCTCTTCCACAAGAAGAAGTTCTTCCATAATTTGTATTTTCTAAAGAAATCTATTTTCTAAAGATCTTAATATAATTTAGCTTCTCTTTGCCACTCTTCAATGGTTAAAAATGTTGCATCATCATTTTGGAAATAAGTGATACCTTTAGCACTAATGGTCATGTATTCTTTTTGATTTCTATCTTCAAATTCAACAATTTAATAATCATAGGCATGATCTCTTTTATTTAAATAACAGAACTCATCTGCCATTTCTGGATCAGTTCTTATCAAATAAATAAAGTCCATTGGTGACAGGTAAGATTGTTGTTGCTGTTTCTTCTTGGGTTTTCTGAGTGCCTTCTTCATCATCTAAGCTTCCTTCTTTTTTTCAGGTTGTTACAGCAATCCAATGATCGAATCATTAATGGTAGAATTGGGGTTTTGCACATCCTCTAAAATACTCATCCCATGATCACTTAATAATCTATGTCCGAGAGGTGACAAATTCTTTGGTTTCTTGAGCTAATCTTGTATTAAAATGTCGCTTTTAAAGTCTTTAGTTATTAAATCATCATTTACTTTTCGTAGATTGATGTCCTGAACGATCGAGCAAAATTCTACCGTTTTGAATGGTTACTCCTAGAGCAGAGTGAGTTTAGGTTGTAGGCTCCAATCTTTGTTTAGAAACTTTAGGCACCAATTAAGGCAAGGATATAACTGAGAGCTGTTGAGTGTATTTTCGTTCATTTGGATCATAGCGATTACTATTTTTATAAAGCCGTCCCTTGAGCTACCCTTGTGAAAGTTGTTCAAAATTGAAACGTTTATTATTGTCACTATCCATAATAAATAATTAATATATGGACACCGATTTATAAATATTTATATATGTTAATATTAATCGAGACTCCAGCTGGATTCGCCCTATTCTAAGTTGCTAATACCAAAGCTCTTAATAAAATAGACAACATCTACGATTACTTACAGAATGAAAAGCAAGCTAAAAAATTGTAAGCAAATCTATTCATACATTCGCAAGGGTCACTCCTTTTGCTTTCTAATAATTCAAAGACACCTAAGAAGCTCTAGTGGCTACCAGTAAGTTGATCAATGGAAAAATTCCAAAGAAACTAACTAAATTTTTGGAAAAGAATGTTATCTCTTAAGAAGTTCAGGATTAAATAGCAGGTACAGTGAATCTATTAAACAACAGTCCAAGACAAAAAACTTGCCAAATAGCTCCAAGAACAACTAGGTTTAAATTGCATCTAAACTCCTGTGACTGAACAATTATTCAGAGGAATTAGATCTCAACTCACAACCCTTATTGAAGGACTCAGCGAATCAGAACTTAAAAATATGACTTTGGGATTAGCACATGGGTTATCCAGATATAAACTCAAGTTCTCAACTGAAAAAGTTGATACAATGATTATTCAAGCCATTGCTCTACTTGATGATTTAGATAAGGAAATTAATAACTATATGATGAGGTTAAGAGAATGGTTTGGATGGCATTTTCCAGAACTTGGCAAAATCATTACAGACAATTTAATATATGCAAAAGTAGTCAAAGCCATTGGAATGAGAATAAAGACCAGTTCTACAGATCTCTCTGGTATCTTACCTGAGAATCTTGAAGCAGATGTCAAATAAGCAGCAGAAGTATCTTTTGGTACAGAAATTACAGTAGAGGATGAAAAATTCATTCTTTGTCTTGCAGATTAAGTCATTGAACTAACTGATTATAGATCCTAATTATCTGAATATCTAAAAAATAGAATGTAAGCAATTGCTCCTAATCTCACTACTATGGTAGGTGAATTAGTCGGTGCTAGATTGATTTCACATGCAGGCTCACTTGTAAATTTAGCTAAATACCCAGCATCTACAGTTCAAATTTTGGGAGCTGAAAAAGCATTATTTAAGGCTATTAGAACTAAGCATAACACTCCTAAATATGGTTTGATCTTTTAAGCCAGTTTAGTGGGAAGTGCTCCTGCTAAATTGAAAGGAAAGGTCTCTAGAACATTAGCTGCCAAAACAGCATTATGTATTAGATATGATGCTTTAGGTATCATACAAATAATTCAATTATTATAGGAGAGGGATAAGATGCTGAATTCGGAGTTACCAATAAATCATTTTTGGAGAAAAGAGTTCATTAATTGGAAGAGGGAGTTAATTATAGAGATGTGAAGGCTCCTTAAAGAGGAAAGGCTAAGCCTGTTTAATCTCAGACATAATATTAAGATGACGCTGATTTCTAACCATAAGGAGCTAATTGGATGCAAAAATTCCAAAAGGGAGAAGACAAAAGACAAGCTTCCTAAGAAATAGTATAAAGAACTTAACAAAAAAAGGTGAAATAATAATGAAAGTACATTTTAATCAACGAACTTCATCATTTAAGACATCTGAATCTTCATGGTAGTAAATGTTACTCTAAGCAATTCTACTTTAACTTTCTTCCATTATTTACTATAATACGGGATTGGGATTTAAATTCCCTCTGTACTATAATTATTACTCTAAGACTCTTGGGTCAACAATACTTAACAAATATCTAATTTTGTCTTCGGCTATTTTCAAATCTTGTTCATATTTTTATTTAATTGCTCTCTTCTCATTCTCAATTTAGATCAATCTCTAATTCTCACTATGCTGAGAATTGATTCTTGATTTATTATAAACATCCCTCTTTAAATTAGCTATTTCAATCAATAAAGTGTTAATCTAACCCTCATAATTGGCTTTCATATTAGCCTTTTTTTATACATCCTCCTATAATTCCAAACATCTTTAATGCAACATAGTCATTTCTATGTTTTATTTATGCACATCATCTTATAATTATTTATATGATCTCTCTAATAAACTCTAAGAAGTTGCTGGAATTAATTAACCATTTTGTATCTATTAAGTTAATTAATCCAACGTATTTGCCTTCTCGTAGAGTTATCTTTCTAATTATTGTAATTTAATCTATTAATCTTATAACTTGATATTCTTATCAATCAGCATTGAATTCATTTTCTCTGTTTCAATATTATGTCTTTATAATTTCAATTTATCTATTTCATTTTATTTAGCCTCCAATAGATTGTTAAGAGTAGCCACTTAATTTTCCATTTACACAATTGATGTGGCCACAGTCTCTTTAATTTACCTTTATAAATTCACCCTCTCTATTTAAATTTGTTGTGCATATTTTTCCTCTGATATCCTAATTGTATTTTCATTGATTAATCGTTATGTGTCTATTTGAGCCTAAAGTGCTTCAATTTCTTCCAATTTTTAATTAAATATGTTCATGTAATTTACTCTAATTGTTTCTATGTCACTTTCTAAAATCTCACTCTTTTGTCTATATTGGTCTGCCTCTCTAAATCGTTCCTTCAATTCTTCCAATTCTTTATTCTTTTCATTTAAGAAATGAAGTGCTTCCAACTTTTCAGATTTTATTTGTTTTATAAAGCTATCCAAATGAAAGCATTTCTATCTCTCCTCCTGTAATTCTTATATCTTAGTCATCACTTACTATCTACTACTTTCACAATCCTATGCTTTTTACATTAAAAGCTAATTCAGTTTTTCTATTTCTCCTACCAATTATTCCATTCTCTCCTCGTATCCTTTTATTGTGATAAATTAGACTCTATTGTACTTACTTCTCAAATCTTCGACTTCGATAGCTTTTGACTTCAAATTTTCTGCTAAGTCTTCGAATTGTTGCTTTTAAGATCCAATATGAGCTTAAAGTTCTTTTATCTTCTGTTCTAATCCTAAACTCTTGAGTCTCCATTCTTCACATTCGATGCTCTTCAATTGTAAGGTTTAAGAGCATCTCTCCAATTCACTAGTCAGCATTTCAATTCGATATTCAACTTCAACTTAATCTGATTATTGCATGTGTCTGTTAAATTAAATTTTAAATATAAATCAAAATTGTATTTACAAAAATATATCACCCCTATAAGGGAGGTAGTTGGATACTTTATGTCAACATTTTTCTTACTTCTTTCAGGGCTAAACGAACATCTTCTGCTTTTTTCATAACAATAGACTTCAAAATCGGACCTAATTCAGCCAAAGCAGTATCGTTTTAATCACTGTACCATGTCTTTATAAAAATTCCATTTTCTGGTTGATTTTGAAAATTGTCAGGAACATTATCTACAATTATACACTTTGAAAGATCTCTTCCCAATCTGGAAAGGTCTTTTATAAATTAATTAGAATATTATAAAGCATGCTACCTAAATAATCGATATGATATATTTCTGTTTTTATCAACCTGATCTAAAACCCAATTGGCATAATCCGGTAATCCAGCTGTGAATACTACTAATTCATAAAACTAACTCATTTCTTATAAGAATTGATGAGTAAAAGGACGAATCAGGAAGTGTCCTGTCTAATCAGTAAAATGTATCAAAGTTTCGTCCATATCTAGCACAAGAGTATAGGTTTTCGGATTTGTATATGGAAGGTAAGGTTGGGGAGCTACGCATATCAACGGAATTCCTAATAACCCCTGGTAACTCTGTTAGATTGTAAAGTAAAATGAAATGAATTCCTAAAGGTTTCGTAAGGATTCCTTTATTGTATAATTTTATAAACTCCTTAGGAAGATAATTAAAAATTAGTATAAGTCTCTTTAACTTTTTGTAAGTGATTTATAAAGATTTTGTAATAATTCTATGTTCTACTTAATGTAAGTCCAATAATCTTGCTTTTTGGTAACAATAGTTTTCTTGTTGATGTTAAATTACAATTAAGAATACAACTATAAATATAGGGGATACTCAGGCTTATCTTTGAGTTTCTCTAATAAAATATCAGAGAGGTGACTTAAATTTTAAATATTGTAGAGCAATATATTCTTGATATTACTAATACTACTTAAATAGAAATGGAGATCAAAAAAACAATTAACTAAGACAACAATCTACAATATTAATAGAATTACTCCGACTCGTAAGATAAGAAATATTTATCTAACTTGCTTGGCATGTTCTTGTAGTAACTCTTCCAGATATTGAAATCCAGTATCCTCAGTCAATTCCATGTATTAATTGATTTAATTTATTAGTTCTAGAGTAGTATTCTTACTTTATTAGTTTCAAACTCTTACTTTTTTCATTGAATTTAAGAGGTTGTTCATGATTTCATAAATTTTAATGAATATTCTAAGATTTTCTGCTAATGTTTCTTCGGCATGATGCATAGGTTCTAAAGTGGCGAAAGCTTAAGTTTAACCATATGTTACATTCAGATCTGGCATTAAAATCTTGTCCTTCTTTTCTGTTTTTTCTTGGAGGAGTGGATGCTCTTTATTCATTTTCAGCTTAACTTGTTTCTGATATTAGTTACAAATTTGGTTTTTGAGGGGAACTCTTTTATAACCTGTTATCCTTTAATTCCATTTTTTTGAAACTTAAATCTGCTTCTAAAGCCTCCTCCAACTTGCTATCATTTAATCTTGGATTTTTTATAAGTCGATTAAAGTCTAATGATTTTTTTGAACTTCTTATGACAGAAGAAGGCTTGGCTTGTTTCTATTCAATGATGGGAAATTACGATTCCCTTGGATCTTTGGCCTAAGAGATTGAATTTATTATCTACTTGTGAGATGGCTCGAGCTGGTCTTGTTTTTATCGTGGTTTAGTTTTTTCTCATAATTATAATAATTTGAAAAATATCAAAGTGACGATGATCTTTTCTTGTTTGTTACACTTTTAAATTCTACATTTCTGAGTCTTTCCTCTATCTTGCATTTATTGTAAAGAGTGTAGGCAATCTCCCTTAGATTTTGAGACACATTTGATTTTCTATGTTTAGCAGACAAAGGAAGACTCATCATAGTTTAAAGGGTACATTTATTATCTCTTGCACTTTCATAGATTTAATCATTGGCTTCAAAGTATTCTTTATATGCAATGTACTATAAATGAATCTTCTACCACTTTTATTCGTATTTGATTTGAGAATTAATTAAGATTTCATTGACATTTTCTAAGTCTATTATTTTTCTCTCCAATTCACTCACTTGATCTTCCAAAGTTTTGGAGAGCAGAATTTCATTTTGTAATTTCTATCTACATAAAGCAAGTTCTTTTTATAATGCCTTATTTTAGTCGCTTAGCTGATTCAACTAGACACACAATTTATTTGGACTGGCAAACATATTTAATGCATCACCAGCCGATGGAGTTTAAGCCTTTTGCTAATTGTTTTTGACTGACTATGAAAGCTTAAATGCTTTTAATTCTATTTCTTCCTTTTCCTCGATCTCTTCTTGTTTTTGGATATTCAATTATTGCAATTTCTAGGCTTTGGCCAAATCAAGTTTTGGTACAGGGACATTAGAATTTTTTTGAAATTGAATATTCACTTTGGCTGGCAAAATTTCAACATAACTAGAATCATCAACTTTGGCACCTGAGATTTATTTATGTTCTTTAAAATGTTGATTTTTGGGACTTTCATCATGACTTCTGTTTGGAGATAGTATAGGAGGAGTATAATCTTGTTTGGCTACTGCTTATTTTTAGAGGACATCAATTAGAATTTCGATCTTATTCTTCTCTTCTTTCAATTACTTATTCTCCTTAATCATCTAACCTATCAACATTCTCATCTACTCTATTTGATTCAAAACTGCAAAGACATCCTCAGTAGGGGAGACCATCTTTACATTAATATTTATAATTGAATACTATCTTTTATTTGATTTTCTTTTTGCTCTACAACTCAAACAATTTTTCAGTCAACGAAATTATTTGTTAATCTTTCTCATTCAATTTCCTTTATAAATCTAATAATTGATTCTGCCTCTCCAATTAAAGTTCCATATTGCGTTGATTTGAATCTTCACATATTTATTCAAAGATTAAGGCCTTTACTAGTCTACAATAAGTACTTAGCTTCTTGCTTCATCTCTTTGTTTTGCAATTACTTCATTAAGAGCATATAATTAATTATTCTCATCATACAATTGCGAAAACAATGATTAAAAACCTCTTGCTGAATTATGCTCTACTTTTTTAATGTAATTATCCTCTTTTCTACTATTATTAGTGCTGGGTTGCTTATAATAGAGTTTCATAAGTACAGAACTAAATGTGCATTCCTTTTGAATTTTGATGACTTCCTTGTTAAGTTGGAGTAACTATCGAAGTTCCTTGTTCTCTTCCTGAAGTTATCTCACTTCTTGTTAAAGAAAATGCAATTTAGTTTCAAGTCCATCTTTATTCATAATATTAATAAAATAATCAATGCTCTCGCTGCTTCAGTTGTATGTAATCATTAAGAATCTTTTTCAGCCATCTCCAGCATTATCTTAAATCAGGTTTCGAGCTTGGGAAGTGATTTATCGGATGACATTGAATTACTAGATCAACTATTGAATTAACGAATTTTGGAATTGAAGCATCTTTGATACAGCTTTCTAATTGTGCTATTTCTTGTTATAGACTCTGGTTTTCTTTGATCAGCAAACTATTTTCAATCAATTAATTTTGAAATTAAACCTCCTTCTCTTTCATTTTTTATTCAAATTCCTTCATTCTCTCTGCTAAATTCTCATATTGAAATTGCTTCTATTCTGGCAAACGATTCATCATCACTTTCTAATGAGCTCTCATCTCACTTATTATCTTCTCCTTGAACTCTAATTATTTTGTCAACTAATCAACTTTCTTTCTCAGCTCATGCACTTCATCTCCACTAAATCTTTCAGCAATCGGACTTACTTGCTGTTGCTTTAAATATTGTGAATAGAATAGCTAAGTCGAGGAATTATGGGAGATCTAACTCGTTTAACGATTCATTAATTTTTAAGAATTTTAATATTGCACTTAAATAACCTATAGCAATCTTCCATGTTCTCCAATCCTGAGTATTCTCAACCCAATAAAATATGTTGACATCCCTTCCTGTTTTTTTTACAAGAATCTTATCCAAATCAATATTAGTCAAAATGATAAATATATATTTTGTCAGATTCCTTAAAATTGAAATAAGTATAAATTTATTTGTGTAATATCAGTAAATATTTTATTTGAAACTTCTATTCACTCTTTGATCAAATATAATGTATAAATCTATAAGTGAAATTTCATTTATTTTGTATTCTCATTTAGAAATTGGAATTGTTCGATTTTTTTCTATTTTGAAAACGACTCATTTAAATTTTGATATTTGTATAACTACCTCAATCATAAATTCTCACAATATTCATTGAAATAAGAGTAAAATGTCCTATATTAGTGCATGCAAATTAGTATAACTGAAAATATATAATTATATTATGTAATAAAATAATCAATCCTATCTTGTCAAAAAGAATCACTATCTGATTGAAAAATCATATACTTAGAGAGCCAATAATGAATTACGACTTTCCAAATCTAATCCATAAATAAATTGCACTAATCGAACTCACACTTTGTTGAATATCAATACTCAAAACGAAGAGAATGATTTGAGTGTTATCTTGAAATCATCAAATCAAAATAAATTATAAGGTAACAGATTTATCTATTGAAAAAGCCTATAAATATCAAAGTAAAAATCCCTATTTAGTGAAATTAGAAAAAATTTAAGATCTTGTATTTTAGAAAAAACTTCAGAATGTTTGCAAATATAATAAAAGTAGTAAACTTCACAACGTAGCTTTGCCTGTTCCTAAAGGCACTTGCTCGATTATGCTCAATAAAAATAAAAATAAAAACAATGCTTTTAACATTTCAACATTAAATAAGAAATTAGACCCTAAAGTAAAATATAAAATGAAATGGAAAACTATCTAATGGCTCATTTAATTTCGAAAAGATGCTATCAACTAATTGTTTAAAAACTATTAATACATAGTGAAATTTGCAAAATTAAAACATAAAGGTTTGACTAAATAAGATTTTCATGAATTGATGGTCGCAGTAGGATTAGGAACTGATATAAATTTATTAGAAAAACTATTCTATGTATTTGACGAAGATTCAAATGGAACTGTTGATTATAAAGAACTTATTATAGGTCTCGAGATCTTTAAGGAGGACTCAATAGAAGAAAAAATAAAGGGTAAGATTCTCAAATTATCTAGTATTTTTTGATATTTGTGATGCAGATGGAAATGGAAGTATATCAGAAAAAGAACTATACGATGTATTAAAAACTAACATCGTAGCATTTCATGATAGAATTAAATTGAAGAAAACCATCCACTAAATCTTCATTGAATGTGATTAAAATGGAGATGGAGTTTTGGACAAAGAAGAAATATTGGAAGCATCAAAAACAAATGTTACTCTGAGGTAGTTACTCTAATAGAGCATCAATGATGTAAAGTAAATTGATAAGATGATTGAAAATGATTTGAAAGAACCATTTAATGAATGGGTTCCCGCATCGGCCAACTTTATCAATTATAAGGAAGGAATTTTCTATCCTTACAATGATAAAATTATATAGGCCTTTAAGGAAATAGAAGAAGTACTTATTTCATCTAGTCTAGATTAAAACCATTAATTCGAATTTTTCAATATTTTGATAATAACCTTGATTTCACGATCTAAACTAATTACAACTATGAACAATAATATAATATTATGATGATTTAATATTAATATTAATATTCATTCTTCACCTGCACGATTTGATAATTTAGATTTGCTCATATCTGTTACGATTCTGTGTGAATTGATTGAATGTTTCTTCTTTTTTTCTTTTTCTATTTCTAATAGTTGCTATTGTCTTTTCTCCTCAGCTTCCTTTCTCAATTATTCACTCATTTTGATTAAGTGCTCTTTTTCCATTTAAATTTGTTAACTTTTCAATAGGTCTAATTTAATTCTCTGTTCCAGTTACTCCTTTCTAAGTTCATCCAATTATTCACGTCTTTGCAAATTATCTTGTTTATCCAATTCTTTGATAAAGGCTTAAGCTAGTTTTCTAGTTAATTCCTCCTATTTCTCTTTTTCAATTCTTTCACACTTAAATTTGGCTTAATCCAACTTTTTAAGTAGTTCCTTCTTATGTTATTCTGCTTATTATTCATTTCTAATTAAAACTTCTTAAATCTTTCTATCTTTCTCTTAGAATTGCTTCTATTTCTCCAATTAATATAGTTTTTATTCCTCCTCCAACTTTCTCTTTTTTAATTGTAATTCCTATTGTTTTTTTTCATAATCTATAACTTTCTTTCTCATTTGTTCCTCATTTTATTTAATAACCTTATTAATTTCTTCTTATTTCATTTCCCCTTCTTTTTCTTTCTATTTTTTTTTTTCTTAAAGTTGATTTTCAAAAAATAGTCTTTGTTATTCAACATGTTTTTGTTTTTCCTCAAAATCTATTCTCTTTTTATTTAATTACTCTTCATTTAATTTTCTAACCTATTCTAATTTAGCTTCTTATTCTAATCTCTCTTGCTCTGCTTTCTCTATTCTTTTTAATCTTTCATCTTCAAATTTTTATGATCTTCTTAAGTCTTTCTCTTAAAGTTCCTTTAATCTAATATCTTATATTTCTTATTAACGATTTAAAAATTATTCTCTATCTTACTAAATCTTTTTTTATTTTTCAATTCTTTACTCCTCCTTAAATTTATTTTCTTCTTTTCTCTTTCTCTCTAATTCTTCTTCTCTTTATTTCCTTTTTTAATCTTTTATTTTATATTATTCCTCTCTCTCTAATTAAATTCTCTTTTCATCTTCTTCCTTCTTTCTTCTTTCTTCTTCTAGTTGTAATCTCTTTTTTTCTGCCTGCTCTTTTTACCATTAAATTTTCAATTCTCTTTATTTTTCTTTTTCTTGAATTCTTTTTTCTTTCTCTGCATTATTTCTAGCCAATTCCTCCATTTTCTACTCTGAATTAATTATTTTTTCTATCTCTAATTCTTACCTTTTGCGAATACTGCTTAACAGTTTCTCTCTTTTTTCAGCTAAAGATGAAGTGCTTCTGAAGACACTTGAATTTGACAACTGATTTGGCCATAATCCTTATGATTCTTCCTAAAGAATTTTTTGTCTCATCTGACGAACAACCTAAATCTTCAGTCGGCGTTTTTCCTCAAAATGATCGAATACCATTGATATAACATCCTCGTTTGCCAATTAGCCTTTAGAAAATCAATGTTCATTACCTGATGGATCTTTTTATTTTAGCATATGTCTAATCAGGTCTTTCCCCTTTTATATTAAATCCTCCTTCTTAAATCCTTCTCTTTTGCATGCTTCCTTCATTCTAGGAGTGAATGAATTGGCATCAATGTCTTCCTCATCAAATTCCTCCTCTCTTTCCGGATTATCTTCTTATTGCTATCTATTATTTTGCTATTCTCTATTTTATTTTGAGGGGAAATTTTCTTATTGTTTTGGGTTTGAATTTTACTATTCAGCATTTTTTTCATTCTCTTATTATTCATTCTATTAATGTTCCTCTTCGGTTTCATTCTGATTATTTCCTTCTTAATTATTTTCCATTTGCAATAATTATTTTAATATTAATATTCCGTTTAACAAAAATCAAGTAGATGTTTAATTTCCATCCCGATTAGATGGAAGTAGTCTTCATTATTAGAATATATGTTTAGTTAATTATAGAATAAAAAGGAGTATTGAATAGGGATGCACAGCATACACTGAATCAATTGAAGATATACACATTCATTCATATACATATGTTAATAAAATTAATTTTATTCTTAATATAATATAAATAAATGAATTAAAATTAAAACTTTTAAAGCAATTTGAACCTCTTTCCAGAAATCGGAACACACGGTGCTAGAGGAAAGGTAAGGATTATTAAATAAAATAGTAATATGGTGGAAACAACATTACAATGAGAGGGACTGAAATTTTTGAAGGACTAACCACTGGAAGACCTTCTAAAAATATTATATAAGCTCATTTCAAAGTGTTAAGATTTTACAGGAAAGTGTGTCGATTGATTCCTTTCTTATTAAGAATTCATGATATGGAAGTCACCTGCAATTCTTAATAAGCCATGCTTAATGTTGCCAATGTAATCAGAAAGAGAGCATACTTAAGAGATCCTGATGCTGTTGACAGATGGGTAATAAACACTTTCATATTATAGGTGTATCGTGGGTATGAATTACTCTATTAAGCTGAATGGCATATGTTGAATAGAGATCATTTATTCCAATATTTTGCTAATCAAAACAGATCTGATGCAGGATATTCTTATTTAGAAAACTAAAAGCTTAAAGGAAAGAGCGAATTCTTAAAAGATTTCTATATTGGAAACAAAACATATGAATATTGAAAGCATATTCAGCTAAAACAATAATAGCAAAATTATACAAAACAAAATTATATAATTTTTTTTATTTTTTTTATTTCTTACTCATAATGTATCATGCATTAGCCTATGATTCTCCTTTTAAGGTTTAATTCAATTGTTCCATGTTCAAAAAACCTGACTCAGATCCATTCTGTTATTGTTATTGTCCAGAACCTTAACTATATTGTTTTTCTTATCTCAGTTTATCAAGATTCAGTCTATGAGTATTTCCTGGAGTGTATTAAGGACTAGATTTCCTACTTCCTTAAGTAGGTTTTTGCTAAGAGAGTCTTATGGGCTTCTCTGGACTCCAATCCTAAAGTCCTTAAGATTAAGGCTTTGATCTATATTAGGTAAGCTTTTGGTTCTAAAAATCATCCAATTTATATCTTATTTAGATTTTTTGATTACCTAATATTTTATAGTCTTTTGGATATATTAGTAGATTCAGGTTCTAATTACTAAGGTTCTCTTTGTTATTACTAATTTTTGAAGTATTTTCTAAAATTTGGGAAACCAGAGAGACCTCTTTGATCACTTGAATATGATGGTCGATCATAATCTCGAGTATACCTAGGTTCTTATCTTAATGATTATTCTCTCTCATTTTGAAATAGATCTGAAATATATGATTATAAATCTCCTCTCATTCTATTGGATTTGTGAGATCTTCTTTCACTTTCCCTCTCTTCATTTGGACTACTCTTCAATTGCTACGATTATGTAACTGGTGGATTCTTTAGGAACTGTTATCCTTTGGTAGGCGATATTTAGACTTAGGACTCATATATAAAGGATTATTTATTTTAATTTGCTGCAGACAATCTACTAGTTTGTAATTGGGAACTGGATACATTTAAATTGATTTTGCTTTTTTATAAGGCATTAGTGGAACCGTCTAAATAACTTACTTATTTCTTCTTATTTGAGATTTGGCTGTTTTCAGATCCTTCAGCACTTTATTTTTATTACAATTTGCTTATCTATAATTCAGGTGCCTTTATTTCAGATTTCTTTAGTAAGATCTTATTGAAACATTCGGATTCATTTTAGATTACATCTGTTTTCTCTTTTTATTACTGTTGAGTTCCTTATACTAAAGTATCCAATTTTTCTTAGAGTTATTCTAAATTATCACAATTTTAGATAATGTTCAATATTTTTTTGTTCTTTTATGCTTCTAATTATTTAATTCCATCTTTATCTTTTTGTTCCAAAATACTCAATAATTCTAGTTTCTCCTCAATCATTTATAACTTATGTTCATTTTATTTTGCCTAATATTCCCATTGTTCCCAACATTTGACGAAATTATCCTCATTAAGGGTTGTATCTTTAAATACATTTGTTCTAAAAGATAAGTGTAAATTTACAAGTCTAAGCCTTTGGAATACTCTGCAAAATCTTCGATTGATAATGTTTCTTTTCCTTCTTTTTTTAAAGCCTTGAAGGCTTCAGAAGGATTCTTAAATTTAGAGGATAAATTCTTTTTTAAAGAACACCAAATTTTAAGTGTTGCCTAACTGGTTTCTATTTCCTCCTTTTATTTAATAAGCTGCTCTATTTCGGACATAAAATTTATTGTAAAATATTTGTATTTATTTGTGAATTGTATTATATAATATATTTTATTAAAGAATGTTAGACTATGTATTCAAAAACCATACAAATACAATTTACGACGCTTAATAAGTGTAGTAAATTATAGATCAGATGATGGAAATATCAAATACGAATTAGTTAGTAAATCCCTAGATTGTTGTGACTCCTTAGAAATTCTTTAAAGTATTTTATAAATGATATTTTGATAACCTCTTGGCTGTCTATAGTTGATAAGAAACCTCCAGTCAATATTTGTTTTTTATTCTCTCAAGATGGCATAAAAAGCTTCCTTACTAAACCTTCAAATTAATGGAAATTTATTCCAAAATATGAAAGTAAAATGTAAAATAAGTATATCAGATTAAAATGAACCAGACTTGACTTATCTGTATAATAAGAATAGTAAACTCATTGATATTGTGCATAAGTTACAAGTTGAATTTAGACTAAATTACCCATACGTCTAAAATACTGTTGCAAAGGATCCTTCAAAAATAGAATTAGAAAAAAAAATAATAAAGTACACTGATAAAGTATTAATGATATAAATCAATCTTAGATGGAAAAAGACTGGAAAGGTGTTAAAGATTTAGGAGACGAATTATTGAAAGAATATATATCAGTTTAAGATTAAAGAGTTAAACTCAAACAACTTAAGAACTATATAGCAGAGTTGAATGATAAATTAGCAGACGAAATTTAATGCATGAGTTAGTTTTAAGCCGATTATTCATAAGAAGAAGTTAATGAAGATAACATCCTTAAAATATTAGTTTTAGATTAAGCAGAAGATTAAATTTGCAACTTATAAGCAAGCATCTATGGGATACGTGACACATATAAATATACATAAAATCGAATGAAAACCAGTAGCAATGTAACTTTAGAGTGGGTTTGTTCAATCGTAAAGTAGTTGGCTGAATAGGAGTTTAATGATATACAATTATTAAAAAAGTGCAACAGATGCTTATACAATTAATGAATTATGAAATCATAATTAATAATAAATAATCATCTCTACCATAATCAAATCAATAATAATTCTTCTCTATTTTCTAACAAATCAATAGTATTCCAAATAATTTGCAAGATTATTACATCATTTTTACATTAATGAACCATATATGCATCATTCAACTCTTCAAGTAGATTAGAGTGGCAAGTAATTATGTACCCATTCATATTTTATAATTTATGTTTAAACTACAATTGAGAATATTATAATATTATAATTATGTTTTCAAAAAGTGATCGAGTTTGTTTCTAACCTACTTATAATCCTCCTGTTGGCTATTACGAAGTCAACCAATAACATTAGGCTAAAGGGGCTGATTTTTCAAAATCTGTATCTAGAAATCTAGAGAGTAGACAAAGTGTGAGCCCTTAGAACTATAATAACAATCTACCAAAGGTTTCATTAGCCAGTCCTTAATTATCTGCTTATGCTAAACCAGGTGAAAGATTGAAGGTTGAATAGAAATATAAGAAACCAAAAGAGAGAAGCTACAGTTACTCTTAAAATCCAGACATATCAATTAACAACTTCGATCGGTTGCCCATCAAATAAAAAGGAAAGCGACTTAAGATCGTTTATCAAAAACATACTACAGACGTGGAAAATTCAACAGAAGAACCTAACTAATTATAAGTTTAGGGGTATTACAATTCTAGAGCCCAAACCCCTTTTACGGGATAGTCTAAAAGAAGAAAACCTAAAAGTATGGCTACTCATTATTATTATTGAGCACATAGGAATATATTTTCTTTATTTCCTTCTGACAGTTTGGAATTAGCTTAACAAAGAGAAAAATTGAAAGATAAACCAATACCTCCTCCTGGGGCGTATTACAACGAATTTAATGATTCCTCTATAAAGATTGAAAAAATACCTTGGAGATTTTAATGTTTCTCTTCGACAGTTAGGAGATTTAGTTAATAACAATAAGATACAGGTCCTAGTGTAGGTGCTTATGAACTCAAAACAAAATCAAAACCCATAGGAGTTATATAACTGGATAAATATAGTAAAAGAAAAGATAAATACCTTAATTTTCCTGGTGTAGGTACATATGACATTGAATAACCATTTACATAATCAAAACCTAAACAAAAATAATAATAAGATTTTCCATGTCCATTTGGATCAAGTGGTAAGAGATTTTGAATTAGAATATTATTATTATATTTATTAAATGTCTAAATCATCATAAATTCCTCCAGAAGTAAAAGCATATATTGATCAATACAAAATGGAGGATGTTATTAAAGATGCAGTGAATACAATCCTTTCTTAAAAGCCAGCTGATCCATATACAACATTTTCACAATATTTTGGAAAAGTAACTGATTATAATAAACACAGTTATCAACCCCTGTTATTGAATTAGAAGATATTTCAGGTTTAGAAATGTTAAATAATGAGCTTAAGACAAGCATTCAATTGATTTTCACTGTCTAATTCAAGAATCAAAAATTATAATATAAATCTCCATTATAGTTTTCATAATCTTATCCAGAATAAGAAATATTTTAGTAATATATAGTGTTAATTTAAGTGATGATGAATAAAAAAATATGAAATAAGCAATCTAAGAGATAGAAAAGGTTTCTCATTAATTAAAAGGAATGAAATCAAAGGAATAAAAGGAAGTTGATGAGATATTAATTAAATATCTTAGTGAACATCCAGTATAAAATCTAATCTATTGTAGAATCGTATTAACGTTATTCAATAAATTTCATTTAGTTTACTTCCCTTACATGCTCACTTTATGAATTAAAGATTATCCTAATTGCTTCGTTAGTAATTTAATACTTAAGAAATTAAAACTCCTAAGCTCTTTGTGAATTTGCTTTAGGGTAGCAAAGTAGTTGCTTCTAAGTGCAAAATCTATAAGTTTTTATTAATATGTGAAGGAGAAGGGGCACTGTAAAAAATTTAGAATGTTGTTAATAATGTCAAAAAAACTATTATTTCAGGCAAGAAAGGAGAAGCAGGTCTTCAATTCTATTAAGATGGTACTTTTATATGTCCCGGAGATACCATTCCAGATAATTTAAAGATAATTGAATAAGCAATAGAGGCAGCTTAATTGAAGGATCAGGTTTAACTAGGTTTAGTTTGGTTGGCCGAATTATTTTATGTTCCTGAAGAAAAGAAATATGACTTAGATAATCCAAAGAAATTATTAGATGCAGATTAATTAATAGATTATTATTTCAAATTGTGTTAAGAAAAACCAATTATAGTATATTTAGAAGATCCTATTCACCACACTGATATTGTCGGATGGACAAAAATTACTAATAAATTTAAAGATACTAAAGTTAAATTAGGGAGTAGGAGATTATATTCAAATTTCGATAAAGCAAAGAAGCATTGCGAAATATTGAGTCAATAAACCAATCCAGAATTAAGTGAATAATAGATAACCCAGATGAATAATGAAAGAATACATCTTGATTATATGTATAAACCTCTCTATGAATACAGTACATTTACAGAATTATATAATCATTTAAGCTATTTAATTTCCAAAGTAACTTTATTTATAATATTAGAAATCTTCCTTGCAAATAATTATTGGGGATTCTCTAGTTGATACTGAAGACTCATATTTCGTTGATGTTGCTGTAAATATTTGTAATAAATTAGTTTTCACTTCCAAATTCTAATATTAATATTGGACCTCCCCTTAAATATGAAAAAATTATTAAATACAATAAGTTTCTTAAATTATGCCATGAAAGTGATTGATACATTTTTTTAATAGAAAATATAAATAAAAATAAAAAAATCATGATAAAGATCTTAGAGTTTGCATAGTAAAGTATTAGTTTTCCATAATTTTTTTGTGGAACAACTTAAATGTACCAATACTACATTTAGCTTATTGTGCAATCACTGTAGATAGGATACCTCCTCGGCTTGCAAAAATGATGTCTCCACTATATTTGACTATTGCAGCTGCAATCACATTTTCATGCTCTCCTTGGATTAGATTTTTCTGTTGGATTTTATTAAATACTTGGATACAGTAATTAATAAATCTTTCGTTAAGTCCCAAGTTGGTTGATATTGATTTTATAAATGCTTAAACAACCGATTCTAATTTGTAATTGTTGTGTATTTTGAGTAATATTTTTTTAATTAATTTTTCTGAAACTGAAAATTTAGCTAGAATTTCTCTCTAAGTCAATGGAATGCTTGTTTATTTAATGGCGGCAATCAACCCTGCAATAGCAATGGCGATGGCAGTGTATTTTTTTTATTTGAGTTCAGATAGTAAATCAGGTTATAAGAGTTGTAATGCAATTTTTAATAGATCTTCCTTTAATCCCAAAAGAAATATTTAGTTTTTCATTTCTTCAACAATTGCTGATAGTTTTTTGCGATCAACATTTTATTCCTGATTGTCATCTGAGGAAGTGTCAGAATTATTATCTAACATCGTTGAATAGCAATTAGAAACTTCCACTTACTTCTCATTTGGAAGCATTTCGATAGGGTTAGTTTCAAATTCATTCAAATTAAATTTGGGAACTGGTGGTGCTATGGTTCTCCTTTTAATGTTCATTCTAGAAGTGAGTGTTAAATAAATAATTTAAAGCTTCGAATTTACTCCACTTTATATAAATTAACTCAAACTTAGTCAAATTTATCTCACTCCGTAGTCTTGGAAATATAAATTTAAGTTTAAATTTCGAGCTTTAAGGGAGAACCAAGAATTTCCAATCAGTTCAATGACAGATGTTTTCTTATATTTATATATATGAAAATAAAGAGTCAATTAAAATCTATATTGAATTAAAACCAGTTGATTTCATGCCTTAAGCCTACTTAAAATATAAGAGAGTTTAAATAGAATACAATAGTTCACAACGTCATATTTGAGGTTCTATAGAATTTTTAATTATATGTAAATATTGGGATTCTTTTGTAATGATACATTGCATATACTATCAATGAATTAGCTTTCGTGTAATCATTTATTTTTTTGGCAGTTCAAAAATTGTTTTGAATAATTATTGCATCTAATTATATTAGTTACTAAATTTAATAATAAATGAGTGTGTAATTGAATGATAGGCATATTACATAATTGGAAGAATTAGAATCATTAAAAGGGAAACTACAATGTCCATCCTATAGATCTCGTAACCTTTCATCAGATAGATAGTATACTCCCTCGTTGACTAATGATTTCAGAAGCACAAGAAATAGCGATTAATAGAAGGATTCTTAATCGGTTGAAAAATGTATTTTTATTTATATTATGGCCTAGTCATGAATCTCAAACAGTAAAATTAGAATGTTGATTATTTATCTCAATTATGGAAATAACAAAAGCAGTCCATATCACTAACCTAAAGTTTACATTCATAAAATGCTATATGTACATTTGTTATATCTATAAAATTAGCAGAAAAATAAGAAATCGATTAGTAGATTCCTAAATATACTCATTAAGTGATAGAAGAGGAAGAGAATTTAGTTACTGAATAAGATGTCAATAAAATCAAAGTAGTTTAGGCAGTCAACAATGTCAGAGTGAATGGAAAATTTCCCACTACAACAAAATAAGGGGGCTAAAAAAAAAGTTAATAATAAACTCAGAACCTCTAGACAAGTAATAATCAAGGGTAAAACAAAAAAACTAATAGTACTATTAATAATAACAATAATAACATTCGTCCTTAAACCACGAAATCTTAAGTTCAAGTACCTCAAACACCTTAAACTCAAAAGAGAACTGTTTAAAAAAGTAACACAAAGTCCTTCTAAGATCAGGTTTTAGATGGTATATATTTCTTATAACATAGTTCCACAAACACCTTCATAAAAATTGAAATAAAGTTCCTTATTAGAGAAAACTAGATAGGGAAAGGTTAATTAGGCTGTTTGCAAAGCCATGACCAAAAGGAACACTGAAGAAGAAGATAAAAATTTAGTCTTTTAATTAGAGAGACTAAAAGAGAGTGTGGCAAAGTTATACAATGGTAGGTTTGAGAATAAGATGGGACATTCCACACAATTTATTGAAAAGTAATTATTATCAATAACTTAGAAATTTTGATTAAATAATTAATACACTGAAATTGGATTTTAGGTCCCATGAAAGTGATATGTGAAAAATTATATATCATTCAATATCTTTGATTAAACTATAATAAATTTAATAAAAGTTTGTAAATATTAATTATTCATTGATTAAAATATTTTACCATTTTTGATATTAGTCAACGTACTTTCAGAGAATAATAAATTAAGTGTGTATAATAATTATAATTAAGAATAATTTAAATGAAATCTCTGAGAATAAACAATCAATATATAATGTCTAGAAAAATTGCCTCAGGTGCATTCGGGTTTGTGATGCTTGGGTTTGACCAAAAAACAGGACAGTAAGTAGCTATAAAAATTGAAAAACCTGAAAATGAGCATCTCAGGTCCTTAGAAAAAGAAGCAGATATAATACGGAGATTGGAAGGGGTTCAAGGAGTACCTTAAATGCTATACTTTGGCAAATAGGATGACTTTAATGTTTTGGTTTTGCAACTTCTTTCTAAAGATTTGTCTTCTTTGATAAAAAAATAAAAGAAATTTAGCCTCAAAACTGTTTTATAGATTGGGATCAAATTAGTTGAAATATTGGAAGACATTCATTAAAAAGGAGTATTGCACAGAGATTTAAAACCAGAAAATATTATGATTGATGAAAATAATAGATTCTATATTATTGATTATGGCATTAGTAAAGCATTTATGCGTAAAAATGGAGCCCATTTGTAAAATATTAAAGTAATTAGACCTTTCAAAGATCGACAACCCTTTATTGGAACTTCTCGTTATGCTTCGATAGCAGCCCATAAAGGAAATGAATTAGGAAGGAAAGACGATTTGGAATCGTTAATTTACATCTTATTGTACTTTTATATTGGGTAAAAATGAAGATTTTCATTGTTTCAGTAATTTACCATGGCAAAACATGAAGAATATTCCAGGTGACTAAAAAGTCCTATAAGTTGGTGAACTTAAGTAAAAATAGACTATTGAATTGTTTAAGAATTTACCTGATGAACTGAAAAAAATATATGAGTAATATTTTGATAGTATAGAGATATCTACGTAAACTCACGTATGCCACAGAACCAGATTATAAATCAATTGTTAAATTATTTTAATAAGCTGCTAAAAATGGCAAAATAGTAATTGATTCATTTTATGATTGGGATATCCAAAACACTGCTCAAACAGAAATGTTTTCTCGTTATGGAACTATTTAACTTGATGATAATTTCTTGATTGATCAATATCTATCAAATTAATAAATGTAAAGATTCTATCATTTTATAGTAATGTGAAATAACATCATATTAATCCTAATAAAAGAAAAACCTTTTGTCCATCTCTAATTAAATAAACCTTCAATGAAAACATTATTTAAATGGTCAAAGATTCAAGTAGATAAAGTAATGGTAGTAGTAGTGGCATGGGCAATATAGAAGATATGTATCAACTATCAAAGGATGAAATAAGTGAAGACTCTCAATAAATAATCCCAGAAGAAGGCTAACAGGATTTAAGTTTAAGAGTTAAAACATTGCCTGATTATTTGAAAAAGCCTAAAATCAAATAAAGACAAACTCAAACTCTCGTTTTTGATGACGATTGGGTAATTGACTCAGGTACACATTTGGTGGATAATTATAAAAAATTATAATCTTTAAGTAATCAAATGACTGCTGTTTTTCATCATAAATAAAAGTGATAAAACATAAGTTGTATTTTAAATTATGTAGATCTTTCTATTTATAAAGAATACTAAATATGGAAATCAGTCTAAATTGATAAATCTTCCAATATTTTTGTCTTCTTAAACTTATTATTTATCTCTTTAGATTTACTATGAAATCTTACTTTTATTTTAAAAAATATCTTTATAATATAGATTTTTATATCCAAATTTATTATATAAAATACTTAATTTTAATAAAGACCTTTTAAGATTATCTAATTGCTGCTCCTTTTCGATAGTTATCCACCTTTACGATATAAATTATTAATGATTTAAATAATATTATTTACATCTTTTGTTATCCTTATTATTTCAAATATAAATTTAATCTAAATGAAATTTATGAGCATGAATAATCTTATTTTCATTCAAATCATAAACCATTTTCAAAAAGAATGCAGTAGTAGTAATCAATATTTTGTTATTATTCACTACACTAAATAGTTTTAAAATAATTAACATAATAAATTAATATTAAAAGTAATGCAAAGATTATCATCTCTATTAATTGGATTTGGTTTAGGAATTTTTGGAATGAGCTTATTATATGATCCATGGGGACAAGTAGATTTTAATTATATTTAGGAACGATTTGAAAGAACAGTAAGGGAGACAGCAAGATTAGAAAACTCATTACTTAATGATGTGGATATTTATTTATAGATGAGAATGTTTATCGGATATATTCTAGTGGCCTGTTCATTCGTATCGATGAATAGGTACTATTTAATAATTATCAAAGAATTGGTTTACTTTATGTGTTAGCGATACCAGCCTTATTAGTTTATGCTGCAATCAATTACAATCATGTCTTATATAAATCACAAAGACTTGGTGGAGAGTAAACCATATAAGGAGCATTATTTTATGTCGCATTTTGTTTTGCTTTGATTGATGGATTAATAAAGCCTAAGAAATTGCCATAACCAATATAATCCGAAAAAAAAGTAGAAAAGAAAAAAAACGAATGATTTATTATTAAACACATGTATTTATAAATTGTTTGTAAAATTGCTAGATAACTTCTAATTAAAAATTAATTCATTTATTTTACTTTCCTTTCTCTCCCTTTAAGTCATCGCAGTCAAATTGTTAATCGAAAGATAGCAATCAGAAGTTGCAAATGTTGCTACTCATTGAATAACTTAATATATATTCTAAATTTTTTAGATTTAGCTTCCAATCCTTATTACTACTCGTAACATATTATTTTATTCAGAGTTAATTAAGGATGTTCATGTCTAATAAAAAAAATTTAGTTTAACTTGAGTTGATTTGATTCTGAATAAACTATCATATCTATATGTATCAACGACTTGATTGTCCAAAATAATACAAGTTTATTAGGTATTAGGAGCAATACTTAATACTTAAAAAATTATAACATAACATCCCATTATGGTAATTGAGAATGAAAATGCAGGGTATGATTTTGGTACTTTTAATAATTTTATTGATATATGGAAATATGTTAAGAGTTATTCTAATATTTCTTTGAGTGGGTAAGGACCATATATTGATAACTTAATTTGTATTATTTCTCTATATATATTCAATGATGATTAGTTTATAAAAGATAAAAAATATGTAAAATTTTAAACTAATTCTTTTTTGATCTTAAATTTTGAAGGTTTTGCTTAATAAATTTTAAGTTTGTTTTATTTTTGGAAATTCTTTTTGAGTTTTATCTATTATCTATAATCAAGTCATAATATTTCTTTTAATCATATAAGGGATTATTATCTATCTCTAAGTATTTTGGAGGATTGTAGAATTATTTTGTTCAGTTTTTAAAGTTTATAATTGATTTAGCAACATATTTGAAATAAATTGTATATAAAATAATATCAGTAGAGACATTATTGAATGATTCCATGGTTATTGTTTGAATTTTAGGTTGAGCTATGAAGAAAATAAGCAAAAATTAGATTCACAATTTAAGAATACTATCAAACAAAGAGGTTTATTTTAGGAAGGAAATAATTCTTTTGTTTTGGATGTTAGAGAACTTAAGATTAGAGGGAAATTCAACTGTTAATAGGCAATCTTGATTAGTATGGGATTGCTAAAGTAGTATAATATTGGTACGAGTATTATGAGCAGTATTCATTAATATAATTAAGGTTTGTATAAAATTTGGAAGATTATGAAAAAAGTATATACAGTACCAACCCCAAGAGAATAGAAACCAAAGGGATAATAGAAGAGTTAAAATGATGTGATGTGAGTTATTATGAATTATGCGTAGAAAGTAAACGTAATTTGCCTATATTCCTGATTAACTCACTTAAAAAGAATAATCATCTAAGATGGCTCGACCATATTTAATGTTCAAGCCTAAGTTAGTAGAGGAGATAGATGAGAACAACATGAAAAAGATGAAACTTTCATTTCACAATTCAATAACTGACTTATAAACTTTTGAGGAATTAGCACAAGAATCACAGCAGAGAGAATCAACGCCGAATTTAAATTTTACTCCTTAAGAAAAGACTAAGACATTTGTCAGGTAACTATGAATTTCTATTGTCTTAGAAAGTCTATGAGACACTTAACTCAGCTTTGAAATAAATAAATTTCGTGATAAATTATATATATGTGACTTATTTAAGTCTTTTAATATTGAATTTCACATATCCACATTTTTATTTAAAAATTTACCACTAATGAAACACAATTAACAACTTCCTAATGCACATATGAGAAAACATTGGACACGATTTGTCAAGACCTTTTATAATCAACCAGCTGCAAAAAGAAGAAGATAACTGAGAAGAAGAGCATAGGCCTTATGTATATTGGATATCAAATAAATGAATAGCCTCATCTCCAAGACCAGTTGAACTACTCCGTCCTGTTGTTAGAGGATAGACAATAAAGTACAACAATGTTTAGAAGCTCGGAAGAGGATTCTCATTGATTGAATTAAAGGAGGCAGGACTTAATGCAGCATTTGCTAGAACCATCGGAGTTTCTGTAGATCACAGAAGAAGAAATCTAAATTAGGAAGAATTGAATAACAACGTGAAAAGATTGAAAGCATACTTATCTAAATTGGTTCTATTTCCAAGAGTGGCAGGCAAACCCAAGAATGGAGTTGTGAAAGATTCAACAAATGAGGTTGTGGCATAGCCAGTTGCTTAGAACACTAATCCAGAGGTAATGAGAATTTGCTAAATTCAAAGGTTATCACATTCTAAAGAACTCCCAAACGTGAGAAAGCAACTGTTATTTCTAAAGAATTAAGAGCTAAGAATGTTTATAGAAGACTCAGATAAGAGTGGTACAATGCTAAATTTGTTGGAGTAAAGGAAAAGAGAAAGCAAGCAAAAGAAACTAAAAAGTGATACATCTAGTATAATACAATATTATTTATTTACAATTTATTTATTAACTTATTAAGGAACATATAGAGAAATGTCTACTAAAAAATAGGTTCATGGAGGAAAAACATCGAGATCAAATAGCAAATAATCTACATCTAATCCTATGTAAGTGAGAAAGCGTTTTTCATCATTATGTTCACCGTAAATTATTTGATCTAACATTTGCTTTAGCCCAAACAATTCAGGAAAATCACCTTGTGTCTTTTGTCAGAAATTTAAAAATTAGAAAGTTGAATCCTATGCTTCTCTCCTTAATAAGGCTCTGTTTGCTAAATATTCTTCATCTCAAAACTACTATTATTCTAAGGACATTAATGATATTATTGATGAGGAATCCACACCAGCTGTTGTTTTTTATAGAGATTTGGAGTGCATAGTAGAGGAAGAGGAATATTTGAAGAGGTATCATTTTATTCATTCAAAGATCATATGCCAAAAAGGAAGCAACTTCTAAAATTAAAGCCTTGCTTGAATACTACAAATATCACAAGGACATACCTCGACTCTTTATGCAAAAAGTCTATATCACCATAAATAAGTTTCACGAAAAGAAGAGAAGGATAGAGTATGCGAATATTAAAAGGAAGTTGAATATCCCAGATGAAGATATAGTAATAGATATTTTATAAGCTTCTAGTAACCATCGAAAAAAAAGGAAAAGAAGAAACAGAAACACAGTGATGAAGATTTATCAGTGGGTTAACTAAAACATTTACTAAAGGATTTGAAATTAGATACAAATTCCTATCTCTACAAAAAAGTTGATATCTCAAGTAGTGTACAATTACGCGAATTCGTATAACAAATTGGATAAAAATATGATTATCTCGGATAAATTTCTGGTCTATTGTCTATTGATTAAAGCAATAGTTTTCTCTTAAGGTCACAAGACCTTTCAACCATAAACAAGAATCTTAAATAAAATTACCTTATAAATCACCATAAGCCAGAACCCAATTAAAATTCAAAAGCACAAATTTTAGATTCTAAAACTACTCATTAAATTAGTTATTAAGGGAGTTTTGATAAAATAAACTTTAATAAATTGTAATTTAATAATATAGGAGAAGTCTCCTCTTTGAAAGCTGAAAACTCAGTCAAAGCAGGAGAATAAACTAAAAGATCAAATCAAGACTAATCACCATTAAGGAATTCTTAATAATCTTAAATGATCTAAAAAGTTTATTCTCAAATTGAAGGCTTTGCTAATTTTGTGTAAAAACAGTAGTAATCCTTGTAAAAATAATAAAAACAAAACTATGGTTAAAAATCGAATTCATAAAGGAAAGTCAGTGCAAATTTCAATTCAACTGATTGCCAATTCAGATTACCAAGTAGATAAAGTTCTAATTAAAAATAATATGCTGAATTGCAGTCTTAATAAGTGAATTTCTTGTAAATATGTCATAATATATATGTAGGAGAACCAGAGTGGCTTCCCAATTATAAAAGTACGACGATGATTTCAAGAGTATCAAACATGTATAATTATTAATTTATTTCAGTAACCATTAGCAACAGACAGAATTCAAAGATCTAGCGTTTATAATGTGGGAGAAAAAAGTTAATAGAAGTCTTCATCAAAAAATATGTTCGATATTATATATATATAACTTTAGATAAAAAATACCTTAGAAATTCACCTAATATGCCTTAGCCACACTGAGAAATCTGTAAGTAAAGAATTCAGAAGTTAAGAAAAAATAAACAGTCAATACAAATAATGTGCAAGGACCCACTCTGAGTTCCTAATTATTACACTATAGAACTAAATCCTAAGATACCATAGGAACTTATAAAGCATCTCCTCCAAAGTAGTCTGTAAGACAAGATAATTCTAAAGATCCATTAAGAATTACAAACAACATTAATGTTTAAGGGTCATCCAAAAAGGGAGGTGGTGTATACAATATCAACTAAAATAATATAGTTAATATTTATATTGAAGATTTGAAATCTTCTGCCAAAATAAAGTAAGGTGGCTCGTAAACTGCTCGAATTAATAGTCCCTAAAAAAGTAATCCTAAAGGCATTTTCGAAGTCTATAACACTCAAAGATCTAACTTAAGTCCTGAAAGCAAAAAATTTGTTTGAAATAATATGTTATTGCTATAAATTTTATAGATTTATGAATATTATTCATAATTATTTAAATGTGCTAAACTTATGAGGATTAAAAGCCGTTGAGCATTTTGCCATAGTAACTGATTATCTAGAAATGGCATCAGTCATATAGAAGTTCTAAGAGTAGGAATTACACTTACATCAATAAGATCTTTGAATGGAGTGGCTGAAATAGTTTGCTTTGAAGATTCAGGCTTCAATGCAACTTATCCGAGCACACTTGATTCGATATAGTCATATTTTAATAAATGAGGAGCCAGTTCAGCCATTCTATATCTAACCTATCAGAATATTCAACTGATCATACTTCTTCCAAAGTATCATAAGGCAAAGCGCATCCACATTCCTCAGATAATGCTCTCAATATTTCCCAATCCGATTTCGCTCCAGATGGAGGTAAAGCCACTAATTTTGTAGTTTATACTCTCCCTTCTGTTGATACCTAATTCAATATTTAATATAATTACATAAGTTCCATTCTTTTCTGTATATGTAGCTCCTGGTAATATGAGATCTGCATAATAAGCACCTTCATCTCCATGGCTGCCAATATATATTACATATGCATCTTTAGGGATATCTTAAGCTCTTAAGTTGTTATCAACTCCCAAGAGAATCACAACCTTGGCAGGGACACTGCTCTTTCTTGCTGTAATACCCAACTCTAGAGCATTAATTCTTCCAACATCCTTATGTAAAAGATTGAATCCGTTCCATCCCAATTAGGGATTAATTACTGGGGAATTTTAAGCAATCTTCTTTAGAGCATTATGAATAGCGTTTCCATCAACTCTCTCTAGAACACCTGCTCCTGTTAAAATCATAGGCAATTTAGCATTTTTGAGTCTTGCTGCAAAAGGATGGGTGCCATTAGCAATTTCATCAAGAATTGAGGCATTATTTCCTAAGTGTACATAATTATAAGTCAGATCATTGGCTGTTCCAATAACAAATACTTTAAGATTGTTTTTTCTGGTGGCTCTCAAAATTCTTGAATTCAATAGTGGTGATTCTAACTTTGGATTAGTACCTACTAATAAAAGAACATCAGCTTCTTCAATGCCTGTAATTCTTGAATTTAGTAAGTAATTAGCTCTGAAATCAGCATCTAATTATGGTACACCAGTTCCTCTAATCTCAAAGTTGTCGCTATCAAATCTATTCAATAAATCTTTTAAGGCTACAATAGACTCGCAGTCTGCAAATTCTCCAATGACTCCTACAATTTCTTCTCCTTTTGCTGATTACAATTTCTTAGCTGCTTGTTAAATGGCATCTGGCCAGTACAAATCAGTGAAGTTGCCTTAAGCATCCCTAGCCAATGGTAGTGTTAATCTTTATTTTTTCAATCCATCAAAGGCTTGTCTTGATTTATCGTTTAACCATTCCTCATTAACTTCTTCATGGATTCTTGGTAAAACTCTCATAATTTCAGCTCCTCTGGTGTCAATTTGAATAAGTGGTATAATAGTATCAAATACATCGACAGAATCATAGGATTTTAATTCCCAAGGTCTGGATGTGAATGCATATGGTCCATTGGTTAAAGCACCAACTGGACAGACATCAGCGAGATTTCCTTGCAATTCACTAGTGATCATTTTGTCTATGTATGTACCAATTTCAGTATTCCTTCCTCTTCCACTAGTTCCTAATTCAGTTACACCAGCATATTCATCAGAAAACCTGATGCATCTTGTGCAATGAATGCATCTATTCATACTAGTAGCTACAAGAGGACCAAAATTCTTATCTTCTACAGCTCTCTTATACTCGTTATGTCTGCTATCTCCATATCTAGATATTTAATATTAAGATAGATACCCGTATTGCTCAGAGATATCTTATAGGTCACATTCTCCTCCTTGATCACAGATGGGACAATCTAAAGGGTGATTTGCCAACATGAATTCCATAACACCTCCTCTTGCTATTCGTGTCTTTTCACTTTTTGTGAGGATTCTCATTCCAGGTGCTACTTATGCTGCACATGCTGCAACCTTTTATAATATTCATTTAATTTATACAGGTTTAGGTGATTTCTCAACCTCTACCAAACACATTCTGCAATTTCCTGCTACAGCCAATCTTTCATGATAACAAAATCTTGGAATAATTACCCCTGCTGAATAACATGCTTAAAATATTGTTGCCGATGGATCAACCTATTAAGCTAAAACTTTATGTAAATACTTTGTGAGGAACATCATCAATGAATATTTCTATGAGATTCTATTGTGTTGAGAAGGCTGCTAATTGTTTTCTTAACATTTATTATCCTTTCTACAATGAGAATCTAATCATTGTGTTTTTATATATCAAATAATATAATGTAAAAAATTAATTGTAAATTCTTGCTCATTTGAAATATTTAATCAAGATTGAAATTTAAATTAAAAAATATATTAAATGGCTTAAGAGAAGGAAATTGAAATAAAGGAAGAGAAAGAATAAACATAAGAACATCATCATGATCACAATCATGAACATGATCACGACCATGACCATTCAGATGATGGTCACGACCATGATCATCAAGGAGATGACAAAGACAAGAAGGCTAATAGAGGAGAGAAGAAATTCAAAAAAGCCATGCTCAAATTAGGAATGAAGCCTGTGACTGGAATCACCAGAGTTACAATTAAAAGAGGAAAACAATTCCTACTTTATATTGATAACCCAGAAGTCTTAAAGTCAGCAAATGTTGACAACTCATTCATTGTTTTTGGAGAAGCTAAAGTAAATGATCCATCAAGTCAAATTGGCAAGAAAGAGGCTGATAATTTAGCATCATAAGTGTAATAATTTAATTTATAACATTTAGTACCAAATAAGTTGAGGAAAAGCAAGAATAATAATAGGCTCAAAATACAGAATAAGTCAGCGATGAAGGTATTCCACCTGAGTCAATTAAAATGGTTATGGAGCATTGTAAATGTGATAGAAGTAAAGCAGTGGAAGCACTTAGAAAATCTGATAATGACACTGTCTAAGCCATTCTCACCTTAACTGGATGATGATTTATTATGTTTGAGTAGATATATATCGTATAGAAATCAATAATAATAGAATTCAGAAATTTTTTTAAATTATAAGCATTTCAGAACAACAAGGTTATTAAAAAAAAATACAAAAATACATTTCAATAATTATATTTATATTTTATTATTATGGCTGCGGTATCTCAAAAGATCTTCAATAATTAATTTGTGATACAAAAGAAGATCTCCTCAGGTTCATTCGGCGTTGTGTATCAGGGATATGACTTAAGATCGTCAGAGCATGTGGCTATCAAAGTAGAGAAGCAAGAAATAGATGATTTATTTAGTTTAGACAGAGAAGTAGAGTGAAAAATATTCTAAATTTAGATTCAAATACTGAGAAATCTACAGGGATTGCCGTAAGTTCCGAAACTGAAATGGGCTGGCAAAGATCAAGGGAACAATGTGATGGTAATTCAATTATTGGGAAGAGATTTAACTCACTATTTAAGATAAAGGAAACGTTTTAGTTTGGCATGCGTTTTGGGTATAGCTGATTAGATGTTGACCATTCTCGAAGCTATTCATAGCAAGTAAACTTTTAATTCAAGAAAGGGGTATCATTCATCGAGACATTAAGCCAGAAAATATACTGGCAGGTAAGGATAGAGAACAGAATACTATTTATCTTGTGGATTACGGAATCGCTAAGCAATTTAAAGACAAAGATGACAAACATATGTAAATCAACTTATTAAAATAAAAGTCCTTACATAGAAAATAAACCTTTTCTGGGAACATCCAGATACGCAAGCATAGCAGCTCACAAAGGCTAGGAATTATCAAGGAAGGATGATCTGGAATCATTAGGATATATGCTAATGTAATTGACATTGTAATATAGAGATTTTTATTGAAGGGAAGTTTACCCTGGTAGAACATAGGTTATAAAAATGAGGATGAGAAGGTAAAGTTGGTAGGATTGATGAAAATGAGAATTACAGCATAAGAATTATGTTAAGATTTGCCAATTGAATTTATGCGATTCATAGATTTAGTTAAAAAAATGAGTTATCGCGAAAAACCTGATTATAGGTAATCTTAAATTGAATATTAATTTAGATATTTTTAATAGTTGTTTTAAAGAGTCTCTATTTAATAACAGGTAGAGTATCGATTTGATTGGTATGATGAAAGCAATTTCGAGAAAAAGTCAGGGTCAACATCTCCTAAGAAATAGCAATCTATTAAAATTTTAGATTAATCATATTTGATTCAATAAATCTATTCGCCAAATAAAAAGAAGGCCAGTGAAGAATTCGATGACACTGGACCTTCTAAAAGAGAATCAAATGGAAGACCATCAATAATTAATAATAATTCTAATAATCTACTTATGTGTGATAGTAGAATGAATCTGAAAAATAAAAGTGTTAGTTCATTCAATGAATCCAATTTGTAGTATAGTGACATATAACCTGATTTGAGTTGTCTCATAGCTTATTAAAGGAATCTAAGATATGGATCATTTCATAATGAAGCTGAACCTCAAAAACAACCTGATCGAAGCTCTTCGACTTAGGATAAACTAAAAGTTAAACACAAGTTAAGTTTGGATGTCAAACCGAATTGCTATAAATCTCTTGTTGAATTCTAATTAGGATTAATCAACAATCCTTCGATTCTGGATTTTACAGTAAATAGTCAGAATTAATTGAATGAAGACGAAAGTCCATGTCTTGATGATAAATTTAACGTACTAAAAGTCAGCTCAGTTGACAAGTAATATCATTTTTCATAATCTTAGTAAATTCAAAAACCCAATCCAACTCTTTAGATTAAATTTGAAAGAAAGATCGAGTATTAAAAATAATTGAATAAACTTTATATTTATATATTATGAATCAACCCTCATAGTATGGTTATGCATAACCACCCAAAGTGCTTCTCTTCCATGATCTATTGTAATGAGCAACAGCATCTAACAAGTGAGTTGGTCCCCATACTACAACAGAAATATCCTATTAAATATTTAAACAGTATGATTACTTTATCCCAGAAGTGTCTTGTAGCAACTCTAGTCAAATGGCCAGCATCAAGAGCAGAGATTCTTCTAGCAAATTCACTTCTTGGCACTCTTCTTCCCCAATAGCTAAATCTTACTGGAATATTGATACAAAACTTATTAAGCAATTTCTCTTGATTATTTGGCTGAACTTTCTTAACTCAATAATTCATTAAACACTTTAGCTCTAGCTCTGAAAACTTCAACTTATCCTACGGACGAAGCATAATCAGATAAAACCATTTGACTGACGTATGCCATTTATGTTGCAAAGACTTCATTACCAATCAAGTAATTTCCAAAAAGACCTGTGTCTGAATATGCATAATAAACGCATCTTTAGTATGTAACATCTGGTAATCCACCGAGAAGTGAATGCATAGTGTTATATTATCTACTTGGAGCATTCAAATGGAAGCCTGTGTGTTTGTCAGCTCTATAATCACCAATAAGTCTTTAGAAATAATGGAGAGCAAAAACATCGGGGTGGTTCCATCCTGGAGCATCAAAGAATACACCCACATTTAAGTTAGTTAATTCATCGTCTTTCATTAACTAAATCATTAATCAAATGTGAATACCATAATAGATGGAGTAGCATGTGGTTTTTCTGAATTAGGTACTTCAGTTGGAGCAGATGTTCCTAATCCTTTGAATGACTTATTGACTGCAGAAACCAAATCTTCATGGTTAACATTACCAGCAGCTGAGACAACAACATTGGGTGCAACAAAATTGGCTTTGTGGAATTATCTTATTTGTTCTTCTGTAACATTTGGAATATTATCTCTAATTCCTGCTGTAGGTTAACCAAGATAATGATCTCTGTAATTTGTATAATGAGCAGCCTCAGCAACTACTCTGTATTAATCGTTGATGCTAACTGATTCTCTATAAATTCCTTCTCTTTCAGCTTCAATTTGAGCTGGAGAATATAAAGAATTTGTCAAAATGTCTCCTAAAAAAGAAACTGCTCTCTCAAGTTCTGATGGCAAGAACGTAAGAGTGTAAGTCTATAATTCTCTGCCTTATTTAACTTTTAATGATCCTCCCAAGTAATCGATTTCTGCTTCAACTTATTCTCTTGATTTTGTTGTTGTGCCCTAGCATATAAATTTATTCCTACTCTTAAATTTAACTTTGAAATGAAGTTTGACACTCCAGAACTTTCTAAGGTTTCAAATCTTGATCCTGCTTTTACAGCTACTGTAATTGAAGCTAATGGCGAATTGTATAATTCAGACACTACTCTGAGACCATTATCTAATTGAGTCAAGGCTTAAGCTTAAAAAAAAATGTACTTGAATGTCTATCGTATTTCAAAGCCTCAGGAATTTCCCCTGTTGGCAATTCTCCAAAGTCCACTAATGCTGATTTAGAAAATTGCAATTGGAAATTTCTCTCTACTTTAGTCTATTGAGCTTAAGTTGTTGGGGCCTTCTTTCCTGATACGCTTTCAGCTGTACAAAACTAAGCCAATTTGCGCAGAGAAGTCAATCTTTTTCTTAAGAGCATATCTCAATTAATTTATTTATATTTGAAATAGGATTAAACTTAAGACATCAATATTCTTTAATATTATAATTACTTATAATGCTACCTTACAAAAGAATTAAATTCCTACATTTGATTGATTTATGAGATTCTTATTCTATTAAAGAGAAGCTTTATATAAATGTTGCCATAATATTAACATAAAAAATTCACACTGTTTTATTATTTTTGTTTCAAATATTGATGAATGCTCGTTGATCTAAAAATAAACATATTAAATACCTTTAATTAATGCACTATATTAGGCTACTAACAGTATTATTAGATTAGGAATATCCAAATATTCAGCTGATGAAAGTAATTCCAAGACCTTCTTCTCATTTGTCATCTCTTTAAATAACTCTTTAAATTGCTCTGAGTTTTTTAGACTAAAAGATTACTTTTATAATTACTCTTCCAAATCATTTACGATTTTTCCTTCCTGGCCTTTAAAAATTTCATTCATTTAAGCTAGAAAATGACAAAGATTATCAAATTCTTCTTCTGTCATATCCAATTCTATGGATTCTCCTTTTGTGTTTATCTCATGAATCATTTTAAGGAATCGGGAATTGTCGAAGGCAAGACTCTTTACAATATCTTTAATTTCGGATTTATTCCTAAATTTCACTTAAAATGAAATTAATTTCGTCTCTTCAATCCCTTTATTATCGATATTATTGAATGATTTCTAATTTTATTACATAATTTTTTAGCATAAATATACGATTTATATTTTAATTTCTCAATTTTAATAGAGATATAGTTAACAGTGCTGTAAATTAATATAGTTTCAGTCTATAAGTAGTATAATATTAAAAAATATATGCTTTTTAAAATAACTTAAAGTCTTTTTTTTGTTCAATAATAATATTTATAAACAAGAATTTAAATTATTAAATAAAATGCTCAGCCAAAAATATTGATGGTTATATTTATAAGAAACATTATTTACACTTTGGTAGTAAGCAATTGAGTATATCTTTGACTAGAAATATTAATTCAAATATAAAATATTAAAAAGTCTATAAGTAATAGCCTTAAATAATATCAAAGTTTTGTAATCGAAATTTATAAACTCAATTAACAATTAATACTACATGTAATATCCTTTAATTTTAATATAAAATATTGCTGTTAAGAAAACCTAGAGTGGACTATATAAAATTAAAATTGGCAGACGAAATTAAGAATTTTATTAAGATTTTTCACACGACAATTAAGTATGAGGTATTAATTTAAAAATTGGTGAGTGATCAAATAAAAATCAAACTAATTGGAGTTATTATCTATTGTTCTATTCAATATTAAAGTTTTAGACACTCACTACAAGAACATTAATCTTGAATGTTTAAGTATATTTGATGAGGAGAATAAAAGTCAACAAACGAGGATCTAAAGTATTTTTTTTGGAATTCATTTTTTTTTATACCACTATCTATATCTTTAAGGTTATTGTTATAATTAACAAATTAATGCGGTATTCTAGGTTTAGTTTTCTAATGCATTTCATCAATTTCCTATTTTTTGTATGAGTTTTTGAATTTACTGTTAGATTTTTCTGTAATACTTTTAAAACCACTTTCATGCAGAAATAAAGGAGGAATATACGCACTTTTTAAATTAATAATAGCCTTTTTGTCAGCTAAACTTGTGAAATCAGATATTTTTCTTCGATATTACTTTGGACTTCCATTATTTGATTGATTAAGCCTATTCATAGGACTGTCAAATCCACTTAAATATAATTATTAATAATACTATAATGAATTGAATCTAAAAGATGATTCCCTATTTATTATTTCACTATTTTCAGGGATGAATATAGAATGCTTTTATTAACTCACAGGATGTTCATCAATATCTTAAAACATATCATCATGAATTTACAAAATAACTTCATTTAAAAAATCGAAAGGCAGTTCCCCATACTCTTCATTTTAGAGAACTATTAATTAATTAATATTTTCACAAGAATGGCTTTTTAGACCAACTTTTCTTTTATTTTGTTTTCGATCAGCCATAATTCTAAAAATGCTTTTTTATTTGTTTGTTTTAATAGGTACAGTTTAATTTAATGGGCTTTCATTTTTTTCTTAATCAGAATCTTGGATTAGATTTTTGAAAATATTAGTTATTTAAATCTTCTTNAGTAGTATAATATTAAAAAATATATGCTTTTTAAAATAACTTAAAGTCTTTTTTTTGTTCAATAATAATATTTATAAACAAGAATTTAAATTATTAAATAAAATGCTCAGCCAAAAATATTGATGGTTATATTTATAAGAAACATTATTTACACTTTGGTAGTAAGCAATTGAGTATATCTTTGACTAGAAATATTAATTCAAATATAAAATATTAAAAAGTCTATAAGTAATAGCCTTAAATAATATCAAAGTTTTGTAATCGAAATTTATAAACTCAATTAACAATTAATACTACATGTAATATCCTTTAATTTTAATATAAAATATTGCTGTTAAGAAAACCTAGAGTGGACTATATAAAATTAAAATTGGCAGACGAAATTAAGAATTTTATTAAGATTTTTCACACGACAATTAAGTATGAGGTATTAATTTAAAAATTGGTGAGTGATCAAATAAAAATCAAACTAATTGGAGTTATTATCTATTGTTCTATTCAATATTAAAGTTTTAGACACTCACTACAAGAACATTAATCTTGAATGTTTAAGTATATTTGATGAGGAGAATAAAAGTCAACAAACGAGGATCTAAAGTATTTTTTTTGGAATTCATTTTTTTTTATACCACTATCTATATCTTTAAGGTTATTGTTATAATTAACAAATTAATGCGGTATTCTAGGTTTAGTTTTCTAATGCATTTCATCAATTTCCTATTTTTTGTATGAGTTTTTGAATTTACTGTTAGATTTTTCTGTAATACTTTTAAAACCACTTTCATGCAGAAATAAAGGAGGAATATACGCACTTTTTAAATTAATAATAGCCTTTTTGTCAGCTAAACTTGTGAAATCAGATATTTTTCTTCGATATTACTTTGGACTTCCATTATTTGATTGATTAAGCCTATTCATAGGACTGTCAAATCCACTTAAATATAATTATTAATAATACTATAATGAATTGAATCTAAAAGATGATTCCCTATTTATTATTTCACTATTTTCAGGGATGAATATAGAATGCTTTTATTAACTCACAGGATGTTCATCAATATCTTAAAACATATCATCATGAATTTACAAAATAACTTCATTTAAAAAATCGAAAGGCAGTTCCCCATACTCTTCATTTTAGAGAACTATTAATTAATTAATATTTTCACAAGAATGGCTTTTTAGACCAACTTTTCTTTTATTTTGTTTTCGATCAGCCATAATTCTAAAAATGCTTTTTTATTTGTTTGTTTTAATAGGTACAGTTTAATTTAATGGGCTTTCATTTTTTTCTTAATCAGAATCTTGGATTAGATTTTTGAAAATATTAGTTATTTAAATCTTCTTTTTGGCTCTCATCAATTTATCATAGAGATTAGCCTTAACTAATAAAACATTCTATTTATTTAGTAATGGCGAATTTAAATTATCAAGAAGTTAATCTGCATCATCATTTACTGACAGAAATAATCTTTTCAAATCTTGTGTAAGTTCCTTTGCCATCTTATTGCTTTTATTTAATAAATCCTAGATCTCTTTATTTCTTTATTCAATAATTTGTAATCTTTGATTAAAGAAACTGAATTCTTTATTTTTTATTGAGTCTCTCCTTCCAGATCTCATCCCCTTTTTAAGTAAGCTAATCTATTCAGCTTCTTTTTTGCTCCCATAAAGTTCTTAAAATTCTATATTGAGAATAGCCACAGGCAGTGAGAAGATAACTGTATTTGCCATTAATGCCATAATGCAAGTTACTATTATACCAATAATAGATTTTGGAACATAATCTCCATATCCAACAGTTGTCATAGTGACAATCCCTAACCAAACTGCATTTTGTATTTCTAAATCATTTTCTGTATGCTCCGAATAATATAATACAATGGCATAAGCAAGAGTTATTTATAAGAAGGCTATGATTAAGAAGTAAAACTGAGAAATGCAATCTGCTACACTTTTATACAGAATTTCTACTCCTTTTAAGTATCTCTTTATTTTTAATATTCTTATCACTTTAAACAATTTCAAAATTCTAAATCCATTTAATGCAGTTTTACCATACACCAATGAAATTATACTAAGCGGAGCTATTGATAACAGGTCTATAATTAATTATTTATCTACCTATAATATTCATATGCTAAAATAAAAATGTCTTTAGGGGATACCCATAGACAGTATAAGTTGACAATCGAAGTACATATTCAATAGCAAAAACAACAAAAATAAGGATTTCACAATTATTGCTTAAATCATTATAGGTTTAATTACTAGTTCAGATTAATGCATATACTTGTCAAATAGCGAATCACAAAGTATTTAAACTTAAGATAGCAATATAGTAAAACAAACAATAAATTATATTAACCCTGCTAATCTACTTGATGAAGGATCTTCTAATAGGATAAATAATATTTTTCTAAATTAGTTCAACTATTCTTTGAAATCGTTATTCTTAACCTAGATTTCTTTTTGTGGTACATGCATAATATAAATTTAATCTAATAATATAAAAATTAATTGAAAATTTATCTTCACTAATTTTAATCCAAAGAGGGTTTTTTCAAAAGAATACTCATAAGTAGAGAATGCAACTAATTACTAAATTATTTTTTATTTATACTTACAGATAAAATCTGATGCAATTTCCAAAATCAATGAAACAGCATAGAATTAAAACTAATTTAAATAAAGTAAGAAGCTCTTGTGTTTATGATAATTTATAAATATAAAACTCATTTTTTTAAGTTAAGTAATTAAGAAATTTAATTTATTCTGAGCCTAAGATAATAACTAATATAATGTATTTTAATAAAACAAGACCTTAATTAATGTATCAAATACTTTATAATAATCAAAAGAATGATATTATAAATTTTTTATGATTTAAATATCACCAACAAAAAGAAATAAAAATTATTCAAAACAGATGAAAACATATTTTTAGATTAGACAGTCATCTCTTAAAAACCTCAGAGATTTTATGGATTGGTTATTCATGAACTCTTAATAATATTATATATAACAATTATCTACAATCTTTCGATTTAGTGTATTGATTTTTGTATTAGAAAAGCTTAGAAACCAATCCTTGAAAGAAAATGGAAATTGTTCCATAGATTGGTAGGATCATAAAAAAATAAGAATATGAAATGCAAAAAGTGGATTTTGTATAATTAATATAATTATTAAAGTTAATGATGACCTCGACATAATCATAATTTAATTTCATAAGGAAACAGATTCCAAAAGCTCCTAATTCTCGATAATTCAGTAGAGAAAAGAGTTAACCAATATTGAATCCTATAACCCCAACTGTATGAATGATGTTTATACATAAAAGGCGAAGTTTCGCATTCATCATAATAATCAGTTTTTAAATAGAGAGAAGATGCAAAAAACTAGCAACAACTTTTTTAATAACACGGCTGAAAGTACAAAAATAACAAAAGCTTAGAATTAATCACTTCTTCGAAAACCAGAAGCTGATTATAAATAATTGATATTTGATAAAGAGGATTTAGAAGAAGAACAGCAATTCTAAGTACTTTGCTAAACTTTGGATAAAATTTTGTGATTTTTTAGCAAAATAAAACTGTTTTTTAATTTAAACTCAAGCCATTCATTTTTTTTCATTTGTTTTATTTAATAAATTTATTTCAAAATATTTTTATAATGTACAGAAATTATGATCCAACTGCCTCGCCAGCACTTTCACACTAATCGCAGGATGATTACGAATAAAAAATCAAATAACTGCTGAGAGCTAATGATAAACTTGTATGTATTGAACTCATTATTAGAATGCTGTTGTTAGAGAAGCACTCGCTGAGAATGAATAGCTAAAGGGAAACATAGATGTGCTCTACAAAGAAAATAAGGATCTTAACTAAGTCAACATTGAACTATGTGATTAACTTGAAAAAATAAAAAGAAATACAAGATAACATTCGATGCATGATAAGACTATAAACGATTATGAATAGGAAATCACATAGCTCAAATTATTGTTACAAGAAAAATAAAAAGAGGTTAACTCTTTTAAAATAAGATATAATGAAGACTTACAAATAAAATTAGATATTGTGGATAAAGGAATTAATGTAAGATATATATTAAATATATATTAGTCTAATAAATTGAAATAATTAGAGGAGTAAAACTAATAATTGATATAGGAATTAGATTTGATAACCAAAAGACTATTAGAGAGAGATAATGCTTAAGGGAATGTTGATTATGAAGAATTATTGAGAGAAAGAGATTAAGAAATAGAAATTCTAACTTAATAAATCATCCAAATTTCTAATAATAAATAAGTCAAACAATTTGATCCAAGTAGCGACAAGAAATAAATAACTGAGACTGAGGAATATTATGGCTAAATAATAAAAGAATTATAAGAGAAAATCGAATAATTAAGAATAATAATTATAGAGAAAGATGATTAATTGAATTAAGGTTAAAATCAAAATGTGCTAATTGAGATGGAAACATTATAAGTTTAATTGGTATAATACAAAATAGAAATAGAAGGATATAAAACTAGGATGTAATATATTCAAAACGAATTATCAGAGAAGGATCATTTGATTGAAGACTTATAGAATATTATTAAAGATTTAACCAAAAAACTTTAAAATAAATAAACAAATGATAATTAGAATCCTAATTAACGAAATCCAGGAGAAGCAACAAAAAATGCTGCTGATGTCTTCTAAGAAGATGAAGATAATTAAGACAATTCTGATTAGAAAGAACAAAATGAGAAAAAGAAAAAGAAACACAGCTTGGAAGGAGCAAAAAAAAAAGATGATGAAGACTCAACTAAAGAACTTTAGAAAATTATTGCCAATTTGAAAGCAGAAAATTAAAAACTGTAATAAGAATTGAATTAAGCAATGTTCAAAATAAACCAATAAGAAGCTCTATTAAATGAATAAGACAAGCAATTGAGTTTACTGGAGTTAAGAGAAAAAGAAATTAGGCAATTAAAGGATCAGTTAAACAAATAATATAAACTAGAATAAGAGAATAAATAATTAGAAAAGAAAGTTGGAGAGTTAGAATTAAAAGTTTAAGATTTAATGCATGAAGTTGAAAACCACGACTCTGATAACAAACTGAATTAGAAAAGTTAATAAAAGAAAGAGGCTGAATACTAAAAGGCACTCTAAAAATAAAAGGATGAACTATTAGCTAATTAAAAGAAGATAGATTAAATCAATAAGCAAATGCAAGATGAAATTAACTTTTTCGAAGATTAAATGAAAGATCTACAAGAATCTCTTAAAGTAAAAGATCAAGAAGTTAAGAAACTCTAAGAATAAATTAAGGAGCTAACTAAAGCCTTAGAGAAGAGCAATGCTCAAAGTGATCAAATTGAAAAGTTGCATTAAGAAGCTAATTCTTAAGCATAACAATTAGAGGAGCTTGAATAAAAGGTCTAATCACAAGAGTATGACATCAAGACTAAAGAGCAGGAAATCAAGAGACTTAAAGAAAAGAATAGGGATTTGCAATTATACTAATTAAAACTAAAAGATTATGAAGAGAATATTAATAAATTAAAAGAAGAAATCGATAAACTTAATTAGATTGACAAGCAATAATAGGAAGACATTTACAAACTAGAGTAGAGTAATAAAACTAAGGAGTATTAGTTAACCAAATACTAAGAATAAACCAGAGAAATGACTAATAAAGTAAAGGAGATAAATGAAGAAAAAACTGTTGAAATGAGAAAATACTTGATACAGAATGAAGAGTTATAGGAACAAATTAGAATTCTTGAAATTGAAGTTAAAAAGCTATAAAGCAATATTTAAGGTAATTAAAGAACTCCAGAAAGAACAACAAAGTTATAATAGGAATTGGATGAGTAATATGACAAATTAAATTAATAAATAGGAGAAAATGGAGATCTTAAAATTTAGATATAACATCTTTAGACATAAATCAAATTAAAAGATTAAGATGTTAAGAAGTTATAAGAAAAACTATAAGAAGTTTAATAAGATTAAAACAAAGCAAATGATTTAATTAAGGAAATTCAAGAACTAAATCAATAGATAAGTAAACTTGAATAAAGTAATAAGTAACTCTAAGATTAAATTAACAAATTAGAAAATCTTATTAAGTAAAAAGATTAATAATTGAAAAACCATGAACACGAAAAAGAATCTTGGAAGGATAACCTGACCAATTTGGAAAACAAAATTGAAGAACTTGAAACATAATAAATAAGAGAATTATAACAGTAAGATAAATTAAATAAAGAAATTATAAAAAAATTAGAAAATCAATTAAAATAAAAGGAACACGAATTAAAAAAATTGTAAGATGAGAATAGATTATAGTAAGAGAAGATTTTGAGTTTGGAATCAATGGTCGAATAAATTAATGATTAATACCATACTTCTTAGCAGTAATTAAATGAAATTCAATTGAAATTTTAATTAACAATCAGAGAAAAGGAATTTGAAATTACTAAATTGAAATAGCAATTAGGCAGTCAGAAATCTCCTGAAATATAAGCAGAAATCGATTAATTACATCAGTAAATAATTGAGAAGGAGACAGAAATAATAAAAGTGAGAGAAGATACATCAGAATTGTAATAAAAAATAAGGAATTATGAATTGGATTTCAAAAAATTATAGGAAACCATTAAAGATTATTAAAAAAAGTAAGAAAGAATCTCTCAATTAGAAATCTTAAATAGTGAACTCAAAATAAAAGATGAAACTAATTAAGTTAAAATTGATGATCAAAATTCGACTATAAATAATTTAGATGCTATTATTTAATCAAAAGATTAAACTATTAAGAAATTGCAAGAATAACAGAGAGAACTTACAAAAAAGGGTGATTAATTGATCAATATATAAAAGAAATTGATAGAAACTGAGTAGTAGTTATAGGAACATATAGAGAACGATCATATAAATTAAGAAAGAATTAAATCTTTAGAGTAGTAAATTTCATTAAAGGATTAAGAATTGAAAAAATTAAAAGATCAAATTAAGGAAATTTAGAAAGAAAATGAAAAGCTTTAATCAAAATAAACAGAGATAGAATAATTATAATAAAAGTTAATAGAAAAATAAAATAAAATTGAAGACTTAGAAAATTAGATTGAAGAATTATTAAAAGAAATAAAAAAGAAATCCCAAGAAAATTAACTTTTAGAAGAAAAGGCTTCTTAATTGAAAAAGTTAGAAGAAAAATATAAAAAATAATCTAATTTGGTTGAAGAGCTTAAGCAAAGTAAGGAATAACTTGAAAATAAAGTGAAATCATTGGAAGAGCAAATTCAAATATATGATGATGAAAAATCAAGTTTAGAAAGAGAGGTTGAATTGTTGAGAAAAAAATTAGAGGAAGAAAAGAAATAGTTTGAAAATAAATTAAATTAATAAGCAAAACAAAAGGATGAAATCATTGCAAAATTAAAGGAGAAAATTGCAGAGCTAGAAAAATTGGAGGCTCAACATTTTGAATTTACTTAAGAGGTTGAAGATTTAAAAGAGGAGTAAAAGTCTAGAAAGAACATAGAATCAAAGCTTTAAACAGAAAATAATGTTTATCAAAAGTAGATTAAATAATTAGAATAACAGATCAAATAATTATAAGATAAATTGAAAGAAGAGGAGGAAGCTAATAAATAATTGTAAAATGATATGGATTAAACAATGTTAAATATCAAAGTTAAAGATGATATTATATATAAGTTATAAGAATAAATTAAGAAATTAGAAACTTCTGTTAAAGAAAAAAAGGAGGAAATTAAAAAGTTTAAATAAGATATTTCAGAAAGAACTAGTCAGATTTCATAAATAGATTTGATTGATCGAGAAAAAGAGGAATTAAATGATTAAATTAGATTAAAAGAAAAAGCAGAAGAATCATTAAAACAAACCATCACAACGCTTTAACAATAAATCACAAAATTAACAAAATAAGTTTAATAATTGACTTAAGATAAAATAGAGCTTTAATCATAAATAGATGTATTAATTGATGTAGAGAATTAAATAAAACTTAAGGAGATTGAAATATAGAGATTAATGTAAATAGAGAATGATTACAATAGATAGAAAGAAAAAATTAAAACTTTGGACAAGACTATTGCGGATCAGATTCAAAAAATTAAAATTTACTAAGAGTATGAAAAATAAACTATTGAGTAAATTAAAAGCTATGAGCAAGATTTAGATGAAAAAGAACAAACCATCCAAAATTTAGAATAAGAAATTTCAAAGTTAAAGCAATAAATTGAGGATTATTAAAAACAAATTGCTAAGATTTCTAAGGAAAAAGAAACTGTAAATCAAAAGGTTAAATCAACAGAAGTAAATTAATAGAAGAAATTGGATTAATTAGAGGATGAAAAACAAGAATTACTAAATGATTTGCAATCATAAAATTCTTTAATTGAAAATTTATAGAATCAACTTAAAGATCTTTAAGAAAACTATGATAAATTGAAGAAAGTAGAGAAAGAAAAAGAAGATATTAAGAAAACAAATGATAACATTGAAAAGAAATATAAAGATTAAATTAAGGAGTTAGAAAAAGAAATTTAAAGGCTGAAAGATGAAATGATTAGACAAGAGCATAACACTTCAAAGGAAATAGAATAACAGATTGATAAAGCCTAGAAATTAAAACAATAAAACAGTTAATTAGAATAAACCATTAAAAATTTGTAAAATAATGAAAAGAAGCTAAAATAATTAGAGGAACAATGTAATTAAATAAGTGAGAGATCTCAAGAAAAGTTGAATAAAAAAGATTAAATAATAGATGATTTACAAAAGCAAATAAAAGATTTGAATGAATAAATTAATAAATTGAAAAAAATTCTAGGCACTAATTCTTAAGATGAGGAAGATGTCATTGAGGATTTTGCAGAAGATGTTGATGTAGATGATAATAATAAAACTAAAAAGAAATATGAGAAGGAATCAAAGAATGATAAAAATGATTAGAAAAACGAATAGAAGACTGAATAGAAAACCTATCGCTAATTGGAAAAAGAGATTGAAAAATTGACATAAGAAAATTAAAATAAAACATAGAAAATAAAAGAATTAGAAGAATAGCTTAAGAAAAGTTAAGAATAAAATTAAAAGGATACTTTAGAAAAATAATAAAAGAGTTAAAAAGAAAACGATTAAAATTAGACAATAAAGAAATAAGAAACAGACATTAAGAAAAAGGATGAACAAATAAAGAAGTTATAAGAGGATATTTAAAAAACAGAAAAAAATAATAAAGAGAAGGAATATTTAGATTAAATAAAAGTACTTAAATAAGACATAGATAAAAAGTCTGAACAAATTTCTAAGTTATAAGAATAGATTCAAAAATTACAAAAGGATGTTAATTCATAGAAATAAAAAGATGAAAAATATAATAAAACTGAATAAGAACTAAAGAAGAAGGATGAAGAAATATAAAAATTGAAAGAAAAAATAGAAAAAGATTAAAAGGAAAATAATGAAAAAAAATAGAATGAAAAGAACCAAAATGATATAATTAAGAAACATCAAGAGGAAATCAAAAAAAAGGATGAAGAAAATTAAAAATTAAAAGAGTAATCTAATGATAACAATAAATTAAAAGAGTAGATAACTAAATTAGAAAAAGAGAAATCTTAAACAGATGATAAGATAAAAAAATAAGAAGATAAAATAAAAGAACTTCAAAAATAAATTGATGATTAAAAACAAAAGACTCCAACAAAAAATAGAGAAGATCCACAAGGAAATGATAAATAAGGACCATCAGATAAAAAACCAGGTTAATCAAATGATGCAAAGCTTAAAGATTAAATCAGTAAATTAGAGAAACAAATTGATGAACTAAAGATTCATATTATTTATTTGGAAAGTCTATTAAAGCAACATGGTTATGATCCAAATAAACTAAAACCAGGAAAGACAGATCCTGACTCAAAAAATTAGACACCAAAAAAAGATGATAATAACAATGATTATCCTGATTTGTAGCAAGTCAATGTTGTCAATGTAATATTTTAATATATTTTATTTAGATTAGAAGATTGATGGCAGAATATAAGTATGAGAAGGATCGTTATGAGAACAAAGTAGTTCAATACACTGATGAATTAATTAAGCAAAATAATTTGGAAAAGGATGCTGAAGAAAAAATTAAATGCCTTGAGGATGATCAATTTGTTTATAATGACCCTGACAACCAAGAACCAAAAGTATATGTAATAAAAAATGAAGGAGGGTCGAATAAAAAAGCTAAATGAATTCCAATATTTAATAGTATATGTTTTATTGAGAACTTTTTCATAAAATAAATATTATAAAACTAATAAAATTATTTTAGCAACTGAGAAATGTTATAACTAGGAGGAGATGAATAAATTAGTATGATATAGGACGAAATCACAATTCTAGAATTCCAAACTCTAGATGGTCCTAATTATTGTATCAAAGTAATAGAATATTTTAATAAGATTAATGAAAACACAAAAAAGTAATTCGGCTAGGTGAAATACTTAAATAATGAAGAGCGTTTTGTGAAGGTCGATTAGGCTTAAAAATTTAAAACAACAGTTTATGACAACCTTTAAAAGTATATAGAAGCACATTAGTCAGATTAAGATAGTTAAATTCAATAATAATTACCATAACTTTCAAATAAATTATAAGGTATTATTGTTTACGTAAGTTAGATATTATTGAAGAAAGAGATTATCAATTATTTAAATCACTTAAAAGATAAGAACTATTCGACTTAGCATGTTTGGCTGAATTTTTAGTATATGAAAATCTAGCCGAGCTAATAATGAGAATAATACTTTTCCATTTAGCGGGTATATTTACATACTTATCAAAGAGAAGACTAAAAAAGAGATAGATAAATGGATAAAGGAAGAGTGAATATAGATATAAATATAATTTAAAATCATAAACAAGCAAATCAGTACAAATCGTAGGGATGACAATCTTAAAATATATCCCTGGCAACTCGAATCTAACAACTTTAATAGTGTTTTATATAAAATTAATAAATGAATAATTTATTCATTAATTTCAAAACTTTTAAGCTTCATGACTCTATAAAAATTGAAACTATGGCCCCAGTAACATATAAGATTATTAAGATGATGGATACAATTCTTATAATAAATGTGCTTTTATCGGTTTGAATTTCTTTTTGGTCTAATTTAATGCAATTATGATATACTATCTTCAAATTATAAAAGCTCATTTTCATCGTTTTCATATTGATTGTTAATTTTGATACTTCTTTATCTTTCCTTGTTATCATTCATAATATAAATTAGCTATAAATATAATTAGTTATTTTAATTGATAATTGAATATAAATCAATCCAGACACATCCAAACTATTACACCTATGCAAAGAGTTGTGGTTAAAGTAATTAAGAAAAGCACTAGAAAATTGCTTGGTCTGTATCCAGAACTTTATGTTTAGTCAATTACTATTAATCTTCCTGCTCCATCAGGGTATTATTGTTATAAATACATTTAATTGGTCACATCTTAAGATAAGTATGGCTATTGTTGTTATTATTATTATTATTAATATTGAAATTGTTATTATTAGTAATTCTATTAATTATTATTTTGCATTGTTATAGGGTACTAATCTTACATTTACACATACATATAATTGTCTTATTAATTTTAATTCATAATAAATTAATTATATTAATAAATGATGATTTAATAATTTTAGAATTTTAATCTTATAATGATAAGTTTTAATACAAAACATTATTATATATTGTATAATCCGTATTTACGATTCATTTATTGTTGTCTATAATTTCAATTTCTCTAAATATTTTGAACTCACCTGATATATTTTATGTATGAGAAAACACAAGAAAGCCTATTAATTTAAGTTTTGAAATTAATTTTGTACATGATGAAGATATATCTATAACGTTCTTATAGTTTTTAAAATATGCATTGGAACTTGAAAAATAAATAAATTTTTGTTGATGATTTATATTAAAAATTGTTAAAGTATTAATTTCTAAATTGGGAGTAGGTATATAATTCAGGTGTTTCTCTATCATTGCTTAACTAATTGATCACTGAATTCATATAACGTCGAAATTAGAAATTGTGAAATGAGATAAAGGATTATTTTTTAGTCTTTCAATTCAATTCAAAAATTAAAGAATTATCTCTAAAGAGAACATATAAGAGGAGTTTATCTTCATCTGAAACCCAAAACTATTTTCAAAAATTAAAAAATTTCTGCATGAACTTGGATTTATTTTGATATAATTATAGTTTATTTTCATCGAAAGAGAATAAGCTTACTATCAAATCCAAGTCCTCCTTATATCTTTATCATTACATACTTAATAGATATAAGATGAAATTTTTTTCATGTCAAATCTTTGGTGATGATGTAGGCATTAAATAATATCAAAGCAAAGCCAAATATGATTTTTACAAAGACTTGCCTTATTATTCAATATTATAGTAGTAACTTAGAGGAGGAACATATTAGAGCATTAAGGAAATAAAGGTGTTCAATTGAAATTATTATATATAATTATTAAATGAATTAGCCTAAGAATACTAGATTCATAACTTTTACAATACCTTATGCTTAAAGTCAAGACCCATAGTTTCCTCCGTCAAATTTATTAGAAATATCATCGACTCCTCTAGGTTGGCAAAGTTGTAGGTTTTGCCAATATCCGTAAGAATTAATATTTCAATTCCAATCTGCCATAACTGTTTATAAAATGTAAATTCTATCTCACGAAAAGAAAATACCAACAAAGATAGAGGTTTTTATTGGAAGACTGTAAGGTAGAATGGATTTAGAAAATGCAAGTTTTAAAAAGATTGGCTATTTTACATTTCACTCCAACGAACAATCAAACTGGTAAGCCAGAGAGCTAAAAACAGTATCAATCGATGAATCTAATTGCAACTATCTAAAACTATTGGTGCATCGGAATCATGAAAATAAGTTTAATCCATTTAATCAAGTTGGTATTGTTGCAATCAGAATTTATGGAGAGAAGGCAGAACTTCCTCCGCCCAAAAAAGCAAATAAGGTGTAAGATAAGGTCTTGGATGAATTATACAATCCACAACAAGATAAATTGATTGATACTAAATTGCTGGCTCATATTATTGCACTTGAACATGTAAAGTATTTCTTAATATGAGAGTCCAAAGATTATGCAATCAAGTAGGAAAACTATTAGGAAGCTAAAAAACTCAAAAACAGAATTACTTAACTAAGGTCTTTGGGAGTCTAATTGAGAGATTTGGAAGAGAGAAAGAAGGAAGTGCTGTAAAATGAGGATTATGATCAGGCTGAAGCAATCAAAGAGTAAATTCATAAATTGAAAATTGAGAATGGACTTGTAGATGAACAAGGAAATGAGTATAAACCCAATATTGACAAGATCAGGCAATAAGAATTGGGTGAGTAGATGGACAATTAAGAAGATAGAAGAAATTCAAAGCCATCAATCAAATAAATAGATAATAATAAGATAATTGAGGATAGTTTTGATAGAATGCCTCAGGATGAATAAACATATTTGATGGAATAATTAAATAATAACAATAATAACATTACTCATATTACAAATAATCAAAATGAGAATGGAAATACAAGTTATTAATAACCTGTCTCTTTTGATTAATAACTTAAAAATGATAAACTGTTGAATTATGATGAAATGGTAATTCCAGCTCTAAAAAACAAATAAAATAATAATACTTAGATTTTGGAAGAGTATTCAGAAGTAGATAAAAGTAAATAGCAAATTGAAGAACTGAGTTCTGAAAATTAGAAATAAGTTGAAGCTATCAAACCCTATTATGGAATTGATTTCTGTAAGAACTACTTCTCTAAGAATTGGGCCCGTAGAGAGGAAGGCATTAGATGGCTAATTGAATAATTCAACAATCCCACTCAAATTAATATATCTAATATTGATGGAGCCTTTTAAGCTACCTTATTATTGATCTACAAAGGCATTCAAGATAAAGCAGACAAAGTAGTTTATGCAAGTCTATAACTAATGTAATAAACTCTACTGAAATTGAAACCAAACAAATTAAATGATGAAAGCCCTATAATATTGGATAACATTGTACTGGTAATTATTCTCATTAAATTAGATTCTCATGGAAAAAATGGGTGATATTAATGAGAGACACAAAGAAGAGTGCAAAAAGATTTTATTAACTCTAGCTGAAACCTAAATTATGGGTAGTGCTGGAGTAATCAACCATTTAGTAAAAGGAATCACAACAAAACCAAATCTATAATTATCATCAGTCAGACACATTTAAGCGAGATTAATGCTCATTTATAATTTAATCTAAAAATATAAGATTAATAATGAAAGGGTTCCATACAATCCTGTTATGGATGTTGCTATTAAATATTTAGATCACTCTGCTGAATAGGTTAGAACTTGTGCCATTTATATAATAACTGAGATTTATAAAAATTAAGGAGACAAGGTTAGAGAGAGTATAAAAGGATTTAGACCTGCACAATAACAAATCCTAGAAGAATTATTCTATAAAATAGATAATGGAGGTAATATCTAAACATCTTTTGAATAAGAAAAGAAGCCTTAACCAAAAAAGAAATAATAACAAAATAATCCTGATTAAGTTTTTTAGCAAATAACACAAGCTTGTGAATTTTGTGGTATTGAAAATAAGGAATTTATATAAAGTTAAAAACTTGATATGCATTTGTGGAAGGAATGTGTCATGCTTACAACTTGCTTATCTTGTGCTTAAGTTGTTGAAGTTTCACAATTAACTAATCATCATTTTGAAGAATGTGAATTTGCTAAAAATTATAGATAATGTGAAACGTAAGTTATTGTTAAATATGTTTTAGTTGCGGATGCGCAGTACTAGAAAGTCAATTAGCTGAACATTAGAATAAAAAGTTATGTAATTCATCACCTGGTGATACCTGTCCATTATGTTATAAAGCTATTGGATTAAACTGGAAAATTCATTTAGCAATTTGTGAACAGTAAGAGAGAAATAAACAATAGCCTGCTCCTTAAGAAAAAAAATGATTATTTTTAAATTTTTATGATATTAAAATACTTGTTCAATCTTTTTAACCAAAATATTATTTATTATTTGTTAGTTTAATTTTGATGATAATTAATAGCACACACTCTCAAGCGCTTATTTGATGATCTCATATTTATTTAATAAATAACGTTTTAAATAATAGAATAACAATTTATCTAATTTTTGGATTTTTAGTGAATTTATTAAACAAAGGTGCTAATACAATGTTAAATAAACCTTAAATTTAAAAGGTGTGATGTTTTGGTTCTTATAATTTTATTATTATCTTATGTTAAGTTGTTTTACATCCAATTTTTCATTATGAGATAAATCAGAAAATAAATGTTCTCAACAATTTAAATTAAAATTTATAACTTAGGTATTATGAGTGATAATGTATTATTACGCAGGTTTAGAATTTTGAATCTCATTTACAAATATTTTAAGGCAGAAATCTAAATTTATTTTCTTCATTATACTAAAAAGGAAAAGAAGATAATTTTATTTAAATCTTTTACTTAAAATATTTTCAAAAACGATAAAAATACTCTAGATATAAATTATACCTTAATAAATAGATGTAGTATAGATGAAGGATAATGTATATTTAATTCAAGCTAATTAATTTTAGTAATGGATTAATTTAACAATGACACTTAAATCACTTCCCCATCTTACTGACTTTTAACTTTTTTATGAGCTTCCTTATTTTGAGTTTAGTGATTTAAGTGATGATTTGATTGGTTGATTAGAATTGGAGAAATTTTCTATTTTTATTTTTTGAGAAGTAGTCCTGCTTCTGTTGTCTTCCTTGGGTGATTTCTCTGTAAAAAAACTGAGAGTTCTTCTGCTTACTTTGATTTAAGGGATAAATTGATTGGGCTCAATTAAATCTAGACTAATGAATGGAAGCTATGTGATTAATGGTTAAGACTGTAGTTTATAGATTGATTCATTCTGCTCTTGCTTGTAAGTCTCGTTAAAAATGGCTCTATTTTTTGTAGACATTATAGTTTAATGACCAATATATTCATCACAAACTTCAGTAGTTAAAGTGAGTTATTGAGCTTTACATAAATTTCCCATTTAAATAAATTAATTATAATCAAAGTAATTTTTTCAATTTGGCATATTATTCTATAAGGAGACTGAGCTCATTTCTATTGGGCAAATCATAGATTTTAGGCTCTTTCAAATTAAGTGCTGTTTCATGTATTTTCTAAATAAGAATAAAGAAGTACTCGCTTTTAATCTTTTTCTAAGTAGGTATGTGAAATGTATTCCATCCAAAGAACCCTTTGCTTTTTGTTATATTCATCGATCACTTAATTCATTATAGGTCTACAATTAAATGAGATTAACTTACACATCAATCACAACTTGCTGTTTTTCAAAAAAGAATTGGTTTTCTCTTTGCCTTTTTAAATCATAAATGATATCGGCGATATTTTCTTTGATTAATTTCCAAAATTTGTCTCTGAATAATCTCTTTTTTGTTTTGAGAAGACGAAACTTCCTTTAAATGAATATAACTAAATTAAATGATGAACTGTACCTTTATTAAGAGTGCTTTAGTGTTTATTGAGGATTGTTAAAAAAAGGAGAATTCTATCCATAAATTTAGTGATGACAAATTCAGCCTTTTATTTAGTTTTAGATCTAATAATACTGGCAAAATTGTTTATGACACATCTGCATTTAAAAATGGTCCTCTCCTTTGCATTGTCACCATACTCTTTAACATCAATCAAAGCTTTCGTTTTAATTGCCCAAACCAAGAGCTTTCCTTTTGCCACAATCTTTTACTTTCTTCTTTGCTCCTGTAAACAAGCGTATACATATTCAGAAATAACGAATAAACTAAATATTTGAATCCAGTTCTTCTATGCAAATTCTATCATTGCCTTTTTCTACTTAATTTGCTTTTCTATCTCCCTAAATTGAATTATCTAATCTTTCACTAATAATTTTGATATTTTGTCTAATTATTTGTCCTCAATAAGAGACTATCGCATGGATTTGACCATTTTTTACTTTTATAATCTTTCTGATTATACTGAGAGTATTTTATTCAATCTATGACTAACTTAATGGTGTGCCACAGACAGGTTTCCCAATATCTTATCTTTTGGTTGAGGTTTAAGTGTTTAAGGGAAATTATCTTGAATTAATTCAGAGGGTTCGAGTTATTATTTGACAGGGGATTTGATGACTTAGGAGTTGCCAAATGAAAAGTTGATGGAGAATTCGAAATCTACTTCGGAATAGAGTGTAATGAATAAATATTCTTCACTAAAATAATGTTGATTTTTTTCTGAGAAGATTTTAGCAAAGCGAGAGTGTATTATGTATTCAGCATTGAATTTAGTGGGAAACTCTGCTTTTGTAGATAGGAATATTTTTAGAGATGATGTTTGAACTCTATCTGGAACATTAAAAAAGACATGTATGGGAGACACTTTGCCTCGTAATTTCATTCTAAAGTAATTGAATTTGAATCGAGTTATTTTGATTCGATTTTAGTCTCCATGCATCAAATCTGATTATATTAGGCTATCATGAGTTTGAATTAATTAATTTTTGCTTTTGCGTTTCACCTCTAAATACTAATTAGTCTAATACGAAATGGGTTCTAACTTCTCTAATTAATTGATAGACCTGTAATTTTTTTCGAATTCGCTATAAACTTCTATGATTTCCTCGTCGAGTTACATAAGTTTCGAACTAATGTCCCCTAGGTTTATTCGATTTCTGTATTTAGATTAGGTTGTGGTGCATTCAATAGAATACATTGAGGAATTGGCAGATTGTGATTAATTTATATTGTAGTTCAGAACCCGATTCAATTCTTATTGTTTAGGACTAATTTCTTTAAAGCTCTGAATGTTTTGGTTTGATGTTAGCAAAAAGGTGGATGAAGATCTAGAGTGAATAAAAATCTTAATTACTTTCGAACTGGACTTACAATACTTAGATGCGATTTATTTATCGATGCTCTTTATTCGTTGTTTTTTATTATCATATTATTAATCATAATTTTATAAAAATAACAAATTCAAAGATAGAGTTATTTCAGATATAAATTATTGTAATTCTTGTTTTATTATTATTAATCGAGTAAATAAAGATAGTTATCTGTAAGTGATATAGATATACAATCGACAATACAATTAATTAGGCAATTAATAATTGTATATTTATTAATATATATTATTCAAAAATGAAAAAGAGAGAACTCAAATTAGTTTTAATTGGAGACAGTAAGAAATTGATTAACCTTAGGTGGCGTTGGGAAATCATCATTTGTTTCAGCATTAATAAATTAAATATAAAACAAAGCATCTGTTTTAGATAAACATCCACCAATCAATTTACCTCCTGATATGCTCAACCACCCTGAATGTATAACTACTCTACTCGATACAAAATGTGCTCCACATTAATTACCCGAGGAGATTTAGATAGCTGATGTGATTCTCCTAATGTATGCAATTGATGATGACGGATCGAGTGAAAGACTGAAAAGATTTTGGCTAAAAGAATTAAGAGACAACGAATACAAATAGCCTGTAATAATAGTAGGAAACAAACTTGATTTATTGGGGTTGGAGGAGGATCGAGATTATCATAGGATCTTCAAGGTAATCAAGCAATTAGTGAAGGATTTCAACGTATTAAATTGAATTAATATAGACAGTCGAAATGGGAATCGAGTGTTCATCCATAAAACAATAAGGCATCTATGATGTGATAAATTGTGCTTAGAGGTCATTTCTCTATCCATTAGCTCCGATCTACAGCATAGCAGATAAGTCATTGACAGAAGGATTTAAGAAGGCATTGACAAGAATATTTAGGATCTGCGATAGGGATGGAGATGGAGTATGGAATGATACAGAATTGGAAAAATTCTAAAAGAAAGTGTTTAAGAGATAACTCGATTATAGTGACATTGCTGGAATAAAAGACATGATAGAAGAGGAATTGCATGACAACTCAAACAAAAAAGTGATTACTTTAGAAGGATTTATAGCATTGCAAAAAAGAGGGATAGAACTAATGAAGATTCAAATCTGTTGGACTATTCTACGCTTTTTCAGATACAAAGATGACTTGACTTTGGATGAGAATATTTTCACAAATGAGTATGAATTTAAATGGACATTAGATTAATATTTGATTAGGATGCAGGTCAAACTGTTGAATTGAGTGAGATTGCCTTATCTAAATTGAAGTAGATATTTGAAATCAGATGCAATTCCACATCTTAATAAGGAAATACTCTAAACCAGAAACAATTTGATGATATATTTTACCCAGTGATGTGTAGAACTAATTTTCCTCATCTTAGTCAATATTATCCTTAGGAATAAAATGGTGTCACTTTAACTCAATGGTTGGCAATGTGGAAGTATTCAAATCATGATATCCAAGTGCCTTTTCCTTCTTTAATTACAAAGAAGCCTACAAGTTGTTGTGTTATATTGGAATTGAAATGAAATTATCAGACACCTTTAAGGAATAGAATCGGAAGGATTCTTGGTCTTCCGTATAAAAGAATATTGATAGAAAAGTGTTCCATATTGCCATCGTCACCAGAAAGAAGGTTGTAAAATCTACCTTATCTCTTAGAGTTCACTCGAAAAATAGTTTGGCAATCAGTCCCCCATTATCACTTCTATTCAAAGCAAAACATACGCCATTAGTGTGTATGATGAATTGGAGGCCGAATAATAAATTGAAAAAAGACAATTGAGCATCATAGACTTTTTACTTATAGAATAAAATTGTCACTTTTAGACTGCCCAACTTATTCCTAACTTGGTCTATGATGACAACTAGAAGTTCTGGACCTAAATTGGCAGGGTTACAGAGATCTTACATCAACAGTATTCACTTTCACTATTCTTATAGTCCATTTGGTTATTCTGAATCTCAAATGTAATAATTGAAAAAACAAAATAGCCTGCCTATTGTTGAATTAGCTAGCGTAATAACCCTCCTGGCATTTATGTTGACAGGAGGATACTTGTTAGGTAAAAAGGTATTGTAAAAGAATAAATGAAATTAATAAAATAATTACGATGATATATAAATGCTTTTGTAATTACCTATCTACACTTAATTGCTTTTATGTTTTCTTATTAATTGTTATTAATTTTAAGATAAGTCGATTTCTTAATTTAGTTTAAGTATCAAAGATATATAAAAAAGTTTATTAATTATTAATTTTAAATAGGACAATTAAATGAAACCAAGAGATAAGGAAGGTTCAAATGAAAATCTAAGAGTCGTTATTAGAGTGAGACCTCCGATGGCCAGAGAAATCAAGGACGGCAAATTTATATCCACTGTAACTGAGTCTCTTATGTAATCCAAGGTTTAAGCAGCACCGGACAATCAATAGCTTTGCATCTTTGATTATCACGCTATCGAGTTGGTTCCAGATGAGGACTTAGAGGCTTTCGTTTAAAATCCAGCCAATTACACCATCCATTAGTTTACCTTTGATTATGTTTATGATTAAGAGAGCACTTAAGTGGAAGTCTATGAGACCACTGCAGCCTTGTCAGTCGATTCTACACTCTAAGTACAGTATGGAATTGCTATCGAAGGGATATAATTCCACGATTATGGCTTATGGCCAGACAGGAACTGGAAAAACTTACACAATGCATGGGTTTTCATTTACTCCCAATTCTGACTAATTAGGAATAATACCTCGATCCCTCCATAGCATTTTCACGCATATTTAAATGAAGTCTAATTCTAGCACTACATTCATGGTGAGGGCATCATATTTATAAATTTATAATGAATCTATCAGCGATCTCTTGAGACCTGATCATCAATAGTTGAATATAAGAGAAGATAAGAAGAGAGGAGTCTTTGTGGAGAATTTATCAGAATGGGCAGTGCGTTCTCCCCCTGAAATCTATTAATTGATGCGAAGAGGTAATTCTAAAAGAGTTACTGCAAGCACAAGAATGAACGATACATCATCTCGAAGTCATGCGGTCTTCATAATAACAGTGGAGCAAATCGAGGAAACCCCAGAGGGCAAAAGAGCAAAGGTTGGCAAACTGAACTTGGTGGATTTGGCAGGCAGTGAGAGAGTAAGAGTGACTGGAGCAACTGGTATTCGTTTGGAGGAATCTAAAAAGATCAATCAATCCCTTTCTGCCTTAGGAAATGTTATAGCTGCCTTAACTGAATTGAAATAACCAAAATCACATATTCCGTACAGAGACTCAAAAATAACAAGATTATTGGAAGACTCATTGGGAGGTAACTGTAAAACCACTTTTATGGCAATGATATCTCCTGCCATTGATGCATTCAGCGAATCTCTATCCACTTTAAAGTTTGCGAACAGAGCCAAAAACATTAGAAATACACCCATGGTTAATCAGGATTAAGATCAAGGAGCATTACTTCGAAAATATTAATTAGAAATACAGAAACTCAAATAAGAATTAGACGAAAGGAGTAAGCTCCCTCTTGATAACATGGTCTCTGAATTGGAAAGGGAAAGACAAAAAGCCTTGGAAGACAAATAAGAGGTCTAAAGTGCGTATGAGTAAAGAAGCAAAGACTTAGATTAGGAGAGGTAATTGAGAAAGTAGCTGGAAGAGAAGATCTCTGCTTTGAATTCCTAGATGCTCGTTGGAGGTCAAAAAATTGAAGAAACTCCTTAGTTTTAGAATGCCTTAGAAAAACAATAGAAATTGATTAGATAACAATACTAAGAGAAATTGTAAGAACTAGAAAAAGAGAGATAAAGCATCGAAGAAGATAAAGCCTAGACAGACAAATACAAATAATTGTTACTTAAGTAAAGAGATATTATGATTGCTTTGACTAATCGACTTAATGAAAGGGATGAAACCATTCTGCAATTATAAGAAGAATTAGACGCCTATGAAAAGCTACAAAAAGAATTAGAAGATATCATTTAAACCAAATAATCAAGAGTTGAATAGTTAGAGGATATTATCAATAAAAATAACTTAGAAGTTCCTAATAACTTTATTGTCAATTCCAATCAGACTACGATTAATACCAAATAATAATTACTTCTATCTGAAATGCCATCGTCCAAAATGTTATTAGTTGCTGATCCTTCTTCAAATAGTTATATTCAAACTTTACCATAATAATCCACTCTTCATCACTAATCAGATGCAGTATCTTAATATGAGCTCAAAAATTAAATTGAAATCAATACTAAATTACAATTAGACTTGAAAATTAGTAGAATGGAATAGGAGAGATATAAAAAAGAAGTGGCTTCTCTTTAAAATCAGATATCAAAATATGAGAATGATAACACAATTGATTAAGCAAAAAGTATCATATACTTATATTTTAGAATCTGTTGATATCATTGTCCTCTAATTAACAAAACCAGCTAATGGAAATTCTTTATCTCTGGTTGCTTAAGAATTACAAAAACTATAAAATATACTATCAGAAAAAGAAGGATCCCCTAAGAAATCAGTTTAAAAAGTATAATAGGAATCACCCAATCCAAAAAATCAAGAAATCATAAACAAACTGATTTCAAAGCCTTCCAAATCAAGTAATCTGCTTATTCCTTAATAAAAAAAGATAAAATAAAAATCGGATGATGAATTATGGAATTGAGTTAATTTAAATCATCTTAGTTATTGTAATTATATTAATTTAATCAAGTACTCTAATTCAATCATAATGGACCTTCTTCATTCCCTATTTCACAATTTCTCTATCGCATCTAGGTCCTCCCACTAAACAGGAAATCACTGTTATTGGATCTATGCTAAACCGTTTACTGTAATTCTTATAGTCAAACTCTTTTACAATTCTAGTTACTTATTCATCATCCAAATGCAATAACTTAATATATACTTTATAATTTACTTTTATTTTTAATTTATTTAATTAAGAGTTACATTTATCGTAAGAATGAATTGCTTGTTCTTTTAAAACAGTTGATGAGTCGTTAATTTGAGACACATCCATAGATCCTTATTATTTTATATGTTGTTTGATTCTTTTTTAAGTCTCTCTATAAATGAGTGTTCCATTTGTTACTGGCAAATTCTTTTAATTTAACCTTGTTAACATATTTTCTAAATTCTCTACGTCTTCATTTGTTAAACCTAAAGTGATGGGACCTAACTTATCAAGTTAGTAAGTATTTCGACTACTCTTGGCTGCTTCCAATCTTGCTTATGTCAAATCAATAGCTGATAATTTATGACTATCGTAAGGGAAGATGGATGGAAGTGACGATACCTCTAAAGAATCATTATGAGACAAGCTTTGTTGTATAATAGCCAGGCTATTATCAAGGGATTACTCTTGTTTGTATTATTTGAAAGATTCACTCAACTCTTTTTCTAATTAGTCTATTTCTTATAACATAAGAGCTTTCTTAATGAGATATAAATTATACTTGCAACAAAAATTCCTTTGATTTTTGATCTAAATATTCTGGGAAACATGAATATGAAGATTTCTCATTAAGTGAATTCAGTCTTGATACAACCCAGGCTATTCCTGTGTTTCGAACATCTTAACCATTTTTTAGAACTTGGAAATAAAAGTTTATAAGACATCTTTATAAATTTTTATTTTCCTTTTTTTTAATCTGGATATCAGAATCTATTTATTCTAATGTTTTTTTATTAAAAAGTATTTTATGTTTATATGCTATTCTGCTTTCTCTTAAGACATTCAAGTCTTATTACAACTCCTTTTCTTTATTTTACTAAGACATAAATTGGTTGACTAAAGACATTCGAGATTTACTCATTTACATACTGGTTGGTAATTTAGGATCCTTCATATCTTGTATTTCCTATTACAATTGTTAAGATAACTATTTGATTTGGATAACTTTATCATGAAAATCATGAGTTTCCAATCTCAGTTTCTCTTAAGCTGTGACTCTAGCATCAATAATACTTTCATTTTGTCTAATCTTTTGAATTAACTTATTGGCTATTAATTATGTTTATTTTTTATAAAATTTAGCCTTTTCAGCTTCTGATTTGAATTATGACATCTGAACTTTAACAAGAGTATTGTACATTCTTTAAATATCCTCATTGGTGTAATCAAAATTTGTAGTAAGGCCTTTCTCTTCATCGACATTAAGTTCTCCAATCTCTTTAAGTTCATTTAAGGCTACTGTAGATGCTTTCTATAGATATTATTCAACAGAGCGTTCAACACTCAGATCTTCATTCAAACTCTTAAGTTATTTGGCCTTTGAAACTGCATTTTTCAAAGCATCCTTATAAGATTTGGGAGTGTTTTGAGAATTTGTAGGTGAGCTTGATTTATCGATCTTTAAGTGTCTGGTTCCCTGTTGTCGAAGCAAAGGCTTTTTTATCTCAGTTTAAGCTCTCTCTTTGCTTCTAGCCTGAGGGATTGCTAGTTCATCCTCAGCTTTTTTATTTTATAACTTCTTCTTTTATTCCTTCATTTTCTTTGTCCATTATTTAAGGTCTGTCAATTAATCTTGAGATTCATCATATTCTTTTGACTGAGTGGCTAGGGATTCCTCTTTAACTTTTTATTTCCTCTTTAGTACTTCACCATCAGAATTGTCTTCCAGCTGTTCATAAATTTCAGAGAGAAGTAACTGTTTGTCGGGCTCTTTGGCTAATTGGGATCTGACTTGCTTTTCTATTTCATTCCTTTCATTTTTTTTGTATAGTTTAGTTATCTTTAATGCTTGTAAGTCATACATACTGTGAACTGATTTGAATTGAATGCCCGGTTTGTCTTCCCCTTTTGGGATGTCATAACTTTTGATAGAGTTAAATTGATCCTGGAGCAGTTTCTTACAGATATCTTGAATGGCTAATTCACCAATACAATTTGTGAGTGATTTGCTCTTCCTTAGTAGTTCATGTGCATTTGATACAATTTTTATGGCTTTGTATCCTTTATGCTATCCTACTTCCCCTTAGACTTGCATGATTTAATTCATGCGCTATCTGCGAATAGATTGCATTATTAAATTAATTATGGAGTAAGCATTCAGACATAAAATTTCTATTGCACCAATGATTGATATTACTTATGAACACTTCAGAGTGTTCTTTAGACTTCTGACTAAGAATTGTGTTCTATACACAGAGATGATTCATGAAAATGCTATTAATTTAAGTCGAGTGTTAAAGCCATTCCCACTCGTATTAGACTATTCATAAGTTGAACATCCTGTTGTTTGCTAGTTGGGAGGCAATGACCCAGAAAAATTGGCTAAGGCTGCTTAAATTGCAGAATAAGCAGGATTTGATGAAATTAATCTTAATGTTGGATGTCCTTCTGAGAGAGTTTAGGATGGTGCTTTTGGGGCTTGTTTAATGAAGGAGCCTCATTTAGTGGCTCAATGTATGAAAAAGATGAAAGAAGCTGTGAAAATACCATGTACAGTGAAGTGCAGACTTGGAGTTGATAACCTAGACACATACGAGTTTGTGAGAAATTTTATTGAAATAGTATACAAAGAAGGGGAAGTTAACCATTTTGTTATGCATGCTCGTAAAGCATTTCTAAAAGGGTTGAATCCACATGAAAATAGAACAGTTCCACCACTGAAATACGATTGGGGTATAATAGTTATACATTTAAATTAGTTTATTAATTAAAGAAAGAATTTCCTGAAATTAAGTTTACTTTAAATGGGGGTATTAAATGTACTGAGCATATTGACTAAGCTCTGCCAAATGTGGATGGTATTATGATTGGTAGATCAGCCCACGAGAATCCATGGATGTTTAGTGATTTTGATAGACGATACTATGGAGGACAAAATCAGAATTACAATAGAAAGGAAATATTAGAAGTAAGAATCACTATTTACACTGTAGTTATATGCAGAGTTTGTGGAATAGAAGAGAGCAACTGGTTGTAAGGTGTCCACTCAAATGTGTGTAAAACCAATAATTAACCTGTTCAATGGAGAATCCAACAACAAAAGATATAGACAGTTCTTAAGCAACACTGACAATCACAAATTGGGATTCAGAGGGATGATAAATCAAGTAATTGAGCACATGCATGAGTGGAACCAGGAAGCATTGTTGGTCAGACCTAATGATTATAAATTCTGATATTAAATTTAATCGTTAAAAAAAAATGGATATTGTAGAGGAAGTTTGTAAGGATAAAACTGTGCGTTAATATGCGAAGGGCAAATTCTTAGGGAAAGGAGGGTTTGCAAAATGCTATGAATTTTAACATGGAGAATAAACTTATGCTAGCAAAATCATTAGCAAGGCAAGTCTTACCAGATCAAGGGCAAGATAAAAATTGATGTCTGAAATCAAAATTCATCGTAGTCTTTAACATCAAAATATTGTTGGGTTCCATCGATATTTTGAGGATGATGAAAATGTTTATATATTATTAGAATTATGCACTAATCAGACTATGAATGAATTACTCAAAAGAAGAAAAAGATTAACTGAACTTGAAGTATAATGTTATCTTATGTAAATACTAATTGCACTTTAGTATTTACATAAGCATAAAGTTATACATAGAGATTTAAAATTAGGCAATCTCTTCTTGTCTGATAAAATGGAAGTCAAATTGGGAGATTTTGGGTTAGCTACTCTTATAGAATTTGAAGGTGAAAGAAAACGTACCGTTTGTGGTACTCCTAATTACATAGCACCAGAAATCTTGGAATCTAAAAATGGTCACAGTTTTGAAGTAGACATTTGGTCCTTTGGTGTTATTGCTTATACTCTATTGGTTGGCAAACCTCCTTTTGAAACCACTGATGTCAAAACTACTTATAGAAGAATCAAAATGAATGCATACTAATTCCCTGAATCTTGTATCATTAGCAATGCAGCTAGACAACTAATAAGTAAAATCCTAGTTACTGAACCATCCAAGAGATTGACTCTCTAAGAGATATAAGATCATGAATTCTTTCATGGGCTCATTCCATAATTATTACCTTTGAGTACTTTAGCTTGTCCACCATCCTCGTAATACACGAGGTAGTATCAAAAATAATAATCTACCAGTATACCAAAATTTGAAAACACTGAAAAGCGACCTCTTGATCTCAAATAACGTCCTCAGTATGCAAGTATGGATAGAATTCCTTTGCGCTCCAACATTGAAAGTTGTCTTAATTAAAATTATGTCATTTAAGAACCCTAAGTTTATGTTAAAAAATGGTATTTATCCATCTAATTCTCAGGGTTGACTATTCAAGCAAGTATGGATTGGGGTATGTGTTTAATAATATGCAATGTGGAGTCTTTTATAATGACTGTTCCAAAATGCTTATGTTGAATGACGAGTAATTTTATGGTTTTAATATTATAGCAAATACATTTATATCGATAGAAATGGAGAAGAAAAGGAAGGAACTCTTAGAGAACAAACTCCTGAGATGTAAAAGAAATCCACTTTGATGATTCATTTTAAAGGATACTTAATAGAGAATGAAATTGTTAGTGAAACTGATCAATAATTTTGGTAAAGAGTTTATGTTAAAAAATGGATGAAGGCAAAACATGCCATCATTTTTCGATTGTCTGACAAGACTGTTTAAGTCATTTTTCATGACAATACACAGATTATATTGACCTAACAATTAAAAGTGGTTACTTATATTGATAAGGAATTAGTTAAATCAACATATATGTTGAATACTGCTTTAGAAAGTGATAATAACTAAATGGTTAAAAGACTCAAATACACTAAGGAAATTCTAAGTTAGATGCTTAGTGGCACGAATAATCATGGAACTGCTCCTTAGGTTGAGGCTTAACAGCCAAAACCATTGTAAGAAAGGGCTAACACTTTATCTTCGTTAAATTAACAAAACCTATATAGCAGCACTTCAAGATTGAAAAATTCTCTTCACAATAAATGATTATTCTATAACTTACTAAAATTAAACATATAATTACAATAAAATAATATAATTTCCCCTTTTAGAGTTTTTATTTTGATTAATTTTAAATAATATTTTATAATCTTAAATTGCATAATCCATATCAATCGAATTATGGATGCAATTTTCATTACAACACTCTTAATGACAAGAAACGGAACTTCAAGGCATTTTTTGTTTTTCATATTGATATGGCAAAAGACATTAATTCATATAAATACCAGCTCAATTATATTAAATAAAATGGATTTTTATATTTATTGATTAAAGACACATGTGTCGTTGTTCTATTAATTTTGTTATTTCATTTAGGGTCTAAAGACTTGATAATAATCTATTATTTGATTATATAATTTTTATATTATGAGAAGTCATGCCAAATAGTTAACGATTATATAAGAAAATCATTTCTAAAACCAAATCTTGGAAATAACAAAACTAATACGTATAAACTGTCTTAAAACTAAAGGTTAGGGAAAGTACAAAACTGGATTTGCATTAATTAACAAGGAATTTGAGAGATCATTGATTATGCAAACGGGATGGCGCATTCGCATTCAATTACTGAGAAGGGGAATAGTGTGCCTGATCAAGATTCTAAAGTAGTATTCTAGAGATGGGAACAAATAAGAAAGTTAATTGAACTTGGTGAGAAAGTTACAGCAATTCCTATTGTTTTATGTGGAGATGTTACAAAACTAGGCTCAGGAATATAGTAAAAATTGATAAGAAATTTAATAGAAAAGTTTTATTTGAAGGATATTCTTTATAGATTTTCTTAAATTTAAATGCTGACATTTTAATTATCAAAATAACATGAAGATGTTCGATGTGTACTTTATTGGAAGCCAACTTGTTATTATAAGGATTCTCGATTCAATAAATTAAAATTTTAGTATAACCTATTGGTGGGACATTTGCATTTTCAGTTCAAGCTATTCGAGCCTGCAATTTCCTATTATTATGAAGCCATAACTGAATGTTAATTTCTTCTGATGGACATAATTAATCAAGATTATCACCTTAAAACCTTGGAAGATTAATATTTCAAAGTAATTTCATGGATTGTTCTTACACTCTATATTGTTGGTTTTATTTATGAATTGCAATCAGATTATAATAAATTATTGGAAACCTATAAAATAGCATTGTGGTTGTCACAAATGACAAGCAATACCGGTTTATCCACTTTCATCGATGAACAATATTATCAATACTCAAACAAAGTAAGATTTGCAAACCTAATTATTTTAGTATAGAAAATTCATGTTGGAAATCAAGGAAGTCAATTAAATTTTGGCCCCGATATTTCCCCAATCCAATCATTATCACACTGAAGACACAAGCAATGATTATTGGACCAAAATCAACGATGGGTTTTATAGAAAATACAATAAGGAGATCAATGTAAACTTATATTCCATCTTATAACAACCTGAAGAATCTGTTTATAATAAAAAACTGTTCAGATTAACTGAATAAGAAACAACCATCTAGTCCAATATTCACACTCCTCGTTAATATGAGAAATGCAGGACGTTCAATTCGCTGGATGACGTAAAGATCAGTAAACAGACTACTAATAACCCTTCACCTTAACACTCCCACAGAACTCCCATTATAACACATTAGAAAAGTAAATCTTTTAAGTTTACATCTGACATTGATTAAATTCTAAAGAGATTGCCGCAAAGGGAAATTGAAACTTTTTCCTCCCTGAAGGCAAAAAAAGAATTAGACTTGTATTATCAATAAAAGGTTCTCACCTCTTTTGAAGGTGCAAATTAGATTAAATCTTTAAAATCAGTTAAACAACAGATATCCTCATAAGAAGAAATAGATAAAGTTTGCTAATCGGATCTAATAGTGGGAAAAAAACTATTAAAATTCTAGAAGTACACTCATCAAAGAGTGGCAACGCATTCGAACATCATGAAGATTATATCCGATATATCCAAAGAGCAAGAGCATTTAGAGGGCATCAACACAGCTAGATTAGCATTATAAGGAACACAAGACATAGAAGATAAAATGAGATTTTAAATACAATAAATCATTAAAAAATAGTCTATATTTAATGAAGGAGAATTGATGGTAACAAATATGTCATTTTAATTAGAATCTTAAATCATTGGTTTCAGATTATGAGTAAAATTTATCTAAAGCACATACAATACACGAGCAACCTATTGAATAATCACACATTTCTAAGAGATTAAGGGAGAAAAATAACTTAATTGTTAAATCGATTGATTAAACCATTAAGAGAATACCATTAGAACAATTGAAAACAAGAAAGTCTTTTTTATCTCGTGTATAAGAGAGTATGCTTAAAAAATGAATAAATATATATTATTTTTATTATTATTTATATTTATGGGAAATAATGTAGTTATTACTTAAGAAACAGGTATTAAACTAATTGATTCCTAGTATAAATAAAAGAAAAAAAATGTCATGACAGATATGATGATTTCTTATTGTGTCAGAGAGAGTACGGCTTTAATGACTTGAAATGCAGAAGTAGTGAATTTTACTATTTTTAGACTATTATCTCAAGAGATATGAATAATGTATTAAGAAATTAGACAATATGAAATTATAAATTTAACGAACATGAATTTATCAATCTATTTCGATACCTTAAGATCTAAGACTTTTCAGAACTAGATCCTCATAATCAATCAAGTAGACCTTTCCATCTCTATCTTAATCAGCCATTTCCATCCACATTTCTACATCCTCTCTTGTTGGTTCAATCTTCATCCCCATATTATTATAAGTTTCCATCAACAATAGAGTGACATGCTTTTCAGTAATGAATCCATTATTTTCTTAGTCCAGCATTTTAAAAATCCTTCTTGCCACTTATAATCTTGCTTCAGCTAATTTACTGTATTTTTGAGGTTCATTTTAAGTTACAGATGGTACAACACAGGACTAAGTTGCAACTTATTTATTAGATTAGATGGAAGTTGAAGAACTTTAGGTTGATTTTTAAGACCCCCATCTCCTGTATGGAGATTGATATGATAATTTTGAAGGTGTATCTGCTTTATCTTCAGCCTTTACAGCATTCAATTCAATAGACTCTACTGTTTATGGTTTTAAATCAGCTATTTCAGTAGTAGTGATTCCTCCACCAAAATATTTAAAACATAAGCGTTCAATATCCTCTACTGAAATTTTTCCCTTTCCCTCTCCTAGCATATTAAATAACAGAGTTTACTATCAAATATTTTAGCATATCCTTTGACATCAGTTTGAGATGGGCTAAAATCAATATTGATGGATTTATAGCAATCAGATTGTAAATTACCAGCATCTTTTACTTCCATCAAATCATTTTAATCTGAATCATAGAGCTTCATGACTTTTTAAGCCAATTATTTACATTAATCTCGATTCATCAGTCCTTAAAACATATTTCCTTAAATATTTATTTAAATATCTTTATTATTCATAATATTAATAATTCAATATTTAATTATCAAATATTAATATTAATTCTATATATTATAATTTTATAAATTTTGATATTTATTTAAATAGTGACACAGGCTACCAATATCCATTTTCCACTTTAAGTAACAAAAATGTCATCTCAGGATAATATTTTTTAATAATATCATCTAATTTGAATTAATTTAATGGATAATCTAATTTATTCTAATTTTACTCTGACATTAATAATTACTTAGTTTTAGAATACTCAGATTTATAACAATGTTAGGTTTTTTAAATATATATGGCTTGAGTTTTAAAAATAAATTAGATGATGAAATTATTTCTTGCAATTAATTTAAATCTCAAGCATTCAATTAACCATGAAACCTAAAATAGATTTAAAATGTTATTGATATGATCATCTTTATGGTTTTAAAAATAATTGTCTCAACTTTAGTACTAAAATTTATTGAATAAAACTTAATCAGTATGATAATGAAATTAAGCTATTTTCTCTGCCTGCTTCATATTTTAACCTAATTGTTTCGCATTAACAGTAAAACATGATTTTGTAATGAATAGAAAGTAAAAAATAATAAAATAAAAATTAATCCATGTATTTTTTCCATAAATTCACCTTCTTAATTTCCAAAAGACATTAGTTTGGCATCTTTATCCTTATTAATAACTGGTTCTTTGTTTACTTTAAGGCTATGAAATTGTAAAACGAATTAATATCTCCAAAGTATTTTTAGATGTCAATTGCGTGTCATTTGCTCTCATCGATATATGATTATGATTTCTGGTGGTTTTTAAACTATTCTTGAGAAATGTACCTACTTTCTCTTCTTGATTTTGGAAATAAAATCCTCATTAAATTAAATAATATGAATTAGAAATATTTACTTATATATTAATGATTCTATTTGACTTATGCAATATTGTAATATCTCCATAAATCAGAGTAATAATTAGAATATCGATTGAAATCTTTTATTTTAGATAACATATTTTAAGATTCTAGAGAGATAATTAAAATGTGTATTTATTTATATATATATATCTTCTGTAATAAATGTACTTAATAGTGAGTCGAATTGATTTAATTAAAAATAATGTTTGTTGAAGATTATTATAGGAGACTCATAAAATAGGAATGTAAAATAACTCCTAAGGAGATTAAGACTGATAGACCTTGGTACCCAAGAAAATTCTAAAACGAAGGCAAGAGGGATGAATATAAGTTCTTTATGCTTCCTCCCAACAAAATGGTTACTTTACTAAAAAAAAATAAATTGTCGGCTCCCAATGAAAAGATTAAAGAATTCTTGCATAACCACTCTTTGAAAAAGATGGTTGATTTTGGTGAAACCCTCCAAAGTACAACAGATATGAAAGTACAAAGACCGTCGATTTAAATTCTAACTCCTAAAAATAATACTGTGGGACGATAATTATTTCCAGTTAAAAGAAGGCCCCTCTGTTTACCTTCAACAAGAGTTATTACTGAGCCTAGCAAGAAATCATCCTCGTAATGCAAGAGTGTGCATAAATTAATTCGACTAAAATAAAGCGACCATTACCAGGAGGAACTATATGGCATAATTACAAAACTTAATTACTCCCCTTTGAGAGTGGATACAAGCTTTCTCAAAAAATAGATATAGCCTCCAAAGATTGTTTAACCTCAACCAGATATAGAACCTGAGATTCCGAAAAGTGTATTACCCTATCCTCCAAGAACAAAAAAATAATTACGCTCATTTCTTTTGAGGGCTTTGAAGAAAATCAAAGCTTTGGGTCTTACAATTAAATATGTAATGGAGCATAAAATATTTTCAAAAAAACCATATGAGAAGTAGTATTCAAAGGAGTTTATTCATGCAGCCAAGCAGAACAAAATGGAAGAAATAGAAAACTATCTTCAAATCAACCCTTATTTGGTGTTTGATTATGATTTCTACAACATGACAGCACTGCATTGGGCTTGTAAAAAAGGTTATCTGCAATTGGTAGAGATTCTATTGAAGTACCATTCAGATATTGATGGAGTGGATATCCTTTATCGCACTCCATTGATATTATCGATTCAAGAAAATCACTTGGATGTTGCACATTTTCTATTGATGAACGGAGCCTATCCGTGGAGTACTGCCATAACAGATTTGAAAAGTATTCTCGAACAAAATGAACGTGCTAAACTTCTCCTTACAAGGGTTAGAAGGGTAATTATTTAGTGTTATTATTCGTAGTTATAAATAATGGCTAAATGGACTCAATCAGGAGAATATTTGAATCTAATTTGACTATAAATATGAATTTAAAATTTATAATTAATAACTGGTTTAATAATTAATAAGTCACATGACATATTTTTGAATCATATGAGTTGGTAGTGAATTACTATATATAAATATATTTAATAAAACTCAAACTTATCGAATGTATGCAGATTGTGAAGACTATCTGTCTTCTACATCAACTTAAGACGATTATGGAACATTGAATGTAAAGTTGAAGACAGAATTCTGTAAATATTGGACCGAAGGGAAAATATGTCCATATGGCAATAAAGTAAGAAATTATTATGAGATTCTTAGTGTTACTTTGCACATGGTGAAGAATAATTGTTGTCAAAAGACGTTCCGAAAAATTATAGAACTAAAGAATGTAAAAATTTCTAAGAATGTTTTTGTAAATATGGTCAGAGGTGTCAATTTTCGCATATGCTAACCAAATACTAAATGCCTCAATTGAAGTATTGGACTTCAGTTGAGAAAATAGAAGTGGGCTCAATTAAAAAAAAGTATTAAATATTTGGAATGATTTAGGCATCGCTTAAAGATATTTAAATCGATAACCAGTGGAGTTTATCACAAACAATAGAAACAATAATGATTTTATTTCTTATCCCAATTCATATTTAAATAACAAATTACAATAATATTATCAATTAATTGTCCATCATTTGTTCTTCAAGAAATTAATTGTAAATTCCCAAATGATTTATTAATGATCATATCCATCCTTAAAACTCTCCTAACAGTCTTTGATATAGACATCTCTCAAAGGGTCTGAAGAATTTCTAAAAATATGCAATAACATCAAAGCATTAAATTCTGGATGAAATTGAACCCCCAAAATATGGTCACTTTAGAATGCATAATTTTCACAATGACGTGCGCTCATTATAACTTCAGTGTTCTTAGGCAATTAAGCTACATAATCTCCATGGATTTAATATACATTGAGATTGTTTATTAATTGATCCTTCCACTTGAATTGAGTTGAGAGAGCCGTTCTCCCTACTTACATTCTATCCACATGATTCATCTTCTAGGCCTCCCCCCCCAAACAATGAGCTAAGACTTAATGTCCAAAACAGATCCCAAAAAGTTTTATTTTCATTTTGTCTGCTTCTCTTAAAAACTGAAATAGTGGTTCCTTCCATTCCTCACTCAAATCATAAGCTGCACTACTTGATCCTGTGATGATAATGCCATCCAATCCTTATAAATCTGGGAATTTATTCTCTATAACCTGAACATTAAAAATTGTATTATACCAAATAAACTTCCCAATCCTCATTCTCCTCTTTATAAATACCAAAGTGCATAGCCTCCATTATATTGACATATTCTTTATAATATAAAGGTTCTGTTATCAATAAGGCAAACCTTTATTTTATATCCTTAGGCTTATATTATTTCAGAATATCAGGAATAATTTCAGATTTAAACCCAAAGTTAACATTATAATTTAAGAAGATAACTTTTTCTTATGCTGTTGCTTTTAATATCACTCCTTGATTTACAATACCCAAAAGGTCTTTGAATTCTTACTTTAGGAGAAGATCTACATAAAGCTCTAATGTTAGATCCTCTTGACATTTTTATTATTATTGCATCAGAAAACGAGCAATTGCAAAAAAGTCATTAGGATCAAAATTTGGAGAATATTTAATAGAATAGAGATCCAAAGCTTCTGATTAGTAAATGAAGTGATTTTCTGATTTTATGATGAGAGTTACTTATTTGTTAAATTCCATAATAACTTCTATAATATTTAATTAACAAAAAATAAATTATGATATAAAAATAATTAAAAACTTGATTTGCTATTGATTTAATCTTTTAAAGCTTGAAGTTTCTTTTTATTCTTAATTTTATCTATGAAAACAGATTGTCTCTAAAATCTCTCATTTATTAATTTAATTTAAGAAATTGTCTACTTTAAAGATGATATTATGGTTTGTTGTGTTGATTCAGGTTAAGTGGATTACTTCAAGACTTCTATGTTTTTAAAATAAATAAATGTATCATTAATAATCATTCTGGTATGATGTTGACGTGGATGAGACTATTATCTAATACACCAAAATCATTCAAAGTCATATCCTTTCCTTCCATTTAAACAATTTCAGCTTCTTCAGTTACCTTAAATTAAATTAAAAATATACTTATATTGATAACGCTAACTATTTGATCGGGATGTTAACCAATTTAGAAATCATCATTTTCACAGGTTGTAAACCAGTATTTCCCATTAATTTCTTTGGGGTAGGTTTATCCTTTAGTTTTCCAACATGATCTATAATCTTTATTGTACAATATTAAGGTTATTGCACTTGTTACTTTGCTTGTGTGTATCCTCCTTTAACAGTAGGATCAATTTCATAAGGATTTCCATATTTTTTAATTAGTTCAATTACTTTAGGATGATTTTATTTAGCATAATTGATAAAATCATCATAATCATAATAGTAATGTTTGACATTCTTTAACAAGAAATATTCTTCAAATGAAGATTTCAAATAAAATATCTCTGAATCCTTTCTTTCAAATTTGGTAATTTCACTGCCATTAATGATTTAAACACTAGAAACTTCTGCTATTGCTCTTTATCTCACATACAACTTTCCAAATTTATCAACTAATGGATTATGTTTAATTGATAGAGAATTCAATTATAAATTTCCTATTTTATTCAAGAACTACGCTTATGCAAAATGATTGTGATCCAAAGCCAAATGTCTAAGAGCCTTAAAATCAGTAACCAAGGGTAAGTCCTTTAGATTATTCTTATTTAATATGAGTCTCTCTAAGTTTGGTAAATGCCCAAATGATTTTTAAATGCACTCAAATTATGATAAATCAGTTTATTCCAAATTTAATAATTTTAGAGCCTATAAATCTGTATCTCTATATTACAAATTCTCATAATCAACCAAAATATTTCTGCACACTAATAACTATTAAACCATTGGAAATGCAGGAATTATTAAGGAAATATCCTACCAAGTCAATTGCATTCCAATTAAAACAAGAATTTCTACATGTTTACCACAACCATCTACAGGAATTTCTAAGTGTTTTCCTTGTTCATAATCATAAATCAAATAATCTGGTGTTTATGTGAATATTTAATTTTGAAACTATTGTTATCCAAATGTTTCAAGTTTTGATAATTTATTACTTGATATTGACAATTCTTTTAAAGTAGGTAACTATGATACTAAAACAAAGATTTAATGCCAAGAATGGAACAAATTATTCTCCAATCCCAGTATTTTTATATTTTTAAATATACTTCCAACAAAACCAAATGGTCCCATCGTTGAAACATTTTAAGACTCTAAAGATAATTCCTACAAAGTCTCTAAATTATTCAACTTTTTATATATTTCATCAAAACCATAAAACTCAACCATTTTCTTTCTTTTTTTCATTGTTTCAAAAAATGCTGTGTCATCAAATTCAATTTTCACTTATTTTTAATTTATAAGTGTAATAACTTTGCTCTTCTCGTCCTAATGGTTAATCAAATCTGAATGTTCTTAAAGGAATTCATCTTTTACTTGTTCCTACCCTTCCATCTCTTGTAATAATTATGGAGGGATTTCTTTGAAATATTTCAAAAATAATGCTTCCCACAATTTATTACCAAAACTCACCTTCTCTTTCTTTAACAAACTACCTGAATTAGCCCCACCAGTTGTTTTGAAATATGTGTACCCTTAGACAGTGCCATTATGTCTTCCTCTATCGGCCTAATCCCATTCTACTCCCAACCAAATTTCATCCCCTTTATTCTCATGCATCAAGGGACCTTCGTATTTAACAGTGGCTTTTTCACCTTAATATACTATTCTCTTATTCATATATTCAAAATAAATAATATTAAAGACTCTCCTAAATAGATTGTAGCTTCTTAATAAAAGAAAATAATTCAACTGATTAATTCTTATTTATAAAATGCAGTGATTTTGCTTGGTTGATTAGCTACATCAGTATTTACAGAATGAGGATAAATATATGTTGATTCATCTATTTATTAATATAAAACTAGACATTCTTAATAAGATACTCTAAAAATTATATTATTTAATAATATCATCAGATATAGACTATTTAAAGAACTCTTAATTAGGTTTTACTTAAATTTGATTCTGATTGCCATCTATACTCCTTCTCTGATATATTCTCAATTGAGTTATAAGGGAGAACAATTTTGTAATAATAAAAATTGAAATGGAAATAAAGTATAAATTACCTCCGCTTCCAACCAATATCGTAGATATTTATAATAAGATGACTAAACAAAGAAAACAGTACTATAGAAGGTAAGCTTCACAGATGTCGACTATATGCAAATTACTAAAAGTGTGTGTAGGAACTGTTGTGTTAGCATTTCCTGAAGGATTTAAAAAGGTGTACCTTACAGGTGGAATATTAGTATTATTTATTTGTGGCTTACTCCAGTACTATTCTTGGACACTGCTTATAAGAGTTATTGAAGAGAAGGCTGAAATCAAGAGGAAAGAGGAACAAGAAAAATAATAGGCACAAGCTCAAAATAACTCTTAGGTCATGGAAATCGAGATGGTCACATAGACATTACCTTAGGCCTTATCTCAAAGATCCTTATCTTAAAATGGTAAATAGGAAGATGAATTCGAGGAAATAATAGGTGATGACATTATTGATGATATTGAAGATGAAGATAACAAAAAAATAAGGTAGGAAGAAGAAGAGTATCGAAAATAGACAAATAATCCACTTGCCAAAAAGACCATTAAATTCGAAAAAATGAATATGATGGGTGTCATGCATGTAATAGATCCAACTAGTAGAGTTTTGGTTATTATATCCAAAATAATGACTATCCTGTTATTTTATGGCTAAGCTTTGAGTTTATTAATCTTCTGTAAGCAAACCTTTGACTAGATTATCCCTAATTTTGCTGATAACTCTTTGAATACTCTTTATCTAGCAATTTGTACAATAGCTTTCATAATGGCATTTTCTTTTATCACAAGAATGGAAACTCTCAAATAAACAACCAACATTGGTTCCTATTTAGTGTTCATCGTCATGTACTTCTTTACTTGTGTTTGTCTTTATTAAATAAAGAATTCTGGATCCTCAGAGAATGACCCTACTATTAGATATGGAATAAAATTCTCTGAACTTCCCTTCTTTTTTGGTGTTACACTTTACTCATACGATATAAACGGTATCCTTACTGAAATTAGAGAAGAAATGAAACATCCAGAGAAATTCAGAAAGAATTTAGCATCCTCAATGTTGATTTGCTGCATAATTTATACATCATTTGGAGTATGTGGATATCTGGCATTTGGAGACTCTACCTAAGAGTTAATAACATCGAATTTGTTGAGTGTAGTTTCAGATATCGGGTTAGGTATTCAAAATGCTTTCTATGCATTATAAATGACTTATGTTTTATCCATGATTTAAACAATCTTATTATAAAATGTTGTTTGTATTAGATTGATGGAAGAATTGCCATTTGACTTTTAGAAATCGGATGTGAAACCTATTTTGAGCATTTGGTCTAAGTTTGCCATTCGTATTCTTTATATTTCAGGATGCGTGGTATAAAATAATAAATATTTAATAGTTTGGTGGGTATTATTTGACTAATTTTAGTACAATAATCTCCTTACTTGGGTGTATTCCATCTGTATATCTCGGATTTGTGATGCCATATTATTTATATAAGAAAGTATTCGGAAGATAGAAGATGTACCTAGAAATTATAAATGGAACAGTGCTTTTTTTTGGAGTGGCAGGTGCAATATTAGGAATAATTCAAATATTTGGTGCCTTGTACTGATTTAAGTTATTTTAAAATTACTTTGTATATTTTAATAAAGTAGATTAAATAAATTTTAATATTGTTAATTATATAGTACAAAACAAAATGGGATGACAACACACCAGGGATTTCTTTAGTGAGTTTTCTGATATTAAATAGATTTAAGTTAATTTAAACAAAAAAGTTTAAAGATCAATATGGAACCAATTTATAGTTTTATTTTTATTTACAAATCAAATTTATTTGATATGATATAAAAACATTGAACTGTATTAATGATATAAAGCTTATTTCCTTCATGTTTCAATAAAATAAAACTTATGTATGATTCCATTACTAATATTCACATAAAATTTATATTATTTTATAATGATTATTTTTGAAACCTGATAATAATTATAAATATCCTAAAACTGTATAACCAAGTATAAGAAATAAAGTAAAGTAATTATAATTATAATTGTAATCCTTTCTCAACCACACACTTATAAACTAGATAACAATTCTTGTAATTGAAAAATTAAAAATTCAGAAACCTTTTAAGAGAATAATACTTAGAAGATATACTTTGACATTATAGTTGAATATCATATACTAATTTAAATATAAATCATATGTATTCATGCATCTTTAAATATCCATATATAAATAAGACCAAATAAAATGCAATTACAATCTACGCAAAATAAAAACAATAATCTAATAATTTGCTTCTATTTATCATATCATTGTGATAATAAACATGCAAAAATCCATCATTTGATTTATACTTTTTGAAAACCAACTATAACTTATTTTCTAAATTTAGCAAAATTAACCATACCATGTTTGAGTAATGCATATCGTCCATTTTCCCTTTTTACGTAAAAGTACATGTTTTTAGCTCCATTTAAAGTCTCGTGAATTTTATACATTACAGGATATAAAGTAGAATCCTTATTAAATAACCATCTTAATTCAAATTTCAATCATGATTACTTATTATCATCAATCTTCTTCAATTTTGTTTAAGGATATGGTTCAACAACTACTGGAATGTAATTTTTACAGGCTGAGAACTCTTTAGTTTACTTCCTATTAATTAATCCTTCTTCCTCAGCATTAACTTTATCCATAATTATTTTATTATTCAAATATAATTATCAAATTTGAAAATAAGTTTTGCCGATTATTTTATAATTTGAGAACTAGTATCAATACAATATTTTTAACAATAAATGATGGTAAGAATTTAAGTTTACATATATAAAATGCTTAGTAATTCATTATATTTATTTCCGTATAGTGTTATCAATTGATTTAGGCTTTTGTTCAAACAAATGCTTTTTTTAAGATAAACTTTGCTGCTAATTCAATTACTTCCTCTCTGGAGTTGGAGTTGAATTATAATTTTAATTGTTCTAGATTTCATCAATAACTGATTTTAGTCTCTAGATCTCCTTCTATTAATTAATATTCTCTCTCTCCATCTCCTCCATTCTCTTACTATTCTTCGTCTTGATAAATCCTGCCTTCGGTTATTCATATGCTCCATGATCGGGCTAAAAGATATAAATATAGAATAATTACCTATCTCCTTAACAAAAGGACCTCCTATTCATATTACTAGCATAGAGTCTTTAACCTTTCAGTTGTCTGATGATTATCTTCAATTTATGAAATCATTTATTGATGATGATCTCTCAATGAAACGTTTTCTTTCTAAAGTTATATAACTATTTCATGTAAATCAGCATTTTCTCCTCGAACTCTTTCTAATTCTCCAGTTAATTGTGAATTAGTCTATTTGAATATTTCATATTCTTATAAATCAGCAGCTGTATCAGTTTTATGTTACTCCAACTTTTCCTCCAACTTAAGCATCATTTAATTCATTTTTTCTTTTTCAACATCATTAGCCTCTTTTTGCTTAGCTTCTTGCAATTTTTGTTTTTGAATTTCTTTTTATAATTCATCCTAAACGTATTATTGCTTTTAAAGATTAGCTTATAGATCTTTGATTGTGAATTCAAATTCTTATTGTTATTATTCATGTTATTACTTATTCAACTGTTAATCATTTAATAAGTTCTTATTTTATTAAGAAACCTTTTCTAATTATTCACTCAATTATTTAATAAGATCATTCTATTATTCTAATCTTCTTTATTATAGAGCGGCTTCTTACTTTCTAGATTATAGTTCAACAAAGGCCGACCTACTAGATTTATCCAAATCTTCATATTCTTAATCTCTCTGTAGGATTTATTACTACAATTGAGTTTGCAAATGATCAAGTTTCTTTCCTTAACTCATTTTCTCTTATTCTAATTGTTCAACATATTTTTAAGCATCTGCTGACAATTTCTCATTCTCCTTTCTCAATATCTAAAGTTCCCTTTAAAAATTGGTGTATTCACTTTAACACTTTTCAGCTACAATTTCCTTTTCTGACAACTCTGCTTATAATTTCTTAATTTATTCTACATTCTACTAATTTAGTTATTTCAATTAATCTATCTTCTTCTTCTGTCTTGCAATTTCACTCTCCTTTTATTATAGAGTATCTGATAACTAATTGCGATCAGTTTACAATTGTTCATTTGTATGCAAAATAGAATCATTCTCTAACATCAACTAATCCATCTATCTTTATTATTTATTTGCTGATTCCAACTATGCCTTGTCAATCTAGATTCTAGAAATATCAAATCTAAGAGACTAGCATTGATCTTATTGAGTTTACAATTCTTATCTTAACTAATTTAATTCACTCTCTTATTACTAATAATGTACTGATAATTCTTGATGATCCTGACTCAATAGTTAATTCTGTTGCCCTAATTATTTTATTTATTTCTTCTATTCATTAATGGTTTACTTTGCAGTTTATAACTATTAAGTAACTTCTTAATATTAATGTCCTAAATCTTATTGTGTGTTATTCAACTCCTATTCTAATTCTGATTTCTCCAGATAAACCTTCTCTAATTCTGCTTATTATTGTAGACTCTATTTTTTTAATTTGTCATACTCCAATTAAGCCTTTTATTAATAACTATTCATTTTGCTGTTAAATTAGGATATAGAATTCTCTTTAAATTCACCATATTCTTTTTATAAAATAGCATAATTAGTTTCTAATTGTTCCCTCAATTCAACTTAAGCTGTATGTTCTGACTCTATTTGGCTTATCTAAACTTTGGCTTAATTAAGACTTTTTTGAGTTTCTTCCAATTAGCTTTTCATCAAATCCTTTTATTTGCGTATTTTATCGATTTCGGAATTGAAATTAGCCTCCTTTTATTTAAGCTGATTCAATTGAATTTCAAATTCAACTTTGGATGTTTTTTCCAAAAGAGCAGACTGATTCAATTCGATGAGTTCTTACTGCTTTTATTCTAATTGTTCTTCATACTCTTTGATTAAATCATCCTTCTCCTAATCAAATTTATGCGTGATGTTCTGATTTTCTTATTCAAGCTTTTCGATGATTTAATGAGATTCTTATAATTATTTCTCCAAAAATTGTTGATTTCGTAAATGTTCTTAAAGTTTCTAGTCTTATAATTTATTTGAAGAATCGATATTACGTTATAACTTTTGAAGTTGTAACTATAAATCCTTATTACTTGATAATTGCTTTTGTAATTCTTAACTCTAATTTTATAGATCCTATTTATACTTAGCAATCTATTCTTGTTATTTTTTCTTATCCTATTATAAATTATCTACCATTAATTTATGTTCCTAAAGTTATTAGTTTAATGAGTTAATTTAAGATTTCAACTCATCTTCTTAATGTTTAGCCTAAAGTAGTTCATCATTTAATTAGATGATTTGGACTTAAAACTATTCCACAGTACTAGATTACTTCCTATGTGTATTTCGTTATTATTCTGACACTGGAATCTAATATGATGGTTATCTTGAATGATCTTCGCTGATTCCTCCTCTCAATTCAAACATAGCCTGCTCTTGGGAAGGAGAGATAGATTTTCGTTAAGCATCCCCTTACTTTTACGATTATTATCTTTAATTCTATCTAATTGAATTAAGTTAATCTTATTATTATTATTGTTCATATGTTGGAGATAGAGATTTTCTTTGAATTTACTCTGGTTATTTATAGGATTACTGTCTTTAGCTATCTTTCCTAATAGCTCTTTAATCTTGGGCATTTCCCTCGACTTCGTTTGGTACTAACATTTATCTTTGATAATCTGATTGAATTTATGATTAACGCTTGGAATGTTAAGCAGATCCTTGGAGTTGATCGTATGCTTTATCGTTTCTAATGGGGGAAATTTATTTTTGATCTTTATCCTAAAATGCTGAGGAGAGTTTTCTAGTGGGATCTTATTAGGCTTGAGGGTTCCTTTATTAGACATTGGTATATTCTGGCACTTCGTATTAGATCTAATTAGATGATTGATTCTTCTTTATGCTTTTTTAACTACCTTTTATAATTTAACCTGATTATGATGGTTATTGACCAAATAATTCGATTTACTGGTTTGGGCTAGAATAATATTACTATTGATAATCTATATTTTGGAGCGATTGACTTTAAGAGGATTATGATTCTATGACTTCTTTAAGTTGATTGATTTGATTTTGCATATATTGTTTTTCACGTGCATATTATTGTTCTAGTATTTGCTTCTCTTACATAATTTATTCGGCCTTTCTTTCACTAGCCCTGGAGAGACTTCTACTCTAACTTTTTAATCTCATATCCGTTAATGCTTCTTCCTTCAAATCAAGGACTTTCTTCAACCTAAGACAATAGATAATAAGATTACTTTGTGATTTCCTTTTTGGCAGTAAGTAATTCCCCTTTATATTTGGAGGCATGCTCAGTCTTCTCACGAACCAACTGCAACAATTTTTCATTTTCTTCAAGTAGTTTTTCCACCTTCCCCTTATTTGGAGATTGACTTTCCAGATTTTACACTCTTGATTCCAATTACTTCAATTTCTATTCGCTTTGCTATTTTAAAGGGGAATCCGTGTGAAAAACTTACGAATGATGTATGTTAACGACTACGAAAGATCTATAGATATAGTACCTCTGTCAACCATAACCGGTGTCGCCATTACAGGCAAAGGAACCGGAGGTAATGATCTTGAGATTTATAAGGGCGCAACTGCAACTCTCATTTAACAGAAATGTTATAATAATAATCACTCATACTCTAAACTTAAATCAAATATATGTTCCTAATTGATTACACTCTTTACTCCAAAATACAATGCAAAACCAAAGTAAGAATAGGCCAAGCCTCTATAAAGTATATAACAATTGATTACTTCTTGAGTTTAGGAAATGTTATTAGCCTATCTTCGAAATAGTAATCCATAAATGGAGATTGCAATTTCAGAAGAAAATATCTCAAGCCAATGGTACTGACAATTGCCAAGAGCACATTTGTATTTAAATCCATTAATCTGCATAGGATGATTCGATAATCAATAGGATTTTGAATCTTATTTTTATTGAAAATACTCCACATCATAAATTTTAATGCTTTCCATTAGCGATATTATTATTACTCTCTCACACTCATCAATTCGAATTCTTATGGAATATGTGGGCCAATCTTCATATATTTTCCATCTTAATATTAATATTTGTAAATTGTGAAAGTCTCAGGATTTGTCACATAAAGAAATGGTTTTTAAATCATTCTAATTATATTATTATAATCAAATTCTAGTTTTTGGATAGGCACTTTAGATTCTTTTTTTGCCTGTAACATTCAAAGTTTGTTATTATTCTCTAAATGATTAATCCAGTGACATTTTCAATTGACTCAACTAATTATTCATAGATCAAACATTCTTACATCCTCTTAATGTCGAACTTCTTCTATCACCTTCAAATGATCATTCAATCTACTTGTTGATTAGATCTTACTTATCATAGCAGTCTATGGTCGTTTAGCCTATACATGCTGCTATTATTCATTAAATAATATTTCCCCTGGGTTTATGAAAGGTCTGAATTCTATATTTTGAGTAGCGGCTGCACTGTGAATTCTCTTTAATCCTTTGGGCAAAAACCCAGGAGGAACCCTGCTACCTTTCAAACCCACAGAAGGTGTTAGGTACTACGGATACCCAACATTTATTTAAACTTCTTCATTTTAATTTTCATTGTTATCTACCAACTTTTCAAATAGTTAATTTCTGAAATCAGCATATTATTAGAGCAAATGCTCTGATATCCCTTTTTCAGAATAATTTTTAGTTGAAGAAACAGGTCTCATAGTCGAAAATGCAGAAGTCGGTCTATGTTTACAAAGAGAGGTCGATACTGCCATGTTGTACGATCTCCCTTCCACTGACAATAAGTTCTCTGGTTCATCCATAACTACCTACTTTACAGATTAAGATTTCTTAGGTTTCGGGTGGAAAGTGTTCCCTTTCTTCGTCCTAAGTAATGCAGCTTCGTCTATATCAAGATTTTGAGACATGATAAATCTGACAGCTCCTTCATTTGCTAACATGCATATATCATTCTCGTTTACGCATTGTTTAGCCTTTTCTGCAATCTAATAATACAATTCTATCATACAGCCAAACAAATATCGAGCTCCTCTTTTTATTTCTTCACTTTTAGTAGGGCAGCATGCAACGCAGTTGTATTAATTTTTTATTTCGGTTTGATATGGAACCTCTCTTCCTTTGGTTCTTTCTTACCCGTCACTATTTTTTGAAAGATCTCTTGTGAATTCATATTAAGAATCGATTTTGTTTGTTTGTGTTTTTTCTAGTAAACCCTTATATATGATCATACCTTGTCAGGACGATCATATCGAAATCTCTTTTTGTATTGTCCTTCATCCATCTTTTCATCAATATAGTTCATCATTTCATCAGGAAAATCATGACGAACAACTATTGGGCATCTTGAAATTGCCAAAGTACTCATTTATTTTTAATTAAAATTATTTTCCTTAACTATTTTTATCATTGCATTTATTAAATCACTTCAAATTTCATTCTTAATTATTATTTTGAGTCATATTACATCATGTTTGATATTCAAATGTATTTTAAGTTATAAATATTTAATTATTTAGTAATTCTCTAAAACTACAACTTAATGAATAATCAAAAGCTTTCAATTAACAAATTGATTAAAAGCTTATTGAAATGAAGAAAAAGTATTTTATTTTAATTAATATTATTCTTATTAATTAGGTTATATATATTAAAATTAGGATAGTTTATATTGAAAATTTGTAATCTTTAAAAATTGAATAATATGATTCATCAAATATAGATAAATCTAAAATGCAAATAGAATAACTTTAGATAATTCAACTATTTATATTTTTTTCCATTTTATTTTTAATTAATTCCGACTTATAAATTGTCGTAAAGGATTTAACAAATTACATATGGCTTGATAGGTAATGCATTATCATTGGATTAGAATTAAGGGGGCACTTAGAATGTGAATTGGATACTTCTTTTTATAATAGAAATTAAGTTAGATGGAGTCAAATTTATTGGCTTCAACATTTAAATACGAATACAAGGTGATGGATGATTTTAAGTTTACTGAATTGGCAGATGATTGAGTAAAGAGTAATGCAAAATAAGAAAATCAAGTTTTATTGATTGATTTAAAATGGATAAATTTGATTAATTATTGATGTAACAACTGATTAGAAGGTGAAATTGTTAGAGGATTTTATAAATATAAATAAATATTATTATATATTATAATGTTCTGCTGCGGTTCAAAAAAGAAGAAATCGAAGTAGTTTTTTGGAATTTTAGGAAGAGTGCCAAGCCAGAGGAGCCATCCACGAATTCCGATACACATTCTTTTAAGAAGGAAGAGGAATCCCAAAAAGTGTATGTTCCACCACCTCCCCCTACAAAACCAATTGACTAAGTTTTTTATTAAAATTAATTCAAATTAGGAAATGCTGAGGCAAATATAAAATATTAACGACTTGCGTAATCGAGGCTTATATGAAAAAAGGTATTTAAATCCTAAGTTCTTAGTGTCGAATGTGAGCACGATTACATTACTTAGTTGATAAACAAGGAAAATATACAATAGTAGTTTGCACTTGAATTTAAATGGGCAGTTAATTACACAAACCATCTTAAGGGAAAAAAAACTGAAATTCAATAAATAAACAACAAAAACCTACTTGGACCCAATAAATATATAAGAAGTGGTTTACAATAAGACAAAGACTATGTGGTCTTAAATGAATAGGCTTGGAACTTCGTGATGCAAATGTATGGTGGAGGTCCGGAAGTCAAGATCATGCCTCCTCATAAACAAGAATCTTATGCCCAACCTTCAAGTCTTTCTAGTACTTACTCCAAGCCTCCAATCCAACAACAATCCATGAGATAAGCACAAACGAACTCAAGGTTCATTCAATAAAAACCAATGACCTAAACTGTTTCAGTTATAGCAACTCCGAAATCAGTAGACAGACAAACATCATAGATTATAGAGCCCCCACAAAGAAATGATAGTGCTTAAAACTATAGAAAAGGATATGAGGAATAGAAAAGACCTTCCATTTCCCAAGGCTAATCACCAATAGTTGGATTGAGAAATCCCAGATATTATTGCTATTTGAATTCAGCCTTACAAGTTCTGTTGAGCATTGACTCTCTTTCGGAGGGCATTTTGGCTATACAACCTAAATAGGGCCAAAAGTACTTAGCTGCCTATCAAGAATTATTAAGAACGGTATGATATTTCGTTAAAATTTATTTAATTAGATAAAACGATCAGGTTCTTTCTCAGCTATTGCAGCTTAGAGTATTTGGGAAAACTGTTCTGGAAAATTCTAGTTTAATTAGTAATAAGATAGTCATGAATTTCTATTGTTCTTTTTGGGGAAAATTCAAGAGGAGCTTGTTGGCAAATACAAAAACAAGTAGGAGTTCAATTCAGCTGAATAAGCTTGGAGTGATTATACATCCAAAAATTATGATATTGTTGATACCATTTTTGCAGGGCAATCAACAAGTTAATCCTTCTGCAAATCTTGTAATTAAGTTTGTGAGGGATATGATCCTATATGGGATTTGTCTTTGCCAATCAGGTAATAATTGACAATATAAATTTAGTAAATCTTACACTGGGGTTGATTTGATGGACTGTCTAAAATCGTATTATAGGGAGGAAGTCATTAATGACACTTGGAAATGTGACAAGTGCAAAAAAGCAAATAAATCGGTTAAAAGAAGGATGTTTATTAGTTAGACTCCAAAATACTTGATTATTTAATTTAAAAGATTCACTACATTTCCAACATCCCAAAAAATTAATGATTCCATTTCTTACCCTGAAAAGTTAGATATTTAAGAGTAATAATACCATTAAATTTAGATTTTGCTCCAAGGGGCTACAAACTAAATATAAACTTAAAGCACTTATAACTCATATGGGTTCTATAAATGGTGGACATTATAAGGCCTATGCTGAGAGATATGATAATTGGTATTTATTTGATGATGAAACTGTATCAAAGATTAATGGGAAATAATTATCTGATAGATCAGCCTATGTATTGCTTTATCAAAAATATTGAAATCTAATTCATCTGCTATATTTAAATACAATAATTCTCATTTTATTTTCATTAATTTTTTTATTTTTTATATGGAAATTTTGTAGAAATTTATGACGTTCTACTTCATACTATTATATTTACCCTATGGAATCCTTTCGGATACAAAACCTGAATAAATAATCGCATCCTTATTACATTAGGAATTATTTGAAGGGCAATGGTAGTCAAATTATCCGAATATTATGTAATTTAATTATTTAACCCTTGATTCTGGATTCATAAAAGTAAGGGTTGAAAATGGATATCTTGAATTTCTAGCTTTAAATCCAAGATATGGTGAAGATAAATTCGTAGCTGGTAGTATTCAACTTACAGATTATTCTGAAATTATGTCGTAACACTTCTTCTATTGATATTTTAGATCCTGGACTGGAGCATCCAAAATATATTACTAAGGAGGGGAATAACATAGCTATCTTTGGTATGAACCCTTTTGTAATGGCACATATTAAGTCAAATTAAATCAGCATGCTGAAAATCTAGATATTGATCAACTATAAATAGATGTTTATTTAGTTTCTAATTCTGAAATTGGTTATCATTGCTCGGCTAATATGAGTTTCAATGTAAAAAGAGTATATGATTACAGTTTTATCAACTGTCTTGTCTTTTGCATAGTTGCAACAATAATATTGTTGGTCTAATACTTTTCAGTTTCAAAGTTATTAGAGCAAATGCAAAATTAATAGATACAGTTTGAACAGGTTAATTTTAAATCAAAGTTTTATTTAGCTCTCTAGATTGGGCTCATTGATATCTATGATAAACGGACTAAACACATTTTATTTTTTTGTTGACATATTATTTCAAAACTTTGTAAGAGTTTAAGCTTATATTTAAGAATTACTATTACTTTTTTATATTACCTACTGTTATTTCATTTTTGGACCTGTTCAAGGATTCTAGCTTATTCAACGTCCACTTTTATAGCACTTAATAGAATAGAGAACAAAGGAGAGGAGCGTAATTGGTAAGATTTATCGGTTTACTAATAATCCTATGTATTTTTAAATTATATTCAATTAGAGTTATTTGTGTTTGGAAATTTTATAATATTTCAACTTTTTGGATACACCTTTTATGCAATGCTTTTCTAAGCATTTACTCTTTACCCTCAAATCATTCATAATTTAAGATTAGGAATTAATTGTAAATTTAACAAACTTTAGATTTTTGGATGCTTATCGCCTAAATTGTTTTTTTATGTAAACTTCTATTAAATTATAGCTCTACATAAGAAGTTGTCCGGCTAATGTAAAGGATACTAAACCAAATTACCTTTTTGTTGGAGTATTTTTAGCTGTTTATCTACTCTCTCTATTGATTCTCATACTGCAAACCAAGTACAACCTAAAGTGTTTTAAACCAAAAATTGAAAAACCCAAAATGATTAGTTATCTGCAAAAAGTAAAAATACATGATTCTATGGAATGCCCAATCTGTATAGCCCCTCTTCATTCTAAACCAAGTGAAACTGATGTACAACCCATAAATCAATCATTGTTATGCGAAATTATGGTTACGCCTTGTTAACACATGTTCCATCAACAATGCTTACTAATTTGGATGCAGGTTCAACAAAATTGTCCAGTGTGTAGAGGTGTCTTACATCTGGAAGAGAACATCGAACAATAATGATCTAATAATTTATTTAAGTATTTAAGTTATGAAACTAAAATTTAATATTAAAACTAATAGTAAAGTCTATATATCTGATATTTATATTATTTAAGTATAAATAATATCATCATCATAATTTCTGAATAAGACTTAGTATGTCAGCTGCAAATTTATCTCTAACGTCAAAGTGAGTGTATCCATTTTATTAATACTAAGAATTAATATAAGAATGTTACTGATGCATCACTTCCTGGGACAATACAAGTATTTTTTTGATTAACAATGCAGTTGTATTTAATGATATCGTCATTTGGTGACCAGAAGGAATAAATTTTTGCTCCCTCTCTACGAGTCTTAGAATTCAATGCAGTCAACATTTGAGATGAAGGTGAGAATCCATTGTATGTGCTGCATGTTGGTAATCCTGTTGCATAAGTGCAATCTACTAATCCATAGTTGGCACCTGCCAATCCAAAGAATGCTGCAATAGAATTGGTAATGGGATCTCCAACTGTGAATTTAGCAAGCAAAGATTCAGAATATGTTCCACCAATAATGGCTGCTCTAGCCAAAGTGACTCCCATTGAATGACCAATCACAATGACTTTACTAGCTTTGGTGTATGCAAGAACACCTTCGATGAACCTTCTGGTTGTCATGACATATTTTTCACTATGACTGTTTTGAGAGGCTAAGTTAGGATTTGCAGGGCCTAAAATTATTTATTATTATAAAAATTACCCCATGTTGTTACATACAAGTCGGCTTTAGTGTATCCACCATAATTTTATAAATGTTCAATAAGTGTAGTGAATCCTGTCTACCATCCAACAGTTCCACCGTTTCCTGCACCAATGTCTGAGTTTCCATGAATGAAAACTATTGGATATTTGGAAGGAGCAGTTGTGGGTCTAGTCTCAGCACCACTGAAAATGTTAGATGTTATTAGTATACCCATATGTTGACCATGTGATATCTGATCTAATGAAGTCATATTTTGAGTCGAAGCTCTTAATGAAGGATGCAAAATCAGCTGTGAATCCGTGATCTATGGTACTAACATTGTCCTCATAGTTCATGAAGGTCGCTCCTCCTAAAACCATCAAAAATCCAATGGTCAATAGCACTGCTTGTGATGTCATTCGATTTAAATAATAATCTAATGTTATTGTGAAATGTGCAATTAATATACGAACAAAGATACTTCGTCATCATTTATTGCGTATGACTCTGTCTTATTTTATTAATAACTATTTTTATATAAATCAGATATGTTATCCAATATCCTTGAACATTTATGCTGCCATATCTGCTAACTAGTTTTTTCTAGTCATATTGGCTCTCACCACATCCTCTATAGAGATAGTTTATTTGTCTGCCAATTCCTTCTTTATGTACATTAAATATGTTGATCTACTCATATCTGCAAACTTGGGCATAAATTTTAAATAAGTTCTTTCATCATCATCAACATATTGTTTCGATCCTCCTTTCTACTTAAAAAGCATCTTTTTCAATTCTTTAGTTTCAATATCCATTTTCCTTTCCACTGCATCTATTATCATTCCAATAACTTAATGGGACTTTTTCTACTGCTTCTCAATCTGATCCTTTATAACCCTTTTTGCCTTCTATAGCTTTTCTTACCTTAAAATTAGGTCTGTTCCTTAAGCGTCCATTGAAATTAACGTTTAACTTTCCTAAGGACTTTCTTTAACACTCGAAATTTCCTTTGGTCTTTTCAGTATTGTCTTAGGTAACGTGGTTTATGAATTTGATTTCTATTAAATTAAGGATACCTAGCCTAAATTCTTGGGATCTTCTGTTCCAGCATAAGATTATTACACTTAAGAAGGCTATAAAGAAACCTATTGTGTTTATTATTATTTGTCTCCTTATTGTACTACTATTTTAACACTCTTCTTTTATTTTGTCTACAACTATTATTAGCTTTGATTATCTGGAACATCCACTGATATTTCTTTCTCCAAAGCTGATTTAAGCTTTAAGATCCTTTCTTTTTCTCTAATTTCCCTCATCTGATTGGCAAAGAATTTAGCCAATCCCAATGCTTCTCTATGCTTATAGATTAAATCCTTAAGCTTTTTCTTCTTACTTTTCTCTAACACTTTTTTCAAATAATTGGTTTCCTCTGGATCCTTTAGATCAATGTTCACATTAGTTTAAACTATCTTTTTACCAGCAACCATCTTGTCTATCTTTCTCCTCTTCAAGTCCTTCAATTCCTTCTCTGCAGTAATCTTACCATCTATGATATGTGCTTGATCTTTGACTTTTGTATCAATCTCAACTTTTACTGGAGGAGTCTTAAAGGATTCCTTATAAAACATGATCTCCTCTTTGGCTTTAAGATTCAACATCCTTTTTCCAAACTAAAACTCCTTTTTGTCAAAATCTTCTTTCTTTCTGAGAGTGAACAATTGTCCCAATATACTAAAATACACAATTATTTTACTCATTATAATCTCTGATCTCATTGGATTGAATTTTTCCATTGACCATTTTGTTAACATACACATCCAAATCCTACTTGTGATGTTCATCTCTATCTGGATGTTCTCTATATTCTAAATTTTCCAATTGTCTTTTTAACAACGCCCCTATATTACTAACATTCTTCTTCTCTTCCTACACTTTTGGTTTCTAATATTCATTGAAATATTGAGTAGTTGTCAGGATCCTTGATTTATAATCTTAAGGTCTTTCTAAGCCAATTTTAAGTAAGCCTACAGACTTACCCTTCTATCTTTTTGGTTTAACAATCTTCCTATTATTTGGCTTTCTAGAAGTTGAACAGGGTCGTTTTTCTTCAAATAATTTTGAGTCAAATTATAAGTTGTCAACGGATGGAGCAAAGAAACTGCCATCAAAAAAGCTATCCTAACTATTTGAATCACTATCAAAGATATTGATTGAAGCATCAGTGCCATGAGGTTATGATTATTCAACTATTTTATTATCAAATTATTATTTTGTTTTCTATTCCTCCTTTATTTGGGTTTTGAAATACAACTATTCATTCAGTGATTTGATTTAAAATAGATTGAACATGTCACTATTGAATTTCTTTAAATAATCAGATTCCGATTGTTCCCTTTAATCCCTTTGAGTGTTTCTGATCTTATGTAATTCTTAATCCAAAATAGATTCGGCTATATAACTCAAATCCGCTAAGTCTTTTAGATTCTGCTCCAATCTGTGTTTGCCTTCGCTTGCCAATTTGATAATATGTTTTTTAAATTCATCAATTCCTTAGATGTATTTCTCAGCCAACCAACTAGCCGTAGTTAAAGTTTCAACAATCCTATGATAATTATTTTCTGCCTCATAATTACACATCATAGTTATTAACGCTGATAATGTTGTTATCACGCATCTTTTCATTCTTCTTCTCTCCCTATTTTGGTATAAGTAACACTTATATACTTCTATTTATTTTTCTTCTATACGAATTTTTCCTAATTAATCCTTATTCGCATCTCTCCACATAAGATTACAATGGCTTCCTCTGCATACCTAAGGGATTCCCTATACTCACTTATCTCATATAAATAATTCGCAAAGTATATCTTGACCCTAGCACACGCATTTACTAGGTTCGGATTTGGAGTATCTAGAATGTGTTTAGCAATTCTTTGAGCTTCAACCAAATAGTAATAAGCCACCTTGGGTTTGTTTGCCTTCTTAAAAATTAAATTGGCCATTAGTTGCAGTTCAATCAAATTATAGAAGTACTGATCCAACTCAAATTGAATGTTCAAGGGTTTGACCGATTTGACGATCATATTAGCTATCCTACTCGATTCCGAAATCTCCTATTCGTAAGGGTTCAACTCCTTAGCTTACTTTTTGCTTCTCTCCTTTTTTGGCTTGTCGTATTCATTGATTTTGTAGAACAGGACTGTGACTTCGTGTTCCTTAATCCTTTCCTCTCCTTCCTCATCAGAGCTTGTCAAATGGGATACTTCCTCCAAACTATATTCTTATTTAATAGGCTTACACAACTCCCTTCATCTCATTCGGTATAACTTTTTATATGTACAGATTTATGTATTTGTATAATTCGAATAGGGCTTGGCTCCCTCGATGGAATATGTTGAGCATAGTCTCCGGTCTGTCTTGTTCGATATCAGGTTTGAGCAGTCCTTACTTTAAAATTTTGTTAATGCAATTTATTATCCTTCGATTCAACATAACCATCTCCCCCAATTCCAGGTCTTTCCGCTGATTATAAAACTTTTCTAACAGCTAGAATGCTCTCTTATAAAGTTTCTAATCGAAATATTTTATATCGAATCTTACTTTCTAAATCATTTTCCCAGTTTCTCTATGAATGTAATCATAGCTACCCTACAATAGACTTTTTAATTTACTCTCTTCCTTGCTTTGCTGTTATTGCTATTGTTAATGCGAGGTATTAACTGAAGAAGTTTCTTTTTGCATTTAATTATTATAATTAGTATAAAATGGAATTCTCTTTAATAGATTTAGGCAGAAAGACCAATGTCAATCTGAGTTCCATGATTCAACTGAGCTTCCAGCCCAACCAACTATGTGCAAATCTCAGATTAACTCAGATCACCTATTAATGTATTTAAATTTCAATCTCCTTATTAGCTAATAAACCAATAAATTTTTACATAATTCGGGAACATGTACTCCAGGGCATCAAATTGAAAAGAGTACAAAACCAATTTAATTTCTAATCTCAACATATTATCCCTATTGGCGAGGACTTCTATTTGGAAAAGGAGGACCTTATTCATAATCTCTTTACACTGTTTTTGAGCTTCCTGTATGTGGGGAAAATAGAGTACAAAAGCAGAGATTACTTTTTGCCCTTGTTCAAACTGGCTATATATTTTCAATGCGATGCTTTACTAACCTCCCTATTAAATTAAGAGAAGCCTGTAGTGATGAGATCCTTCTTCCTTAATTTCCTATGCGACATTTACAATGATCCAACCCATCTCCAAACCTTCATATAAATGTAGAACTCATAAAAGTTCTTGTAATACCTGATCCAATAAAATTCCCCCAACATCAAGGCACACATAGATTGGCATAATCACAATAGGAAGGATGTTTAGGACAAGATTAAGAAAGGTACAACACTTGATAAATCCATATAGCATTTGCTCAAGTTAATCCAAAGCTCTTTGAAGAATTTGCCAGCGTCTACTCAACCAAAAGTCCCTAAGATATTACTTATTTTACCCATTTCCTATTCTACATTGAGCAGTATGGCAATCCATAGATTCAGATATTGGAAGATATGTATATAGGGAGAATCTTTGAGTTGGTAGACGAAGAATTTTTCATCACTTACTAAAACTATTTCACTAATAGATGCAAAGCCAAACTAGAATAAATAATAAACAAAATTAGGAATCCGCCTTATCATATGCAACACTCGTTAGTCTGTGATTTATGGTATACCTTGCATAATATATTGCTTAGTAACAAATTCTTCAAGGCTGGTTGTAATCATGAGATATGTTTGAATTGCCTCTTTCAATACATGATGTATCGATAAAAATATGCCCCAAAAAATCAGATGGTCCCTCAAAAGATTAGATGTCTCTCAAGATTTCTAAATAAAGATATTTGCGATTATGTTTTTTAGGATCAGGATTTCTTATAATTAAAAGAATTCCAAATAGATGAAGTACTAAATAAATACCTTTAAAAGAAAGATTGATATTGAATATATAATAGGAAATATTAATTTGATTGCAAATTTGTAAAAAGAAACGGAGACTTAGCTCCGCCTTTATATTATAATATTAATGTTTTTGGAGGGATTTCTTGCAAAGCAGTTAGTTTGATTCTAGTTTTGTTATAGAATATTCTCTACAAATAAATATTAATTTTTTGGATTTTTAATTTTATATAATATAATTTAATTATTATTGAGATAGAAAAATCCTAATTGGTATTAACAATTCTATGTAGGTCATTTAAATTAATATTTTTTTAAAGATTTTCAAGTCTTAAGAATGAAGGGCGTAAAAAACAATACGAAGACCAATAAGTAGAGTGCTAATGAGAAGGTAATAACTCAATTGATAAATTAATAGAGTAAGATATCAAATAAAATTGAATAAAAATTTCATCAGCTCAATGGTTAGCAATTTGAAAATTAGAATGGACATAGGTTATACGATGATGAGTAGAAACCAGAAGTCGATCCACAATTAAATATTTCATAATATGATGAGGAGGTATAGTAATCTCCAAAAAAGAAAGTTAAAACTATCCCTATTGAAGATTATATGAATAAGCTTAGTTTATTTACATCTGATAGTCAAGAAAAATTTTAAGAAGAACCCTCAAATGCTTAATAATATGAATAGAGTGAAGACTACTGTTGTATTGTGCAATAATGGAGGGATAAAGAATGAATTATTATTAAGTTTAAGTCAAGTGCAAAAAATTAAACAATTTTATTATCTTAATAAAATTCCCTTACTATTAAATAAAATATAGTACGATTGATTATATCCATAATTATATTAAAGAGAGATGGTTAAAGTGTTTTAAAGTCATTGTTTGTAAATCTTTTGAGCTATATACAATAAAAAACTCTGCATACAATAAAAACTTTGCATACTTATTAAAAGAGTAATTAAATTTAAGCTAGAGAAGGAATTTAAGATTAAAAAGATGTTATTCTGCCTAATATAGTCATTTCTTATTTATCTATCAATCAGTTTAACGAACTTTCGACTCACATCTGGAGTGTTATTTGGTTTTCCAGAAAAGAATTACAAATTCAAATTAATCATATAAAACGGATAAAGTAAAATTAATTTTCCAAATTTTTGTCAATAATACATTTTTTATTTTATGCTATATTTTATTAAATTATATGTCATTTTGTTGTTTCAGCTGCAACTCTTTTAGCTTCTTCAATGACATCCTCAAATGTACCTTACATGTAGAATGCATTTTCTGGATATTCATCACCTTCACCATCAAGCAATGCTAAGTTAAATAGAGAGATTTAATACCTCTGAATCCAGCAATAGTGTCATTAAGTGAAACGAATTTACCCTTTCTTCCTGAGAAGACTTCAGACATGAAGAATGGTTAAGAAAGGAATCTTTATACTTTTCTAGCTCTGGCAACTGTAAGTTTATCGTCTTCAGACAATTCATCCATACCCAAAATAGCAATGATATCTTAGAGTGATTTGTAATCTTACAACAATTTTTAAACTCCTCTTGTGACTGTATAATGTCTAAATTATATTAAATATAGAATATTACTTTTCACCAACAATATTTGGGTCCATCATACGTGATGAAGAATCCAATGGATCGACAGCTGGATAGATACCCAATTCAGTCAATGCTCTTGACAACACAGTGGTGGCATCCAAGTGAGCAAATGTTGTAGCAGGTGCTGGATCTGTAAGATCATCTGCAGGTACATAAATAGCTTAGACTGATGTAATAGATCCCTTCTTGGTTGTGGTGATACGTTCTTACAATTAACCTAAATCTGTTGCCAATGTTGGTTGATAACCGACAGCTGATGGGATACGTCCCAACAAGGCTGACACTTCTGAACATGCTTATGTGAA